GGGAGTTACCTTTGTGGCCTCTTATTCTACCTATTATTACGAATATGCAGGATATACGACCCATAAATCCTATCAGTTGAGTTGTGGTGGTCAGGCGTTGTCGATTTGTGGTGTAATCACGTCTTGGTTCATCATCGACAGATTTGGACGTAGACCATTGATGATCTACGGAATCACTGCTTTGACCGTTTTGAATTTGATTGTTGCTTGTGCAGGTTTGAATGAAAGCAACGCCAGCGCAATGACAGCTGCATCTGCGTTTTTGGTGATGTACAACTTCTTTTATAACATTGCTATTGGTCCATTGCCATACATCATGGCCACAGAAGTGTCATCAGTGAGTCTGAGAGCTAAGACCATGGCCCTTGCTACCATAACCAACTATGCCTTCCAGTGTATGTGGTCGTTTTGTTTGCCATACATGTTCAACGCAGACCAGGCCAATATGGGTTCCAAGATCAACTTTATCTTCACGGGTATGTCATTTTTGTCGATTTTTGTGTTCTATTTCATTCAACCAGAAACCGCTGGAAGATCATTTGAAGAGATCGACGAGTTGTTTGCCAACAACGTTTCCCCAAGAAAGTGGAAGTCATACAAGACTCAGAAGCAACAACAGAGTGACAAGTTTTATGACAAGTTGAAGCAAGAGGTGTCGCACAATGAATATGCTTCTGATCATGAAGAAGTTTGAAGTCTTCTCTTACTTTTGATTTTTTACATATGTCTGTTTAAACCATAATATCATATTTATATGCTACTGAATGCTTGGAAAAGCTCAAAATTGCTCAGAGCGGATTATTTAAACAATAGCTCTGCAAAAAGCTTGGAATTACTGGCTCAAAACCGATAAACATCAAATATCCAGTATCCGCTAGCTCCGGTTTCCACACATAAACCATATCGCAGTCAAATTTATCCGATAATATGCATTTATGTTCAAATCAATCCGGATCATTTGGTGACACCCCACAAGACTACAGGTTGAGTTGCAGCATGCATGGAGTATCCGTCCTCCCGAAGTCTAAACTTTCAGTGACATTCTTGAGGACTCAAGATCTGCAATATATGTTGATCAAAATTTTTGGTGTAAGTCAATTGTTTCGAGAATCGACAGGACCCGATGTTGAACCCTTGAAATGCTTTTCCTATGAGGAAGGCCTGTCAGACGCCCAGTATTTTGCGATGGGTCTCAAACGAAAGAAACCCAGATCACCAAATGCGCAAGTATTGTACTTCAATCGGCAGCCATTTTGGTGCTTGTAGAAGCTATGTTTGAGTAAACAAGCTCTCTTGGTGTGAACCAAGTGTTAACGAATGATACGAGTGGTCAACAATTATACCGTTCAGACTAGACTGGTATTCACCTGGCACATTATTGCTAATCCATTATCTCATGCAGCACCCGGAAAAATATTGGAACTACCCAGACAATGATATGAAAACTTAGATGCGATTCATTTCCGGTTCCAAGATACGATGTATTACACCCCAGAATCCTGCACTGTACTTGTGGGGTAGACGCATCGAACGCTGCATGCAGACCCCCAAATTTCTTGAGTTTGCACTTCCGATGAGGGAGAAATGCAGGCCATATAGAAGGAATAATAGCGAACTATCGTGGGAAGAATTTGGGAGACATTTTGTGAGAAAATTGGTCCCGGAGTCCTCGCTCGATACGATTATGCCAGAAATGACAGCTTTCACATTCAATTCTTGCGTTTGCATCTAAGCCTCCTAGCGACAGCTTGCTTTTCACGGCTACCAGACAAAGTAAACCAAATTCGTCGAGCTGATGTGTTGAAGCGATATTCATGCTTTCGGAGGAATTTTTTTTTTCAGCGACCATGGGACTTTGTTTTTTGGAATTGGGTCGGATATGATTGAATCTGAGCGATCGGGGATGCATTCTCTGTATCAGTGGTTGATACCATTGGTCCCCGGCGCTAATGATGTGTTGTTCTGTAGCACCTAACGGTCAGCGATCAGTGCTAAGAGACAAAAACTGAGCTCACAATGATTGGAAGGAAATGTGCAGTACATCCTTCGGCTCAACAGAGGTCAACAATATATGAAACATTTCGAATGATTCCTACCACCCTGCAGCACCAAATGAGTTCTATGTAGTTATCAAACACTTCAACGGAACAATCACCGAATTTAGTGTAACGTTATGTGTCAGCTAAAGTAATTCTTCCCCGGTTAGACTGGCGCATATCTTGTTGGAGATTGTTTCAGGTATCACGTTCAGCCTCGCATGCTGAAGAGAACTTCTTTGCATCATCTTGATCCGAATTACAATCGCAGGCAAGTAATCACAACGAAAGAATGCGTTCCCCTTATGTTTTCAGGTTTCCAACTCTTGCTTCAAATTTGAGAAATTAGAGAGGAAAGAGGTACCAGAATGAAGATTGATAACCACATTCATAGTCGTTATTGTGATGGAAGTTGGTAGCTTGAACGATCAATAAAGATTCATGTGACTGCGAATTCATTACAATTCCGCCAAAAAACTAGGGGGAAACGTGTTTGCTATTTCAATGCTAGCTTGATGAAAACGAAGTTTTGGATATACCAGCTCTGTTTGGCTACCCGGTGACTTGCCCGATTGATCTAGAAGAATGGCACAAACCGCCTAAGCATCATTGTACGGACTTCGGAAAACCGATACACTAGCAATAATATACAGTAAAATCTAGAATTCAATTTTCTTATACCAAAATATTTGAATGGTATTACCAAAGACGAATGGATTGAATATACCGTCTGTTGATTGATACCCTATTCCATATCGAGAGCTACACTGATCTGTCTACAAGGAACAACGAGCCGATTCCCCGGCACATCTTTAGCTCATAGTATTCTGTGCGGGTCCGTTGTCTATGCTGCTGGAATTACAGCACCGCCGAGCACTTGGCCCATAAGAGCCACGAATTTACTTCCTTATACATTTTGAACCACTCCGCAAAGGTGACCAGCGACAAAACTTGGCTGATAAGGACGGTACCCCTCTTTTACACTGCAATTCAAACCTGAGGATTAACGTAGCTCGGATTGATCCTCACCTGTTATGGAAAAGAGGGTGTGAGGGCACTAACATTAATCATCTCGGATTAATGATCTTTTCATACCGGATTGACAATCGGAAAACCGGTAACGGTAAGAGGAGGGAAGGTCACCGGCTACGAAAAAACAGAGTCACGTTGTTTCCGGCTTCAGCATATCTTGGTCACGAAAATAGCACTCGGACAGATTTTTGCATGTTCGGGTCTTCATTCAAACTCAACTTCTGGTGAGAGAATCAGAAGATGCCCGAGCAAGAGATACCAGATCGCGATGAGTTTTAAGAACATTCTGGTTGAAAAACCCATCAGTTAACGATAGTTTCAAAGTATCACCTTCAGATGCGGAGTCTGCAGTTCTGGCTAGTCTGCAATCTGACAAATACCTATGCTTGTAAGCTAAACATCTTCAGGTGATAACTTTGTGAATAGCTTTTTACGCCGTTTTGTAGAAGCCGAGACTCATAGAATCCATTTACTACTCTTCCTCATGATGTCAGTCTTGGCTTTTATTTTTTTGGGCGGAACCCCCGCGAAATTCTAGCTGCACCCCGGGAACCCACCGTTTCCATTCCTTTTACGAACCCGCTAACTGATGTACACCCCGCATTATGTACGCCGGATATCGTAGGAAGCTGGCATGGATAGGGCCACCCCCATCCCAGCATTGGGACGATATTTAAACCGAAGTACATCGCTTTTTTACTTAGTTATGAAAAAAAAATCCTCAAGGAGGTATTTTTACAATTCCAATCATGTTTTCACCCCTGAAGAAATTATTCAAGTCAGAGAAGGCTTCAGAGGACGTGGTCCCAGGAGTTGAGGCTGAAGGTGCTCTTGCACCAACAGATAGTGCGCACGAAATGGATCAACTGGAGACAGCCGCTAGGGCCCAGCAAAAAATTGAGCACGGGCTATCTAGGTGGGAGGCCATCAAGCTGTACCCAAGGGCTTCAGCGTGGATGTTATTCATGGTGTGGGCCATGATTTTGGTCGGTTACGAGAATCAAGCTGGTTCGATTGTCATTTCTATTCCCCAGTTTAGACAGGATTTTGGTCACAAGTACAAAACTGAATATGTTTTGGACACCCAATGGCAATCGGCCATTTCTGGAGGTCCTCTGGGTGCCATTGCGATTTCCTCTTTCGCTTCTTCTTGGATTGGTGATCGGTTTGGAAGAAAATGGATCATTGTCATTGCCCTGATCGTTTCCATTCCTAGTATCGCTATCGAGTATGTTGCTACTAGTATCGAGGTATTTTTCGCTGGAAAATTCATTAATGCCCTTTGTTTGGGTGTGTTCTCCACACTTTGTGTGACTTACGTTTCCGAAGTGTCTCCTTTGGCTTTGAGAGGTCTTTCTGCTGCTCTTTGTTCGTTGTCGTTGTGTATTGGTCCGTTCATCTGTTTCTTGATCAACAACACAACTGCTACTTACACTTCCAGAATGGCCTACAGAGGTGTCTTTATCCCCCAGTGGATTTTCTCGATTTCATGCTTGGTGGTTGCTCCATTTTTGCCTGAATCACCATACTATTATATTGCCAAGAACAAGGACAACAAGGCCGTGGAAAGTTTGAAAAGACTATACACTCCAGCACAAGCTCAGCAGCAGTTTGCCATTATGAAGATCACCTATGAGGAATCCAGACTCATTTCTGCGTCAACAACTTATGCTGACTGTTTCAAGAAAAGCGATCTTAAAAGAACTTTGATTATCGTGTTTGCGTTCTTCATGCAACCAATGTCTGGAGTCTCCTTTATTGCATCTTACTCCACTTATTACTATCAATTGGCGGGTTTCTCAACTCAACGGTCGTACCAGTTGAGTTGTGGAGCTCAAGCACTTTCCATTTGCGGTGTCATTGGTTCCTGGTTCATCATCGACAGGTTTGGACGTAGACCTTTGATGCTCTATGGAATGCTCTCACTGACGATCTTGAACCTGATTGTTGCCGGAGCTGGTACTGACACCTCGAATATGACGGCCATGACTGTTGCTTCAGCCTTCATTGCCATGTACAACTTTTTCTACAACGGCTCCATTGGACCTCTGACTTATGTTCTCGCCTCTGAAGTTTCTTCTGTTGGTCTGAGAGCAAAGACAATGGCTCTTGGAACAATTACCAACTACGCGTTCCAATGTCTGTGGTCGTTTGTCTTGCCATACATGTTCAACCCAGATCAGGGCAACATGGGATCAAAGATCAACTTCATCTTCACGGGTATATCTTTTTTGTCATTATTTGCGTTCTACTTCTACTTACCAGAAACAGCGGGTAGATCGTTCGAGGAGATTGATGAACTATTCGCTAATAAAGTTCCAGCTAGAAAGTGGAAGTCATACGTTACTGAAAGACAATCTGAGAGCGAAAAGTGTTTTGATCAGCTGAAGCAGGATGTAGCTTACGTCGAAGAAGTTTAAGGTTTGGGATTTGGGACTGTGCCGTTTTTAGCTATTCCTTCGCATAATTTTTTTTCTCTGTATAAAGCTTTGAATTGAGAGACGTTCTAGTCTTATTTGTAGTGGAACCAGGCTAGTGCCTTTTAGATGCATTTTCCGCTTCACTTCTAGTATCTTTATAGTCTACTAATAATGCACCATTGGTTTGTTAATAGTATATTTCCGCTATATGCAAGCGTAACTTCATTGTATTCGGATTAGCAGAGTGATTCTGATCTGGATCACGTGAGCAATTTGGACTGCCCCCCTCCCCGCTTCACCACGCCCCGCGGGGTGCCCCACTTTATGTGATGGATAATCCGGCGAATACGGAAACAACGCAGATGGCACCAGATATGCACCTTCAAAAGTTTTAAAAAAATCTCAACACCGTCTGATGGATCAACTATACCAACTATACCAACTGGCAAATGACTTGCAATATGTGCTTGGCTTTTGAATTACGTTGTGAGGCGTGGCATTTTTTTAGTCTCAAATAATCTTTCGAGCTACTTTGCAGAGAGTGGGGAATGAGGGGCCGAGACCAAATTTCGGGCTGGCTTTCCTGAAGTGCTCGCCCGGTGCAAAGCCAGCCCGAGGTTTTCAAGCCAGATTCTGCGCACTTCTTAGGCCCGAAAAGCCCCAGAGATCTCGGACAACTTCGCGAAGATCGCTGCAAGGAGGGGGTCACTTTGTTAGATGGTGACATCCCAACCACAAAAAGCAATTTCGGATGCGGGTTCTCGGAAAATCTGGCCGACCCGATCCTAGGGCGCTCCTGGGTTCCGCTTGGTGCATGTAGTACAAGTAGGATTGTGGCATAAAGGTATCTGAAAAACAAGGGATCTTGTATAGCACCGATTTTCGATTGAATTGCGAAATTAAGGAACCCTTGGGTGTATGATTAGAGCTTGACGTGCTTTTTTTTCCGGATTAAAACGAGGTCAAGATTGGTATCTCGGTAGAATTAGGTCATCCGTCTTAGATCTGGTGACGGAATAGATTTGAGATTGAGTTTGCATGGACATTCAATTATACCTTGTTAAAGTGTCCGCGCCGTTTTTTAGGCGATTCCACAGTTCCAGGAATTCATCACGTAAAGATGTGGTCAGCATGTTCTGCAAAGACCTTCTAACTATTCTTCTACACCTCCAGCCTAGTTCAAACCATGATGACTTGTCTTAAGCATTATTTACCGTTGAAGCTTTCAAAACCAAATCTAGTAAACCTCACCAGTTCCAAAGAAGTTAATCGAGTCCCTGGCAACCTTCCACAAGTCTTCCTGCGAGGAAATTGGCTGGTAATCAACCCCGAATTTGGCCAGCAAAAGCTCGATGTTTTTTGTGCCATAAGCACCAAGTGTAAGATTCTGCACGAAATCTTTCGACTTGGAGCGCAAAACGTACTTCCTGGTTAGAATCTTTTGGAGCTGGAAGTTGATCTCTTCAGAGTCTGAAGAATAGTTCTTCTCGAAGTCCTTGATAGCACCCTTCAAAAGCTCGGCCTCTTGGAAATCTATATGAGCGTCCGGGAATCCAGGAACAAGCTTCCCCTTGAACAAGACTACATATCCTCTCGCTTCCAAATAGAGCACCAATTGCTCGTGGGTGAGCTCACGGAAGAGAGTCTTGCTTGCCTTGACGTAGATGATAGGAACGTCCCTCTTTTCGATGGCAAGGTCAATCAACGCATCTCTGGTAATTCCCACTGGGACTTCAACACCTCTGAGGGTGAGGAACAGGGCCAATCTTTCAGGCGACCACCTGGGAAGTTAGTAATGTTTCTTACAGAGGCAAGAGGTTCCGGTTGAAAGCGATCCCAAGCGATTGAAAGCTATCCCAAGCAGTTGACCAATCAAGTCACAACCCCAATTCGCACTTACTTTTGCAAAACAGACTTAATCTCTGACATGTTTAATCCTAGTTATTTGTTGCGCGCTCTAAGAAACCAGGAAACTACCCATGGCCAGAGTTCTACTTTAATACACCTCAAGAACTCCACGGTTATGCACTCCACGAACCCGGCCCATCTTCTCCCCGAATGCGCCACCCCAAATCGCACCAGCCACGATGCAGGTCGTAACCCGCGGACAGTCTGGGGAAAGTGGGACCGATCGATATTTCTCATAAATAAGTGCCACCCGGTCCGTTTTCAATCCGTTGGGTTTCACGTTTTATTATCAACTACTCAATTGAACTCACCATAATGGCTGAAGCTTCGTTTGCTCAATCTGTTCTCAATGCGAGCCCCAATGAGGGCCCTTGGGAACAGTACAAGATCTCCCCAGCCTCGAGGACGGTTTACCCTACCAAGGTGTACTCCACCGAGGGAGTCACTCAATTCGCCGAGAACCTAGTTGGAAACACCGACACCATCGCCTATCTCAAGGGCGAGGGCGCTGCAATTACTCTAGACTTTGGTTTTAACACGTGTGGTTTTTATGCCGTTGAGTTTGGTGCAGACTCAACCGAGGGTCAGTCCGTCCACCTTTCGTTTGCCGAGTCCAACTATTTTATTGACAAGGACAATGCTGACAGAAGTATGGACTTCCTCATTGAGGACAAAACGCTGGAAGTTCCTGTTAGTGAGGGGCTGTACGTGTGTTCTCATGCGCTCCAGAGAGGAGCCTTTAGATACATGACGATCTCTACTAGAAAGCCGGGCAAGGTTAGCATCAAAAAGGTACACACGACCATGAACAACATGCCATCTCTGGGCGACAACTTGAGAAACTACAAGGGTTATTTCTACTCGAGTGACGATTTTGCTAACACCATCTGGTACGCTGGAGCTTACACTGTTCAGCTATCGATCATCCCAACCGATACCGGCAGAAGAATGGACATTGTTTCTCCAGCTACCGGCTGGTCCAATGATGTTCAGTGTGGATTTGGTCCTGAAGTGCTTGTCGATGGTGCCAGAAGAGATAGAACCATCTGGGCGGGTGACAGAGGTATTTCTCAGCTGACCGAGTACATCACCTTCAACAGTGAATGTAGTGTTGACTCTACCACCTGGATTCTGGCCCACCAGACGCCAGAGGGTCGTTTCCCTTACGCATGTGAGCCTATATTAAGTTACAACTCGGACACATACCATTTGTGGTCATTGAAGTGTATCTACTCTTCCGTGTTCCTCAACAGCGCTTCCTTGGAGTGGCTCAAACAGGTGTGGAAGAAGTACACGCTTGCCATTGAGCTGATCTGGAAACAGGTTGATGAGACTGGAACTCTCAAAATTGACGGAGCTGCTGATTGGGGTCGTGACATGCTTCAAGGCCATTCTACCGCCTGTAACTGTTTGCTCTACATGGCACTGGTCGATGGTGCTGAGTTGGCTGGTCTTCTGGATGACAAGGCACACGCCGAGGAGTACACCTCCAAGGCTGAGGGCTTGAAGAAGGCGATCAACTCCTACCTTTGGGACGAGAAAGAGGGTCTTTTCTTGGACACCGACGAGCTGGAAATCCACTCTCACGATGCCAATGCCCTTGCCATCTTCTACAAGGTGGCCACTGAGGAAAAGCTCGAGAGAATCTCGAAGAACCTTACTAAGAGATGGACTCCATACGGTGCTCAGGCTCCAGAGATGCAATACTGTGTTTCGCCATTCATTAGTTCTTTGGAATTGATGTCGCACACTTTGGTCGGTCATCCAGAGAGATCCTACGAACTCTTCAAGACTATGTGGGGATACATGTGGAATGCTCCATACAGTGTGCAGTCCTCGCTCATTGAAGGTTACAACGGAGACGGTACTTGCAAATATCCTTTCATTGGTTATGACCCTGCCTACATCTCCCATTGTCACCCATGGGCCAGTGGTCCTACTATCTGGCTCACTAACCAAATCGTCGGTATCAACTTCCTTGGAAACGAGCACAAAGAGTGGACCTTTGCTCCTGAAGGTGTCTTTGCCGAGGGATCCGTCGAGTTTGCCCAGGCCGGTTTCTCTTCCAAGACCGGTGGTTACATCACAGCGGGTTTCAAAAAGCACTCTGCTGCTGTCTTGCAATTGGTGATTAAGGCACCTGCAAACACAACCGGTTCTATTGGAATCCCTGTTAAGACCGACTCCAAGATTGCTCAAGTTGAGATCAACGGTAAGCCAGTTGAAGTCTCCAAGGTTTCTTCCAACGGAAGACACTACTTGATTGAGGGACTGGCCGCTGGTGAGTACGACGTGATTGTTACGTATGCTTGAACTGGGTAGAGTACATAACGCTTAAAACTTCCACATCGAACTTCTATAGTCAATCAAATCATTATTTCACGCCTTTCCCTGTAGCGCTTGTTTACTGGCCTTCGAAGATCCAGCCATCATCTTGGAAGCCTATGGCCAAATGGTAGCTATTATCACGCGCGAAGACATAACTTATTTGCTTAAAATGAACCTGACGTTTCTGGAAAACATTAAAACCAAGAAAATTCTCAAATTGAAGGTGCCAATCTTTGACTATGGAGTTCCCACCTTCTTTATGGCGTTGTCAAAACCGCCTACCCCCATCTGCAAGCCTTTGCATGCAGGAAAAGAGCCTGCAGGCCCATGCCGATCATACCATAATCTTCTCCCTGATTAATTTTTGATAATATACAACTCCCTTTTCCTTATCAGGATTCAATGTGCCAACTTGATAAATTCCTGACTCCAGGTTTTTTTGGCATGCCTCACACAGCTCGATATCCTCAATGGCAACCTGTCTTGCGAACTCGTAGTACTTCTCAAAATCCTCGTCAGATCCGTCAAAGAAATAATCAAACTCCATCCGGCATTTCGAGCCGGTCAGTGGACAGCATCTGAACACACCCATTCCCCCAGCATAAAAGTTCAGGGCACATGTGGGAAAGAAGTATATGAACAGTCCCGGATCAGGAGCCTCAGTATCGTCCTCACCCGCCTTCTCGTTACTATCAGCCAAATGACGACAAAAGTTTGTGTAAGTTTCCACCTTGTAGAAATCCATACAATAAGCCTTTGCCAGACCAGGATGGGTATAAGCGCAGTGCAAGCACTCCTGGTACCCGTCGATAAAGGTCAGGAACCCATAGTCACATTCATATGACAATTTGCGGCGATGGGCTATGGATCGGAAATCCTTTCCCTCAATAAACTGATCAAGTTGATTCCCAAAAAATGCATTAAAATCAGGTGGGGATGATTCATGGCAAACAAACAGTAACCCCGATTTAGTGACATGGGTGCTCGCCCTAGCCAACGTGCTCAAGACGTGTTCAACTTGAGAATCGGTTTCATGCCCAGTAAACAAACACTTATGTTTTCCATAATAAGCCTCTACCGAATTGACCTGGTAAACATCTTCGATACTGTTTTCAATAAAAAAAGGATTTTCCAGTAAATCCAGTTGGCAGAATCTCTGACCATCCTCCTGGTCCCGGGTAAATTTCGTGATGGGCGAAATAAAATGCCAACCTTTATTGAAGATCTTTTTCTTGGCAATCCCAAGAAGTTCGTCCGAGGTGTACCACGAAGCCGGCAGGGTCACTGGAAGGGTCATTTTGTGGATAAAAATGCTTATTAAGGATTAAGATTCCAAAAATTGTTCTGAACAGCTAGCAAGCCTTTTTCTATATCTGATTTCTGGTAGATTGAAATGCCTATCAGGCAAGGCAATAGCGGAGTTACCATTTGAGAGTCGCGATTAAGGACTGGAGATAAAGGCTTCCGCATCAACTCCGATCCGATTAGGAAATAAACAAGCCGGTGATTGCGTTTTGATCTGATAAGCCTCTACACGCGGGATAATTGTAGTCTACACCCCCACGCATTTACTAAGATTCTATAACACCGCATACTAGAACAATAAACACCTAGCGTCAAATTCTCAAAATTTGGTTCTAAAATGACTCCTCAAGCTGACGCCAAAGAAGAAATCCGCCTTCCGCTCTGATATCAGACCCTTATCAGTTAGACTCTGCGCCCGCCACAACGGGATATGACCTACTGTCAGGGCACGACCTTTAAACGCCCAGACAAGTCGCGGCTACTCTGCGCTGACGTCACGAGCAGGTTTCTTGGGGGTCAGCCAAGGCACGCGGACTGAGTCCGGCTGAGCGGGGAGAAGATTTTGCAGCAGAAGCTTGGAACGCAAAATTCGAGTTCTTGAGCTCATGAACAGGCTCTTCAACGGCGTTAAAATGTTCCAGTGCTTAACATACTCAGCCTCGCCATTGGTCCCATTGATATGCGGGTTTTTCCGACTCCCACAGGCTTTATCTCTTATCTCTTACTCTGGCCATCAGAGCCGTCCACTTGAAAAGGGTCCGTAACGGGGCTTACCTCCCCAAAATAGACATAATTTTCTGCACGGTCGCAATTGACATCTCCATCCTCCACTCCCGTACACCAAGGCCCCACCATCTGGCATTTTTCACCCAACACAGCCAGATCTTGCCGCGATTGGAAAATCCAGATAAGGGATCGTTTGTACATTTCGGTACTCAATATCCCCAGACCAGCTCTGACGTCCGCTGCACGAGCAGCATATTGGTCTATCTCCTTACAGAAGATCCACGTCCTGATTATCTATTGAGACACTCGACTGCGTCATAGGCCTCGTGCATCCTGCAAATGACCACTGCTTTAAAAGGCACATTATTGTCCTCGGCAATGTCAGATTTTGCCAATTTGGTTGTTTTAAATCAGCATTCCTATTTTTCTTTCGTCGTTGATCTTGACCAAGCATCAGAAGTTGGCTCGATAGGTTGGCTCAATAGGTTATTTTAAGACTGGACACCATTAGCAGCAGCACTAGCACTCGCTCACCATGTCGCGGTTTTTGAAAAATTTCAAAGATGTGTTCATTCCTGTTGCACCTCTTGTTTTGCCAACAGGTGAAGTGGAAATTGTTCCCAGAAACAGCCATATGGCCTCGATCCCTTCAAACCAGGCCGACAACAAGAATCTGAAGACCCTCGAGGATATCGATATGGAGACCTCTTCTGGAATCTCTGAAAATATTTTCGACATCGGAAACACCCACAGAAAACTTCTCAATCGCCATATCCAGCTGATTGGTATTGGAGGAACCATTGGTGTTGCGCTTTTCGTTGCTATTGGTACTGCTCTCTCTCATGGTGGCCCTCTGAATTTGTTCCTAGGGTTCACCTTCTGGAGTATTCCCATCTTGATGGTCACAGCAACTTGTGCCGAGATGGTGTGTTATCTGCCAATTTCTTCGCCTTTTATTCGTTTGGCTGGAAGATGTGTTGATGAAGCCTTGGAGACTACTGCAGGGTGGAACTTCTGGTTTCTGGAGGGATCTCTGATTCCGTTCGAACTCACTCTGTTCAACACTCTGATTCATTATTGGAGAGATGATTACTCTGCTGCCATTCCAATTGCAGTCCAGGTTGTTCTGTATTTTTTGATCAACGTTTTTGCCGTGAAATTGTACGGAGAGTCGGAGTTCTGGCTTGCGATAGGAAAGGTCATTTTGGCAGTGGGGCTGATCTGCTTCACATTCATCACCATGGTGGGTGGAAACCCCCAGCACGACCCTTACGGCTTCAGATACTGGAGAGACCCCGGTGTGATGAACGAGTACATTCACACCGGTTCTCTGGGCAGATTTCAGGGTTTTTTGGCGTGCGTGATCTCTGCGTGTTTCACAATTGCCGGTCCAGAGTACGTCTCCATGGTCGCTGGTGAAGCTGTGAATCCCAGAAAGAACTTGCCAAATGCCTACAAACAGGTGGCTTATAGACTGACACTCTTTTTCGTCGGAGGTGCCCTCTGTGTGGGTATAGTTTGTGCCTATAACGATCCTCTTTTGTTGGACGCCATCAGCAACTCCAAGCCAGGCGCAGGTTCTTCGCCATACGTTATTGCCATGACCAACATGCACATAAAGGTGTTGCCCCATATCGTGAACGTGATGCTGATAACTTCCTCGTTTTCAGCAGGTAACTCGTACACTTATTGTTCTTCCAGAACATTGTATGCTCTGGCTCTCAACGGAAAGGCTCCCTTCTTCTTTGCTTACTGCAACAAAAATGGTGTTCCAATCTATGCAGTGTTGGCCTCATTATGTTGGGCCATGTTGGCTTTTTTGCAATTGGGTGAAACCGCCAGAACCGTGCTTAATTGGATTGTGAATCTGGTAACCGCAGCGCAGTTGATGAACTTTTTGATCATCTGTGTTACTTACTGGCATTTCTTCAGAGCATGTAAAGTGCAGGGAATTGACAGAAACTCGTTCACCTTTAAGGGATGGGGACAACCTTACTTGTCGATAGTTGCTGGTACTCTTGTCTTCATCATGCTGTGGGTCCAGGGCTACACTGTGTTCATTCCAGGAGGATGGTCGGTGACATCGTTTCTCTTCTCATACCTCATGATCTTCATTGATATTGCCATCTTCCTCTTTTGGAAGGTGTACAAGAGAACGAAGTACCGCATCCCAGCCGAGGTGGACCTAGTGTCTGGCCTGTCTGAGATCGAGGAGCACGAGAGGATTTATTACGCGCATCTGGAGAAGCATGGTGACGACCCAGTGAAGTGGTACGATAGGGTTTCTGCTATTTTGTTTGGAAAGTAAGCGAAAAAAAGCTGGAATTTCCTACTAGCGAACGCTTTGGAGAGTATCGGACTTCTCAGTGGTTTTTTTAGTTTTTTAGCTCACAATTTTGATAATTTAGTATTTTTCTGTTATAAATATAGTCTGTATCTATAGTATGAATTATCCAGATTATAGAAAATAAGGAGAATACGGAATCAAAAAATGATTCGTTTAATTTTGCATGATTATTTGCTAGTAAAATACAAGAGGTGGGCCAGCATGCAAAGTGTGGCTGGTAATCCGGCATTGAAAATAACCAATATCTACATTGATTATTGACCTATTCGGATGCCATTTTCTAGTTCTAAAATTTAATAGCATATAATTCATGCATTTTGATCAAAGAATCGCCAGTATATAGGGTATACTTGGTGATCCAGAAATCTTCTCCTTTGGGCTAGTGCTACCAGGAGTGCTCTTTGAGCCAAAAAAGCAACTTACTATCAAATTTCCACAAATATTTCTCCAGAAATACTCCAATTCATGTTTTTTATTTATATCTCAACCATTATTTTCGCCCCTTTTCTGGATAACTTTGTACCTGCCTATTTGCAACTCTTCGCTGCGGCTTTGTCTCGTCTGCCAAATACCAACGTGTCTACACCCAACGCGTCGACGAGCTTTTTGCCTCGCAAACTCATCAATCAGCAGTCACCACATTCTCCAGTTGAGTATATCCATATCAAACACCCAAGATGCAAGCACCGGTTGTGTTTATGAGTGAGTTGCGAATGCTTCATATTTGATTCATAAAGGTCTATATGCCTATACGCTTGTGCACCATACTAACCCTTCAGACACCAACTCTGAGAGACAGACTGGTCGCCAGGCCCAGATCTCAAACATCACGGCAGCCAAGGCAGTTGCAGATATTATTCGCACGTGTCTGGGTCCAAATGCCATGCTCAAGATGTTGCTGGATCCAATGGGCGGAATCGTGCTTACCAACGATGGCCATGCCATTTTGCGTGAGATCGACGTGGCGCATCCAGCTGCCAAATCCATGATTGAACTGAGCAGAACTCAAGATGAAGAGGTCGGAGATGGAACCACAACCGTAATCATTTTGGCGGGTGAAATTTTGGCCCAAGCGTTTCCATATATCGAGAAAAATATCCATCCTGTGATCGTGATTCAGGCTTTGAAGCAAGCTATGGCTGACGCCCTGGAGATTATCCACAAGGTCTCCAAACCTATTGATACTGAGAACGACGAGGCAATGGTCAAGCTTATTGCTGCTGCAATTGGGACGAAATACGTTGCGAAATGGTCCGATTTGATGTGCAGACTGGCCCTGAAAGCAGTTAAAACCGTGATGTCACAAGATGGTGAACACAAAGAGATTGATATCAAGAGATATGTGAAGGTGGAGAAGATCCCAGGTGGAGAAATCGAAGATTCGGTGGTTCTGGACGGTGTTTTGCTGAACAAAGACGTTACCCATCCAAAGATGAGAAGACACATTGAGAACCCCAGAATCATTCTGCTTGACTGTCCTTTAGAGTACAAGAAGGGTGAGTCACAGACAAATGTGGAGATCACCAAGGAAGAAGATTGGAGTAGATTGTTGGAGATTGAAGAGGAACAGGTCAAGCTAATGTGCGAACATATACTGGAATTTAAGCCCGATCTGGTGATCACAGAGAAGGGAGTCTCCGATCTTGCCCAGCATTATCTGCTGAAGGGAGGCTGTACAGCCTTGAGAAGATTGAAGAAATCTGATAACAACCGTATTGCTCGTGCTACTGGAGCCACCATCGTGAACCGTGTGGAAGACTTGAAGGAGTCCGATGTTGGTTTAAAGTGTGGTCTCTTCAAGGTGGAACAGGTTGGAGACGAATACTTCTCGTACATAGTCAAGTGTCAGGAACCAAGAGCATGTACTGTCGTTTTGCGTGGTCCTTCCAAAGATATCTTGAACGAGATTGACAGAAACTTGCAAGATGCCATGGCTGTGACTCGTAACGTCTTCTTCGAGCCAAGTTTGTCTCCAGGTGGTGGTGCCACGGAAATGGCTGTCAGTGTTGGACTTTCTGAAAAGGCCAAGTCCATCGAAGGTGTTCAACAATGGCCTTACCAAGCCGTTGCTGATGCATTTGAAGTGATACCAAGAACTTTGGTGCAAAATTGCGGTGGCAACCCAATCAGAACTATCTCACAGTTGAGAGCTAAACATGCCAATGGCGAGTTCACCTACGGTGTTGATGGAGAAACCGGAAAACTGGTTGATATGAACGAGTACGGTATCTGGGAGCCTGAGGTCATCAAGCTGCAGAGTGTGAAAACTGCCATCGAGAGTGCCTCTTTGTTGTTGAGAGTTGATGACATTGTGAGTGGAGTTAAGAAGAGTAGTTAATTGAGAAAACACCCGAAAATCATACCATACGGCTAAATATTTCAATGTAGTCTGTCAGAATAATCTACTCAAAGGAGAATGTTAAAAGCGATGTGCATACCCTGCACAAATGGTATATGTCCCATTTTGGGAGTTATAATTTTTTTCCATAAAATTCACATCTGAAAAATACATTACCCTTTGTTAGACCTCACACAATCCAGTCACCAAGACCATGGGGAAATTAAAGAAAAAGTCAAGAGCTTCAATAGAGAGACGTAAACAGGTTCTCGGCCAGAGAAAAAAAGAAGTGGACGACTCCACCCAGAAGAAGGTGGCACCTCTCATCTCCAAGTTGTCATCATCTGCGCCTAACGAAAGATCAATGGCGATTTCGGCTGTGTCCATGATTTGCGATACCGACTCGAAGCTGAGAAAATTGTTCTTGAAGGAGAAACTGGTTCAGATAACAATGGAGCAATTGTTAAACGATAATAATGACGAGTGTGTCATGGAAGCCTGGGGTCTCTTGAGGAACCTGGTGGTTGACGAAGGCTATGCTGTCGCGGTCTATACGTGGCGTAATGATATCTGGACTGCTCTTCATGCTGCTTTAGTTAAAGCGGATGCCAGCTTGGAAAAAGTGGACGGTTCTACGGGTTCTGTGGAGAAGACCCTTCTTTTCGATTACATCGAGAACGTGCTTGGTCTGATCGAGGCCCTAGCCGAGGTTGATGATAATGATCTAAGAGACGAAGTGATGAACAAAGTTTTGTCGGGGAATATTGTGGAGTTTCTTCTGAAGGTGAAAAGCCACCCAAAAGTCACTGCAAAACTGTATACGTTCGTGATTGGATTTTTCTACGAGATCAGCTCCCAATCGCTCGAGTTCTTAAGATTGAGCTCTCAAAAACTGTCTTTGGAAACTTCGGCTTCGTCCAACTCTGGATTTCTAGCTCAGCTGTACCATATCGGTTTAGACTTCCAGCTGAAGGAAGTCCAGAACGCGATAACCCCGCAAGTGGCCCTGCGGTACCTAGAGACCATCCAGACCTTGCTTGCTCAGATTGATCTCTCAAAAACGTCCCGTCAGGAAGCCGCTAGCGATATCCCCACCAAGGAAGAAATAACTGGCTTCCAAGAGACAAAAATGAACATACAGGCTGTGGACGTGGCTTTGGACTTGGTGTCTGCAATTGTGGAATCAATTGGATCCAACAACCTGGGAAACGAGCAGATCTACCAAGTATCCACCAATCACATCATTCCCAGTCTTGTGCTAATATCTCAAAACGAAGAGTTCGTGTCGAAGGCTCTTGTTGCTCTTTACAATTACTCGTGGCTATTAAAATCAGAAGAAGACTGGTTGCCCACAGCACAGGAAATACTTGCCATGGTGCTTCCTCAAGTGTATCAGACGGAGGAGTTGGAATTGAAGACTGACTACCTAAATCTGGCTTGGGTATTGTTAAGTACGTCTGGCGATTTTGAAGCGAATTCAGACATCAACCAGGTTCAAGGCTTGATCACGTTTTCGACCAATTTGGTGCAGTCGGAACAAATTCCTGGAAACTTGACTGGCTACTATACTTCGTTGATTAGGTTCTTGTCTAAACTACCGGCCAGATCCTCCTTGGAAATAGCCACTGCTATTGGTGACTTCTTGGTGGAATGCACAAGGTCGTCGCTCGAGCAGCTCGTGACTGGAAATTTCACCCAAATTCACACGAGATATCAGAACCTGTTCGAGATCAACACCGTGGAGTGCCTGAATGCTATCTTCGATGTTTTTGGTGACGCATCATACGCTTATGATGAGTCTGTCTACGTTCAGAGAGACTACTCTTCGAAACTAGAGTCTCTAATTTCTCACGTGAAAAGGGTATTCAAGGTATGTGACAAATCCAAACACCCAGAGTTGAAGGAACAATTAGCCGAGGTCATGGACAATCTACCATTATTCATAGAGTACAAGAGGTCCGAGAGAAATTAGGCACGTATAACTTGGTACACGAAAAAATGGATCGTCCGCATCAACTGAAGTGTTTTGCCTGTTCTTTGACCTTCATATCGTATTCCTCTCTATTCTTCATATAGGCCCTGTAGGCTGGTTCCTGAGCTGGCGACAGCGGGTTGGGAGTAGTCAAGAGCTCCTGAACCCCCAGTAATATTTCCTTCAAACTGATCGAGGGCTTCCAGTCTTGCTCGTCGTTCAAGATGGACAGACAAACAGTTCCACTGGGATATACGTTGGGGTGGTAAAAGTCCTCTGTGAATTTGACTTTGGGAGCTTTGGCCGGATAATCTTGTGTAAATGTGACAGTTATAGGGTATGTGGCTCCTTCCCATATCGTACCCTGTTTTCCAGGAATTCCACACACCCATTTGTATAAGTCATAGCCGTCCGCGTCCTTCTTTGGTTTGGCAAAAAACCCGAAAGGGTGGTCTTTGCGCCATTGTTTTCTGCTTGAGAGTTAGTATGACGCGATGATGCATTAGTATATGAACAGACTCACCTCTCCTGTTGCAAGCGCTGCAAACACAAGCTCTGTTCCGGCATCTTTGTGAAATTTCTGGGCCAAATACGCTCTTATCTGAGATGAATGTTGGTGGTTGGGATGAACGTGAAGTTGGCGTGCGAAAGACTTCAAAAGCTGCTTTTGGATCACGTGACTATAATATGAGCCGCTCCAAAATTTTTGGAAGTGCCGTTTTTTTTTGGTCCAAAACTTGGCCTGAAAACGGCTCCCAATTCATGTTTTCGAGCGTGTTACTGGACTTGAAGCAATTGTGCAAAGTGAATTTGGATTTTGAGCACGAGAATAGAATTCTCGTATGGAAAGTGCCTGGCTGCTAAATGCTTCCCCGTCCCCAGGTTTGATGACCAAGCCAGTCCTCAGACCCCATTAGCAATGGTATAGACACAAACCCACAAACCAAAACCGTATATCGGTGATTTTCCATTTTTCTAAGTCTCATGAAATGACTCTAACCAACTTAAATCCCCGAAAACTCCCCAATATGATCGCAAATTCCAGTCCTCTGGTCCAGATTCCCCTCCCATAGAAGTGGTCGTCTGGAGCACAATTTTACCCGTTTGCGGGCAAGTTGTCCACAAGAGCCGAGAGAGTAACTGATTAGCCGACCACCACCTTGTTCCCTTCTCAAACCTACAGCATATAATGTCCGAGGAAGACGATCTTGATGATCTCGATGATTTCCTCGATGATTTCCAAGATGAACTGCTAGAGGATGCTCAGAAGAAAGAAGCAGAGTCCAAGAAAGAAGTAGAGACCAAAGAAGCTACCCCAGATGGCGAGAATCAGAATGCCAGTGACACATCCAACATAGAGTTGGAGTTGCAGAAGCAATTCGAGCAGTTGCTCATAGACATGTCAATGAATGACCCGAAAACTTCTGACGATCTCAAATCTGTGATGGATGACCTGAAATCTGAAGCCAACGATAAGAAGGCGGGAGGTTCCAACTTCCAGAACGCGATCTCTGAGACAATATCTAGACTCAAGACCAGTGGCGAACAAGTCGATCAGCAGATCAAACAGGAGCAACCCGATGAGCTTCTGACTCAATTGCTTTCGTCTCTAGGAGGCGGTGATCCTTCTGGGCTATTAGGAGGCTCTGACGATATCTCCAAACTATTGGTTGAGATGCTAGATCAACTGAGCTCCAAAAAAGTGCTATATGAACCCATAAAGGAGCTCAATGACAAATATCCAGCATGGCTGGAGACTAACAGAGAGAAGCTTAGCGCCGAAGAACATGACAATTACTCCAAGCAATACGATATATGTTCTCTGATTGTTACGAAATTCGATGACCCCCAATACGACGAGACAGACGAGGCTACTAAGGAATTTATAGCAACCAAACTGGAGGAGATGCAAGAACTGGGGATGCCTCCATCTGAGCTCATGAATCAAGACCTAAGCATGCTTCCAGGGTTCGGTGGCTCTGGAACTGAAGGTGTGTTGCCTGAGTTACCTAAGGAATTGGATGATACATGTCAGCAGCAGTGAGGCGAAAATTTGTAATTTCTATTGGGAATGGGAGTTTATTGACGATCGTGGAAGTGATCAGGTATCGGAGTTTTCATATCTTCATTATCATTATCATTATCATTATGTTCTATAAAAGTTAGTTTTCTGGTTCACACTAATGTGCACGGTTTATGCTGAAATCCAGAAATCAGCCCTTCGTTTCTTCAAGTAAAATAATCAGACATCCATGGAAGGTCATTGGGCGGTCACTGGTGTACAAAGATGGGTTCTCACGTACGCTACCGAGGAAACTGCGAATGTTTATAGTAAACTTTCATCATCTAAATCACTTGAAGAAACAAAGTTCCAACTCCGGCTTCTGGAAAAGCTCCACATACTCTAATTTTTTTCAAGTTAGTCAAACAGTCTTGATGAATGCATGTCATGGGCACAATTTCATTAAGAATCAGTGGAGTTGAATACTGGCAAGTATAAGTCTTGGACTCGCTCCCGAAGAAGCGAAAGACGATTTTCAGCCATGTCGTCATGGTCGAATCAGACATGGAAAGAAGAACTTTTTCTCATCATTTAAAATGGAATTGTAGATGACGAAGCTGCGAGAACATACCTTTTGAATTTGGGTTTTAAATCATTTTCAACAGAACTGTTGAGACTTCTGTTCAAAAGAAGACTTGTAAACTAAACTTTTGCCAGAAAGAATTGAAAAGAAAAAAAAACTCCAATTTATACTGTTAGTGCTGAGATTTACGCATGAATCGGGATATGACTTACACGCATGAATAATTAACTGTCTAGGCCCATAGACACGTTCTCCATAGACGGCCATATATTGAAAAATTAGAATCTAAATGTCTTACCCCTGGTACTTCTTAGCATCGGCTATAACATTCTCGGCGGACACAATCACAACCTCAGGATTGGTTTCTGAGGCCGGAGCCTGCAATGCATGGTACAAGGCACACTTGGCAACGTCCTCGGATTCCACAGGACTCATCATGTACTTGCTCAAAAAGGTTCCCTTGAAACGAGAAAAGATGGCTCTGGCTGTATCTTCGGCTGCACCTTTAGAAACCTCACGTTCTCCCAGCAAAAGTCCGGGTCTCAATATGACAGTCTTTGGAAATCCCAAGGCGATGATGTCGTCTTCCAGCTTGCCTTTTGTGGAAGGATAAAGGAACATGGAGCTAGCACTAGCGCCAATACTGGACACGATCACAAACGTGCTGATACCAGCTTCTTTGGCCGCTTTCGCGGCTTCGTAGTTGATACCGTAATCTATCTTGGTGAAGTTCTCTGCAGAGCCAGCATTCTTTCTAGTGGTACCAAAGGCAGAAACAAACACATCTGCTTTGTGGGCTTTGATGAGATCACCCCATTTGTCGGAATCCTGTTCAACGACAGCTTCAATTTTATCTGCTTGAGTCTTTGGAGCTCTTCTGGTAAACGTAGTGATGTGAGAGACCGATGAGAGCTTGGTGGCGAGCTGCAGGACATGGGATCCCACCAATCCGGTTCCTCCAAGAATTTCAATAGCGACCATTGTAAAGAAAATTAAAGTAGCAAAATCAGATATTCAGCGATACCAATTATAAAGCAGAAGGATTGTACAATTCTTTGTAGGACCAGCTAGTAAAGTAGATGGTAGTGGTGAGCTATACAGATGGCTGGATAGACATGTGGAAATAGGGGCTCATAACCTGATAATATCCGGGGAAGAGATAGAAATGATAAAAATGATCAATCATATACAGAATGATGTAAGAACTTGATGAGTTGAGTGTATCGTATAAATTAAGGTGATCCGTTTTTTGATTTTTGAAAAAATTATAATCTAGAAATTGAATCTGCGCTCAAAAGTAAACCAGATGAAAGAAAAGAAAGGCTATCTTTAGCTGAATTGTTAGAGACACCATGCTTGGGACATAAACCCGGTAAACCAGACAGTGAGGGAATTATTCTCATGCTGAAAAAGATGTTTGAATTATTTCTGATTAAAAGAAAGGACTGAAGCGGTTCGTGTAACATAAAATTGCTCGGCATTATTATCACATTTCTCGTTTTAACTCTCCCGTCTTGACCCTCAGCATTTCATTAACTGTTACTATGGAGAGGAATTCCTCTTCCTGAGAATTCTCATCATCATCTAATACTGGCTTCTGCAATGCCGCCTCTGTGTCTAACCCATCTATCTCTAGAAACTCGGCATACGAGAAGAAACTGATTCTTCTGTCTTTCGCATCCTGGTCGAGTTCAAACGCGTAATCCGAGTTCGAGACCCTTGATCTCGATAATAGCGGTGAGGTTAAACCCGAGCTACTTAGTATGGACGAAGGTCTTCTCACAGCAACGAGCTTGATCTGGTCCAAATCTGCGTCATTACCAGTGATGAGCTCGCAAGTGGCATCCAATATGGGCGCGGTGTAGGATTCGGTAGTGTAATGAGAGGGGATTGATAGTGATGTTGGAGATACCATTACTGTTTGTGTAGGTAGAGAGTGTCCCCTGATTTTCTCTGGTGGTGATGCATTAGTGCTTGGTACCAATGAAGGACCCAATTGCACTGATCTTTCGAATATCATCAATGCACCTGGAGGTGTTAATGAACCGGATGTAATTCTCTGGGGCTCTAAAATACTCGTATTTGGTGACGGTGATTGAGATTTCGAGTTGTAATCGTTGTAGTCGGTAGTGGCTTTAGTTCTGGTCAAAGACCAATGTCTGAGCCTTTTGATTCTCTTACCAAACTCTGGAATAGACGTTAGTAGGTCGCTCATAGGATAATTCGAAAAGAGTGACTTTAAAGTCGACTTACCGAATGATTTTAAAAAACTGGTAGATTGAAGGCTACTTGGTTGGGTGGCGGCCATCATAATGGTCCTTCTATGATAGTAGAACAGAATGATCTCATAGGGCCAAATGTAAATCCACCACTAAAGAATAGAGGGGTATGCAGATGTTATAAAGCCCTTTCCAAAAAAGGATCGCGAGAGGACAAAATATCGTGGAACTCGAGTGATCCCACTTACAACATCGTGACGGTGCTTTGAAGCGGGAAATCCACCGAAGATTCTCTCGCATGACCGCCGCCTTCTATGGAAAGTCTCGTGATTACGGCCCGGAGTTGCTTAAACTTCCAGAAAACTGGTTACAATTATTTAGAGAAATTAAACGGCATTTGTTTGAATGATATTACCTGCTGTGCATCTTCAACAGTTGTTGCTTATGCCTGCGACAACACTTCGTGCTCCGGTCTTGAAAGGTTGCTTCCGTGCTTCCCCACCATGATGTTGTTCCATGACCTGCGTGATTCCCCCGACGTAGCTTCCATATTGGGATTTTTGCATGATGCAGTTTCCGTTAGTGCGGCGTTATAATTGGTGGTACACTACCTCTTTGTTGTTGATCTGACACACGACCATTGTCACGAATTGTGTGGACCTTCTTGAACTACAACAAACCAGTCGCGTCTGTGAGCCGAACAGGTATCCCCCATATCGGTTGAAGTATGTCTTTCAGCACTCCTTTTTCGAGCCCTACAAAGTCCAATGCATCCACCCGTGTGATAGACTCGCTCCACGCTGAAGTCGACGTACTCAAAGCTGAGCTGTCAAAGACTAGAAGTGAGCTAGACGAACACAAGAAGAAGTATGACAGCACCCAGAAAGAGCTGGTGAAACTGGAACAGAAGATGGATATTACCAAACACCACAATGACATGAACGATGCTCTTCTTACGCGTAAAGAGAGAAGGATTAAAGATCTTGAACTGGAACTTTCGACATCCATTGCTGATCTAAAAGACAGCAAATTCGATTTGCAAAACACAAAGACTACAATGGGAAATCTCGAGAAGCGCCAAAAGGAGATTGTGGCCGAAAATGAGAGGCTCAAAGCCCAGTACAACTCGTTGCAGGATACAAGTTTGGATTACAAGACTCATTTCGAGGCCGAGATAAAGCGGTTGAAGTTGTCACTTTCTGGCTTCCTTTCTTCTAGAGAGGACGATCTGAAAGGTCTCTCGTCGCGGTTGGACGCCGTTCAAGAGATCCCACCTTTGGAGAAACGCGATTTTGAAAAGGTCAAGGAGAACTCCAAGCATCTGGAGCTCATGTACAAGCAGAAGAACGACGCAATGGCGCAAGCGCTTAAGCAATTGGCTCTGGCTGCGAGGAAGATGGGGACTCAGACCATGGATGTTCTCCGTGAGTGCGAGGAGGTCCTAAGAAAGGAGAGAGGCGGTGAAGAAAACGAAGTGAAGACTCAAAATGTTCCCGTCGTGCCGCCAACTAATGAACAGAGCTCTGCCAAATCTCCCAGAACCGCTGAAAAGGTGCAACCAGGAGCTGTAAATATCTCCAAAGCTCCAACCAAAGAAAAAGCCAAGTCCCCCGTTGTGCCAGGATCCACTGACAAGAGTGCTGTGACCTCCCCAAGAATCACGGAACAGAAACCCGTGGAATCCTCTCCAAAGAAGATCACCACAGATCGCGTTGAACTGCCAAAGAGTCCTAAGGAGACTAATGAAGATATAGCTCCTGTCGAGTCTGTGACCGCTGTTGAAGCATCTCCCAAGACACCTACTCTGGAACGTGATCAGAAAGCCAACCAGAAGTCTGGAGTGAAAGAAGACGAGAGCACAGAAAACACCGACTTTGAGTTAGTGGACCGCCAGCCGTCCACAAAAGACACTTCGGTTGAACCCGAGACCAGGGACGAAGACGAGAGTTCAGGGGAGCCAGATGAAGATGAAAGTGAAGGTGCAAAAGAAGCACCCCAGAAAGACGAACCTGAGCATGAAGCCTCAACCAGTAACACAGCAAACGCAAAACCGAAAGGGAAGGGGAATAACAAGCGCAGGCGCAAGAAGCCAAGTGCTAAGAGATGAAAGAGTTGATGGACTGAATGCCTCCAAAGAGAGCAAGTATACGGTGATATATCCACGGAGCGATGCAATCGGGTTTATCAAAAACACATTATAGAGTGATAACTGGTTGAAGTGAGTATCCACGGAGAGGTATGTCGCTATACTTGAAAATCGTTCATTTATAGGTGTATATATCTATTTACAGCAAGAATCTGGTACTAATTGCAATATCTTTGCAATGCTCATTTCTTGTTTTTTTGCTGGTATTCCTCGATCAACTGCTTCTGCAAATGAGGAGGGGCAGGCTGGTATTCCTTGAATTCCAACGAAAACTCTCCCTTACCTTGGGTGACTGCTCTCAGTTTAGTAGCCAAACCAAACAACTGGTTCAAAGGACAGTCACAAATGGCTTGGAAATCATCGTTGGAATTTTCAGTCTCTAGGATCATGGCACCGATCTTGGTCAGCATACCCATCACCACACCCTGAAACTCGATAGGCGAGACAACGTTCAGAGCCATGATGGGCTCCAGGATAATTGGTTGCGATTCCAGAAAAGCCTTGTTGAAGGCCATTTGGGTGGCAGTTCTGAAAGAGAACTCGGACGAATCGACAACGTGGATCTGACCATCGTTGATCAACATGTTCACACCCAACACTCTCTGGCCGATAAGAGGACCCTTCTCAATGGCGTCCTCAAAACCCTTCTGACACGCAAACAGGAATTTGTCAGAGATTCTTCCACCGACAACCGCAGTCTTGAAAGAGTTTGCCAGCTTGGGGTCCTCGGAACCAGGTGCAATAAAACAGCCAGTGGTATCGGCAGCCTCAGACGTCTGCAATGTACCCATGACACGAGCAAATTGACCAGCACCACCAGACTGCTTCTTGAAAACGACATCGAAGTCCGCGGAACTGGCAATGGACTCACGGTAAGCCACCTGGGGCTTACCAGTGGTACACTCGACATTATACTCACGTCTCATTCTCTCGATGTAAATCTCCAAATGGAGCTCTCCCATTCCCGAGATGATGGTCTCTTGCATTTCGGAGTCGTATCTGACTCTGAACGTGGGATCTTCTCTCTGGAACCTGTTGATTGCCTTTGAGAAGTTGGCAGCATCCTTGGTTTTTGGCTTGATGGCCAGAGAAACCACAGCGTCAGGAACGAACATAGAAGACATGGAAACGTGGGTTCCGTCTGTGAACGAATCACCAGAAGCACAGTCGATACCGAAGGTAGCGCAGATTTCACCCGCACCAATCTCCTCGACATCCTCCATCTCGTTGGAGTGCATTCTAACCAGTCTTGAGACCTTGACTCTCTTACCAGATTTGACGTGATAAATCATTCCACCCTTCTTGAGTTTGCCTTGGTAGACACGCAGGTAGGTAAGTTGACCGTATCTGCTCTCTTCAAGCTTGAACGCAAGAGACACGAAAGGCTCAGTGGAGGAGGGCGAGAGGATAATTCCCTTTTCATTGGAGGGATCAGAAACATCTAGACCTTTGTTAAGAACTTCGGAAGGATCGGGCAGGAAGTCACAGACAGCGTCCAAGACAGGCTGGACACTTCTATTAGCCAAAGCAGATCCCATCAAGACGGGAGTGAACTTTCTGCCAATCGTGGTACGACGAATAGCAGCTTTGATCTGCTCAACAGTTGGCTCAACTTCTTCAATGAAACACTCGGCAATCTCGTCATCGACATCGGCCAGAGTCTCGATCAAAACGGATCTCTTTTCTTCGACAAGTTCCTTCAGGTTGTCTGGAATCTCAGCAGTCCTGATGGTTTCACCTTGAGAGCCTTCATTGTAAAGAGCGACACGGTCGATGATGTTCACAACACCGGCCAGATCAGACTCTTCGCCAATAGGAACCTGGATGGCAGCAGCTGGGATTCTCAGTTTTTTGTTAATCTGGTCGATGGCCTTCCATGGATTGGCACCCATACGGTCCATCTTGTTGATGAAGGTGACACGGGGAACGTTGTATCTTCTCATCTGACGATCCACAGTGACGGTTTGCGACTGGACACCAGCAACGGCACACACCACCAAGACAGCACCGTCCAACACTCTCAAAGCTCTTTCGACTTCAATGGTGAAATCGATATGGCCCGGCGTGTCGATCAGATTGAAGTGGTAATTCTCTCCGTCTTTATCCCAAGAACAGTACGTAGCAGCAGATTGGATGGTAATACCCTTTTCTCTCTCGAGTTCCATAGAGTCCATCTTGGCACCAACCTGGTCCTTTCCTCTGACCTCGTGAATGGCATTGATACGACCAGTGTAGAAGAGAACACGCTCGGTGAACGTAGTCTTACCGGAGTCGATATGAGCGGAAATTCCGATGTTTCTCATATTCTTGAGTCTGGCAACATCTTTGTCGATCAGAGTGGTAGCCAACTCATCAAGGATAACCTTCTCTTCCTCGTACGTTTTCAGAGCTCTGGACTGACTGAAAAATCTCCCACAAGACAACCGGGATACAGTTGCCGGAGCCCTGCATATTTTGGCAAGAAAATTTGCTCCTGAGCTAGGCTTGAACATGTTTGCACGCCAGACCAAGAAAAAAAATCCTTTCTCGAGGACTTCACCTTGTTGGTTGTGGGTATAATAAGTCTTCAGCCCGATCTGTCGGCCACTCCGAGGACCGTGAAAAATCAGAATTGTTGGAGCACGACCAAAGTTAAGCTCCCTCGAGATAACCGAGATAAGGATTTCGGATGGAGGCCGTGGGGCAGACGGTTTGAAATGGGTGGGCAAATGGATATCGCTTTTACAGTATTCAAGGTGAGTGAGCTGACCGAATCTGACGATTCGCAGAAACTGGAGGAGGGTTTGATCAGGGTCATCAATCGAGGCTACGACAAGCCTAGATTCAAGTACAACCTGATTAAAACTCCTCGGATCAAAGTAGGTTTGGTTCGAGATCTCAAGTTGACAGATACACGGGAGTCATATTTAGGCGTGGTTTACGTGAAAACCCATGAAGGTGTTGAAAACGGCCATGATGCAAGCTCTTTAACGTCTCAGTTCATGGCCTTAGGCCAATTCGACTTAGCGCACATAAAGCCAACCGGCACTTTTTTCGAGTTGTCTGAAACTCTACTCAAAGAGTATGAGACAGGAAAAACGTGCATCTTGGGAACAATCGGGATCAAACCTTATAAGTCGGTAGCGAGTTCCTACGAGCTCACTGCATTTACCTCATTCTACCCCCGGTTGGGTGAGGTGTTGATCAATCAAATAGAATCGCTTGCCAAGAAACTGGGAGCGAAAAATATTTTTGCATCAGTGATCACAGATCACTTTTTGGTGGACTACTACGCAAAACATGATTATATCGTTGAAACCAGGGTGCTGTGTAAAGTAGACCCGCAAACCGGTTTCGTGATATCAGACGATCTTGAGGATTCAATCGAAGCCAGCAAGGACTTCGAACTCGCTCTTTTGAGGAAAACTCTGGTTTAGAATGGTCAAAATGTGCTAATTCGAGGATTTCATAAAGATATTGACCGTATAACCGTTGTCGTATCACCCAGAAGCAAGACTACCATGATCCAACAGAAAAAGAAAATGACTATGAAACGGATATTAATGTTTGTACTACAAATATTTAGAATTATTCATCATCCCCCTTCGACTCGAAAGGCACAAGGTTCTTGGTTCCGTCTTCCCATGAAACACCGTTGTAAGTGATGTTCTTGATGGCCAAGACCACGTCGTCAATGGCACCTCTAACTTGCTTGGTCGAGTCACGTTCTCTCAACGTAACGGAACCATCATCAACAGAATCGAAGTCAATGGTGACACCGAATGGAGTTCCCAACTCGTCGTTTCTGGCATATCTCTTACCAATAGAGGCAGAAGAATCATCAATCTTGAATGGGATTTGGTGAGATCTCAGGATCTTAGAGACCTTCTTGGTGATAGGAGAGAGACGATCGTTGGTGGACAATGGAACCAACAGCACCTTTGTAGGAGCAACCAATGGGGGAAGAGACAGAACACATCTCGATTCCGATCCGGGTCTGGCCCAGAAGGTGTGCTCAAAGATTGCGTAGAGAATACGTCCGATACCGAAGGATGGCTCGATCACGTTAGGGGTGTATTCTCTAACGTGCTCCACATGAGTCTTTTCCTCAATCTTGATAAGATCTTGACCGATCTCAACTGGTTCCTCAAATCCAGAGATCTTAGCGCTAATGCTTAGCTTCTCGTCCAACTCCTTGGCCAGATCTTCGAGTTCACATTCCGTGCGGCCGGTCAACCAGTTCTCGACAAGAGGAGCATTCTTCTTGAATTTAGGTCCGAACTTTCTCTTATCAATCTCAACTTCCAGGCGAGTGACCTTCTTTGGTTCTGGCAATGGCTCACGAACAACCAGCTTCTCCTTGGTTCTAGCAGAGTGCACGGTCAAGTCATACGCTGATCTGTCAGCACAACCGACACACTCGATCCAGCCATATGAAGTATGCAACTCAGCATCCCAACAGTCCTGGGCATAATGAGCCATCTCATTAGACATATGCTGACGGAATCTCAAACGAGTTGGGTCAACACCGATCTTGGTCAGAAACAGGTAGATTCTAGCCAAAAAGTAGCCGAGCGTCTCGTTGTCAACCATCTTCGAGCTAACGGCTTCACCGACAGTGGTGGTGATAGGCTCAGTCTTACCTGCTTCCTGTATATCACGAGGCAAGAAGTTCAATTTGACGTCTTTGAAGTCGTCAAAGCTCTTGTGGGATTTGTCGTTGGGGTCGACGTAGTGCTCGATCTCAGCCATCAAAAACTCACGCACACGCAAAAGTCCTGACCTAGGGGAAATCTCGTTTCTGAAAGACTTGCCAATGGATGCAGAAGCAAATGGCATCTTCTCGTTGTTGAAGTCAAGCAACTTGTTGAAGTTCAAAAACTGACCTTGGGCAGTCTCAGGACGCAAGTATCCCTTCAGCTGACCGGATGGACCGATGGCCGTCTCGAACATCAGGTTGAACTCTTTTGGTTGCTCCAAAGGTCCGTTAGTAGCTGGGTTTCCAATCTTGTACTTGATCATAAGTTGACCAAGTTCAGGACCTGAGAAACCATCGATCTTGGCAAGAATGATCTCGTACTCCTTAGCCTCCTCATCTGGAAGTCTGATGGCCTTGATCTCCTTGACCTTCTTCTTTCTCTTCTTCTTGTCCTCGTCTTCTTCAACCACCTCGGCGGCCAGACCTCTGGCCTCTCTGTCACCCTTAAGACGGGCCTCCAGGACCTCTTCCACCAAATGGTCGGCTCTGAAGATTTCACCAGTCTTGAGATCCCTACACATCCAGTCGGCGAACTTATCAACGTGTCCCGAGGTCTTCAGGACCTCGTGGGGAGTCAACATGGTACAGTCAACTTCCAACATGTCCTCCTCCAAAATGAAGTGCTTCCTCCAAACATCGACAATGTTGGCTTGCAAAGCACATCCTGGTGGACCGAAGTCATACAGACCAGAAACACCTCCATAGATCTCGAATGCTGGGGCAAAGAAAAAGCGTCTTTTCAAGATAGACTCTAAATTCTCCCTAGAAAAGGGAACGGCTGCTGCTGTGGACATTGTGTGCACTCCACGTCTGAGAAAAGAACGTAAGAACAACAGTTTGGAATCGTTTGGGTTTGTGACAAGACTCAATGGTTCATCGTTGGCTTTTTTGGTTCAACGTCTCTTGTGACGCTGGATGGCATGATGCGTACCGCACCGGCGCTACGCTTAATGCTGACGAGAATGTCGCTGCATACGTGCATACACGACCCAGGGCTGCCTGACCAATTCAACAATAATAATAAACTCGGAATATCGACTGTGCCCACGCGTAGATAAACGGCGAGCCAAGTGTTGAATTTCTCCTACACCGGTCCGTTTTCAGTTTCGCGAATCGCAATCTAGATCGTTGCCCCGTTTTGTCTTTGCCTCTCTATTTATTGGCTGTTTTTCCGTCCGCCGCAGACTGGAATTGAGCCATTTTTGTCATGCCGTCCCCTTCAAGTGACAGCGACACGGCTCAACAGCCCACTTCTCCTGCTTCCTTGCCGAGGTACCGTGCCACATTGAATGTCAGTGCGCTGACAGACGAGCACTACAATGATAGTGGAGAACTTGATGAGGATAAGGAACAAGATATTTCCCTAAACTCGAAGAAGACCCTGGATCCTCTCATCTTGAACGGACACAGTTTAAACGAAGGCACTCTGGACAACTTGACGCAGGTCTTGGGAGAGTCCAAGATCGATTCTCAAGAGACCATTGCGTCAGAACAGAATACGAATCCCGATGAAGAGGATGATGACGAGGAGTTTGAGTTCGTGTCCAAGCCTCAGCCTGCAAAAGAAGCCATAGAGAGCTCGCACTCATCGGAAGATTATTACTCGAACGGAGTGGAATCTGCTCAGATAGTGTATTTACAGCCTTCGGTTGTTCCTTCGAGTCCCAAGTTGGTCCTAGAGTCTCATGAAAGACTTTCTGTCGCACCATCGCGTTCCTCGGATAGGATAAACGACCTTATCGACCAATTTGCTGATAGCAGAAGCAACCTCGGAAGCTCTCCTGCTCGCGCGAGTGATTTTGATAGTGCGGACGAAGACGGGATAGACAAAGAGAATGCTATACCAGCAGATACCACTCTGGATGGTGAGGCCGAGGTAACAGAAGACACTCTTGATGAAAGTGGGATGCCCGGTTCTAGCACCACCGACCTAAGCGGGAACAGAACGACTCAAGAGACTTCCGAGCTTGAATCTCCCGTTGAGGACACCTCGAATACAGAGGTTCAAAGGTCGTCTTCCTCCAAATCTTCGCCAGATCCGGCTTTCGTGACTCCTACAATTCCACAGCAGCAGCATATGGACGGTCGGAGTAGAGTAGGGTCTATTTCCAATGCAATTTCGCCGAAATTCATGAGAACCACCAACACTGCATCCACGCCGACCTCGGACCGCACATATACCCCTACCTCAAAGCTGAAGAAACGAACAAAAGTGTTCTCAAACTTTGTTTCCTCGCTGAAATCTGCATCATCACCCTCATCTGTTTCCTCGGCATCCTCCAAGGCCAATCTTAGGACGATATCTACGCCCTTTGATGCAGTCCATGTGAGACATGTGGGAATAGACGATGAGACTGGAGAGTTCACGGGCCTGCCGAAGGAGTGGGAAATCCTTTTGACATCCAGTGGAATATCGAGGTCTGAACAGCAGAAGAATCCTCAGGCAATGGCCGATATCGTGGCTTTCTACAAGGATAACATGAATCACGATGTGGAAGATCAGGCGTTGAGGAAGTTCGCTACTGATAAAGTGAATACTAGATCTAGAGATGATTCAAGTACCTCCAGCTCGATGATAGATATACCTGGCGATACCACCTCAGCTTCACCAAACTTGAGCTCTCGGAGCGACGCATATTCTGCGTCAACACCTCGCACGAGAGCTACAGAGAATTTCCAATTTGGTCAATATCCAAAGACTCCGACTCTCAACCAGGAACCCCAGCAGCAGCTCCAGCAGTCTTTACAAAGTCCTTTCAGCGGCGATTATGCTGATGCGGGAGCAAAGAACTCGTTTATACCGACTAGACCTCCGCCTGCTGTTCCCCAGCACCACAACCAACCAGAACAGCAACAGGTGCCTGTTCCTGCTAACTTTGTTCCGTCTACGCCATCTCCAAGAATGCCTCCGCCTCCTCCACCTATGACTTCATCTCCTTCATCGCTGTTTGGCTCTCTATCTAGAAGGATCTCCTCCAAACGAAAAGATAGCATCAGCCATCAACCCATTCAAATTTTGCATCATGCTCCAGGGATTTCCAATGCAGCGCCGCCTACTGTCGATGCAGCACCGTCTTTACATCCCCAAAGGCCTCCTCCACCAGTTCCATCTGCTCCACCTCCCCCAAAGCCATTGGAGCCTATAGCACCACAGAGTGTGGCCAAGCAGGCTGTGGCTGAACCAGTGGCTGCCAGAAAAGAAGAGACTCCTCTTCCTCCAGTGCCAAAAAACGTTCCAATCCGCGATGCGAACCAATCAAAACTCGCTTCTGACCGCAAGAGAGAGGAGAAAAAGAGACGTGACAAGCTTATCCTGGCTAAACTCACCACTATATGCTCGTCCGGTGATCCCTCTCTCAAATACCATAATCTCATCAAGATTGGACAGGGTGCCTCGGGTGGTGTGTACACTGCATACGAGCAAAACTCCAATATGTGCGTTGCTATTAAACAGATGAACCTGGAACAGCAGCCGAAGAAGGAGCTTATCATCAACGAGATTCTAGTGATGAAGGGCTCGAAGCACAAGAACATCGTCAACTTCATCGATTCTTATTTGCTGAGAACAGATTTGTGGGTAGTCATGGAATACATGGAGGGTGGTTCTCTTACTGATATTGTCACTCATAGTGTGATGTCGGAGCGCCAAATTGGTGCTGTTTGCAGAGAGACCTTGTCAGGACTGAAGTTTTTGCATTCGAAGGGTATCATTCATAGAGATATCAAGTCTGACAACATTCTTCTTTCTGTGGATGGCAACATTAAGATTACCGATTTCGGATTCTGTGCGCAGATCAAAGAGTACAACCTCAAGAGAACAACCATGGTTGGAACTCCATATTGGATGGCCCCAGAGATTGTCGGCAAGAAAGAGTACGGCCCAAAGGTTGACATTTGGTCTTTGGGTATCATGACTATTGAAATGATTGAAGGTGAACCACCATACCTGAATGAGACTCCTCTAAGAGCGTTGTATCTGATCACAACCAACGGTACGCCAAAGTTGAACGACCCCGACAGCTTGTCCGATGTACTCAAGAACTTTTTGCAATGGACCCTGGAGGTGAATCCAGACAAACGTGCTGATTCCATCCAGCTATTGCAGGATCCTTTCATTCAGCAAGCTGATGATGTTTCTACGCTTGCACCATTGGTGAAATTGGCAAGAATGCAAAAGGCTGCCGAACGTAATGACGACGATAGCGATGCTGGTATCTGATCTAGGAGATTATATATAGTTGTCAACTCATTATACTCGATCATTTATTTTCCTGCTCCTCGAACAATTGCAGATTGAGCGCACTCAGAAAGCAACTTATATCGTTCTTCTCCTGCACCCAGAATCCTAGAAGATTGGAAACCACTTTCGCAGGCAATCCACCAACTTTGACGTTACTCTCAGATATCGCAGATGTGGTTGGAGACTTGAGATTCGCCAGATCAATGATGATGTAGTCGTCTTCAGAGATTCCATCCACTTGATGAAAATTAGGGAAGAATTTCGATATCAGCTTGAGTTTGGTATCGGACAAAAACTCCAGTTTGTAGCCCAGAAGTTTGTATATGATCTGGTTAAACTCTCCAGTCTTTCTGCTATACACCTCACGCAGTCTTTGTAGACGCTTGCTTGCTTCGAATTCACGTCTCTTAATGTTCTCCTGTTCGAGTAACAGTCTGTCATAGACGGATTTGGGAACGGTTTCGGATGTTACTGATTTCCCCAGAAGCTCATTGTTTTCCAAGGTCAAAGCCTCTAACATCTGTTTCGAGATCCGCTCATGTTGAGATGTTGGATTGTCTTCTAGCTGCAGGATTCTGAGGCCCTTTTTCTCCACCAGTTCCTGGTACTTTGCGGCTGATAAACTGAGCTGAGACCTTATATCCAAATTCTCTCTCGCAAGCTTCTGCTTGGCTTCTTCCAGTCTCTGTATCTCCCTCGAACGGGCCTGAACCTCCTGTATCAACTCCTTATTCTTCGAAGTAAAGTCTTCGTCCGGGATTTTTTGTTCCGTATCGACTTTGCTTGATTGTTGATCCAGCATCCTCTTCAACTCTTCATTAAAACTGTTAAGAGCATTTATCTTGCTCTCCCTAGACTTCAGCTGCAAATTCAGCTCAGCAATAGTTGCATCGCTGTTTTCAGGAGCGCTCTCTGTCTTTCGCCTTTTGGTCCAGAGATGTTGTTCTGATTTCATGCTTTCGATCCTTTCTTTGAGGTATTCGATTTCCTGTCTTGCCAATGTGAGCTTTCTTTCACTGACAGTTGATTCAATTTCCTTCTCTGTGATACTGGATTGAAGAGAGCTAATCTTCTGGCTTAATTTCAACTTGTCTCCACTAAGAGATATGTTTGTCTCTTGAGCGCTGCTCAGTTCTCCCTTCAGCCTGTTAATGATCTCGAGATCGAGTTCTTTCTCAATCTTCAACATTTTCAGCTGTTCAAACAACTGCGTCGGATCGTCTTGGCCAATTATGCCAAACCAGCTGTCGATTTTGGACTGGAGTTTGGCATTTTCTCTTTCTACCTGATTCTTTCTCTCCTCGGTCGTTCTCAAGGCTTCAATTTGGCGTTGCAGTGCAGCCTTTTCTTCCTTTAAAACATCAATGTAATCACGCTTTCCTTTTAAAGCGGATATTTTCCTCTCATTATCCAAAACTTCGCGCTCCAGATAATGCACATGTTCCTGCTGAATCGAGTACTCAGACTGCAGGAGCCTCAAAGCAGCTGCAGAGTCTGAATCATCTTTGTAAGGATTGACGCGGCTGTTCAGCTGTTGATTCAGTTCGTCGGCACGATTATTAGCTCTCTGAGTCAAAGTTTCCTGATGCCGTAACTCCTCCCTCAATTTCTCGATCTCAGCGGTTTTCGACTCCAAAAGCCGATTGGAGTTCTGAGCCTTTTCTTGGTTCTGCGACGTAACATCATCCAGTGTGTTAGAGAGAATACTCACTTCTTTTGACATTTCTGCTATAGTAAGCTGTAACTCTTTAGCCTTTGTTTGTGACATCTTCTCAACTTCTTCGACTCGCACTCGTAAAATCCTATTGGCCTCCTCTAGGGCGGATTTTTGATCGAGTACGAAACGTTGGTCTGAAGACAAAGAATCATTCTGCTCCCCAATCTCTCGCAATTTCTTGTGCAGCTCTCCTTTCTCCAGTTCAAATTCCTCCAACAATAGGCTTTGTTCGCTTTTAGACTGAGACAGTTGATATTTATAGTATTCAACCCGATTTTTCAAGACATTCAATTCATCCTCTTGTCTTGAGGGTTCCTGAATGTAGAATTCGTCCGGAGGATAATTCGGGCTTTCAATAAAAGGCGAGCTGGCACTGTCCATGATGACAATTTCTGACAAGCACCGCTGTAATCACCACCAAAACCACACAAGAAAATCGGAACACGCCTCACTGCTAATCGCTACTATTCTCTGTTGTGGTGTTTGTCCAGGTTACGCGATAGTTATTTGCCCTTCTATGTTTTGGCAGACTCTCACTGCACTTCCTACCAGTTTAATCATCACACTAAATCTCGTTCTTACTATTATACAATATATTCACTGCTCCGGTACCTTGAACCTCGTATACTGCCCCTCGGAATAAATTTTGTTCAAGGCAATCTGAAGCTCGCCTCTAGCCTCCAAATCCAGGTACTTTCTGTAAAGCAGCAGAGCGCTTCTTGCGTCCTCGATGGAGTCGTGATTGCCTGTTTGAACTCTCTCGTTCAGCAGAATGTAGACCAGAAACTTAAGAGATAAAACACGCTTTTCCTTTTTCAGGTAGAACATGTTGATGGTATCTCTGACCTGTTCTTGAGGAACCTGAATGTTGATGGTGCGGAAATCAGACTTCAAGCCATGACCCACAAATACACATCCCATGTTTAAAAGGAGCCACAACTTTCTGTACGCAGTTCTAAGGTCAACCAGAGATTTGGTTGAAACGGCTGAGTCCAGATCACCTGGTTCAATGCCCGAGTATGAGGTCAAGTAGTCATCAATGGCGACTGTGGTGGAGATGTAATCATCAATAAATGGCACTCCATACTTGGGGCCATCTTCTCCACGAATAACCGACACACGGGCAAGAGAAAGTTTTCTTGGGCAAACCAAGGAGCTTTTTCCATCACTCTTGAATTCATATTGGGCAGGAGCAAGCTGAACAAACTCAGCATCAATTGCGACCAGGGTTCCTGGTGTTGGGGCCTCTTCCTTTGTAAGCAGTTCATATTCTATCGTTCTTGATTTCCTGGTTCCCTCTGCAAAATGGTCTCTGTATAAGATGGAATCGTTGAGATTCCTCTTGAAAATATCAAAAGCAAACGGAACACTGATAGCAGTGTTTCGATACACTGCAATAATGGGTCTTTTCCACCAGCTGGAGAAATTCATGACTTCGGACTCAGGAAGAGGCATAACGAGGAAGTCGTTAAACAAATGCCACTTCATTTCAGTAGGAGCATCATCGATGCGAATCAAGGAAACCAAGTGATTCAAACCCTCTTTGGATGTGATCTGGGCAACATAAGCAACAAGCTCAAAGTGATCAGCGGGGATGTTGTTGTCATTTGTGGGGGAGAAGAACCCTCTTCCTTGGTTTTTCGCAAAATAGAACTCGCTGGGCAGCCATCCCTTGGTGTCTCTAAGTTCATTCAACTCTTCGTCGTTGAGGTTCAAATTGAGAGAAAGAAGAGGAGGCAGCTTCGCAACAGACGTAACCACTTCAACCAGATGCTGTCTACCACACACACTACAAGCAATCTGTTGCTGTACATGTCTATTCATGCACGTCTCCATGCAAGTCAGGACTGAGTTTCCGATGGTCTTGTGGTTAGTCGCATTAGTTGAAAGACTTGCGATGTCAAACGAGTGCATGACATCCATGGTACGTTCCCTGGCGTTGCAAAACACGCTCGAGACAATGGTCTCAACATAAATACCCATGATAGAATCCAAGTTCGACGACACCTGCAGGTTTCTCTGAGTCTTTTCATCGGTAGAGAGCCTGATCAGAAGGTATTTGTTAAAAGCCTGAATCAATCTTCTCTGACCGTAACTGTCCTTGATTCTCCCATCGTCGTCAAGAAGACCTAGTTTCTTGACCTCTGGAAGAAGACACATCAATCTCTGAAAGTTTGCGGCACAACAGTGCTTTCCATTGGCTTTTACCAACATGTCAAACAAGTATCCCAGTTCTGAAAGTAACAAATCGGACTCCAGAGCCTCCTGAGAAAGGCTCGACACTGCAAAATTGAAGAGTAGAGGATCAAAACGATAAACCTGAAGCAAGGGGTTGCAGTATGAGTTTGAGACATTCGTCTCCAGACCGGCGTATTTCGTGACATTGTAAAAGTCAAAATCGAAGTCATCCACACCAAATTTGCTATAGAGGATCTCAACCTTGCTGAAACAGTTCGGCACGTTGTTGGTGCGGGAGGTGTATTCAAACATGCTGGTCTGGTTCTTGAGTGTTTCTGACTTTGAGTTTTCGGTTTCCAGGGTTGCGCGCTCACTGATAAACTTGGGAACCTTGACACCGTTTTTGGTGAGTTTCTTAATGGCCTGAAACTTTGTGGAGACGTTCCTCTTTCCGAACTTGTCGTGGTCGTACGGAGCAACCAGAAATTGTTGCACGCGTTTGGAACTATGCAAAATTTCGGGGTCTATCTTCTCGGGCATCGCACCAAGTGTGAATTTTGCATGGATGGGCCATGCAGAAAGCAAAGTGTCCGAGTAATAGGGCAGCTTCACTCCATTCAGAGGATCGTCATCTTTGTCGATAGATATCGCAGTCGGTTGGGTATCATGTTCCATTGAAGGGTAAACCAGGGGGTTTGCAAACAACACAGTTTTTGGAGGATCTTCACCACGTCCCCATACAATGATCTCCTGGAACCCATCCATCAGTGCAAAAGCGTTCCCACTGGGTGCAACCTCGAGCGATGAACCAAACGCTGCCATTTGAGCATGGTATAGCTGCACGTTGGCAGAGTTATATATATCAACCACATGAATCTGTCCGGTCTGTGAAGCTATGATGGCAGCACTGGGTAGTGTAGGATGAAGTCTGACCTGGAAAGCACCAGGTGGGAATGGTATGGGTGCCAAGGGTCTCAATGATCGTATGTCATATACATTGACCAGAGGGTCTGCCAGAAACTTGTCTTGTCTCTTGGTAAAGCCACAGCTCAGAAGAATGTTGTCTTTGCAATGAATTGTGGACAGAAGACCAGAATGCGCAGCAAACGTCTTAATCACTGTGCTTTGCCGGAGATCAAACACATCAATTGAACCGTCAATCTTGCCTATGACGATCTGTTTGGCTCCGTAAGCCATCAAAATGGCAGAATGCTCATAAGGAATGGTATTCGTCACAATCCCCTTGTTGGTGTCCACCTTGATCAACTCCCCCTTCGACCCTCCAACTAGCAGCTCATTTTGAGTGTTCGATGTATATGCCATGCAACTCAAACCGCTCAACGGCATCCGGTAGATCGGAACTCCAGTTCTGCTGGTCAAGCTGAGACTGTCATTACTAAGTGACAATATTCCCTTTTGATGATTAAGCATTTGAATCACTGCTGTTTCATGGGCTCTGAACTTTGTGTATGGTGCTATACCCAGATCTGAGAATGACGATATATGTCCCGTGGAGTTTGAAATCCAGATCAGCTCTTCAGAATCATCAAAGAGAATCTGAGTCGCGGCTGGCGGTGTGACATTCGGCATATTTATTGGAGAGTTGACTCCGAAGAAACGAGTAACCTTGTCGTTGTTAGTTTAACAAAACACAGCAATGCTACAAGCCAAGTAACGTACCTCGTGCCATCCGTCCATTATAAGAAATTGACAATTGGTCTTCTATGATAGCATTCAGTAAAATGTTCTATTTCCTATTGTGTTTTCAATTGATAATCGCCTTTCGTGCAAGAGAATTCCGAGTGTTGTATCTCTGAAACCTGTAGCTCATCTGCCAATGCGCCAAGGTCAAGAGGTTTTGGTTACGTAGCCCTGTGAATCTGAAAAATCGGGACGTTGAGATCGAAGCTCTTCTAGCGAGACAGGCTCAGTGAACAAACTACACGCCCGTAAACTACACCCAGCCATTTCGATCATGTTTGGACGCTTGTTTACGAGAGCTTCGTCGCTGTGTCTCTCTGCTAGACTAGGGACATCGACAAGGACTGTCTGCGCACAAAGGCCATGCATCCCCAGCGTCGCCCAACCATCTATGGCAAGAACATTCAAGGTCAGAACCTCCGTGAAGAAGTTCTGTCCACACTGCTATGTATGTGTTTTTCAATTCCAGATTTTCCGGTAGCCGGTTTACTAACCAAAATTTGTCCAGATGACGATACGCAAAGGAAGAGTCTACGTTCTCTGCAAATCCAACCCAAAGCACAAGCAGCGTCAAGGTTAAGGCTATGGTGAATATTTTTTTGGAATGTTCAGGAATGTTCCTAGAGTCTATTATACATGTATATAAAATAAATTATGAAACTTGGATGACGTGGTTCAAATTTCCAGAGAGTAGACAGAAAGACCGGCTCCTCCCACGAACCCAATAGGCTTATCACCAATTGAGGCCACGGCTGAACAGCCTGTGTCTGCCACGGTGACATATTCCTTCTTTTCGAGAGTTAGCTGATCATCAACTGAATAGTCCCAAATCCTGATTATTTGGTCAACACTTGTGGCAAACACCTTGAGGGAGTCTGGAATGAACTCAACGGAGGTGATGGTAGAAGAAGCAGCATTAGCAACGAGTGACAGAACCTCCAATGACGACGGGTTTCTAGAGAACAATCTCAGTAATGAAAGAGAATTATCGTCACCACCAGTGATTATGTATACTGCCTCAGGTGTTGATCTAATGTCAACAGATTTTATACCCGATTGGTGTATCTGTTGTTTTACCAAGCATTCTGGTAGCTTGGTTGAGGCATCCGTCTTCAATGACTGTAGTAGACATTTTCCACCCGAAACACTCAGACTGGAATCAAGAATCTCTGTAATATTCCAAACTGAAATATAGCCATCGGTGGCACCTGTCATTAGGTAAAGCGCAGCCTCTCTGGTGATGAGCGCCGCATCAAGCAGACAGCAGGTGCTGTATCTGTCTTCCACGAGCAGCTTGAAGGACCGTGATTTCAGGTCAAAATACCAAATTCTTATGGCAGAATCGGAATAGACAGTGGCCAGAAGATATCCAACTGTTTTTTCGGCTTCGAGAACAGGAACAGTGTCAAAGTCCATAATACGAAGATCTGGGTTGGCACTGGTAGGTGCAAGCGTTGCCAAAACCGAGATATATGGTCTCTTTGGATATGTATCATCAATTGACCACACAAAAAGCTCTTCTCTAGCAGCGGAAGAGATCGCCAGATTTGAGTCTATGAACTTGACCTTCTGGATTCCGGAAACATGTTTTCTTTCGGACCAAACGTTTTTAATATGCTTGGCATCATCAACCACCGACAGACGAATGCAAGTATCTTCAGAACCAGTCAACATGAGATTTGTGCGGTCTGCGCGGACTTTTTGCTGAATGGAGATGCTTCTGATTTCTCGGCCGTTATTTCCAACATTAATAGCACGTGAATGTAGTGGGAATTTTCCGGTTACTCTCACGTTGATTGAGGACGCTCTCGTATACATGAACATGAACGAATCTCCTTCAAGTCTTTTAAAAAGCCATTGTCTGTGAGGACCCCCACAGGTTTCGGTGAAGACCTCGTACTGTTGAGTTTCGTTCCAGACAAAAAACTGGGAACTTCTGAAACCGTAAAGTAAGATGTCGCCATTATCGCTTTCCAACATTCCCTCTAGGAATCCTTTCTGAATTCTGTTTTCTCCCAAAATGCTTGACTGGATTTCTCCAATTTCATTAGTGACTTCGAGATAGTAATAAGATCCGTCACGTATAACCACAGAAAAAACCACCTTATTTTTCGCACTTAGCGAAACCCTTACCGAGGAAACGGTATCTCCAGGAACAAACTTTTTCCATGTGTGCAGTAAGGTCTGAGAACTGAGCTCGTACATCACGAGAGTTGTATATCTTGACGAAATGAGAATCCAATCATTTTGCACGTCGTACGCTAAGCTGGAAGAAACAAAGCGCGTGTCGGGTTTGGGCAGCTTGAGGGTTGACTTAACATCAAGCCCACTGGAGAAAACGTAGAGAACAAAGGGGTCACTAGGGACAGGAGACTCAACAACCATCATCATGGTATCAATATCTGTTGTTACTAGCACATTTGTGACTTTTCCCTTGAGTCCTTCAGTTTGAAAGGATTTTTGTTCTTGGACAGAGCCGTCTTCTGCAAGCTTGATCAAAAGATGGGTGCCGTCTTTGGACGTGACGACAACCACGTTCTCTATTTCGAAACTTCTTACCAAAGAAAATCCTGCAAACCTTGGATCCTTCAGCAAAAGCTTCCATTGCAATTCCTTGTTCAGGAAAAACAGACTACCCTCCGAAGTCACACAAACAACGCCTCCTGCAACTGCAACATACTCTTTGAAAATCTCGTTATTGGTGAAAGGTGTTTCGGTAGCATCAGAAACAGACTCAGGAGACCATTGTTTAATAACAGCACCTTCACGTTTGCTCTCCTGAACATCAAATATGCGTAGCCTTCCATCAGACCCGCCTGTAGCAATAATCCCGATCTCTTCGTTCACATCACCACACCAAGCATTCTTGCCTTGGTGGGCATTGAAAACCTCCACATTTGCTAAATCCTCTGACTCCGCATCCCATACTCTCACTGTACAATCCTCAGACGTGCTGAGTATTTTGGTATTTTTCTGGAAGAACTGTAGATGCCAAATACGAGCACCGTGTCCCCAGCCCGTCGCAATGTTCTTCCCAGTTTCCAGATCCCATAATTTGATGGAACGATCGTCAGAACATGATATGAGTTTTTTGCCATCATCAGATATCCTCACACCAAAAATTGAGCCCTCATGACCCTTGAGGTTGTGTGCGATCGTTTCAGTGGCCAGATTCCAAATGACGATTCCACTCATGACTGTACCTGCAGCGACAGTTACCTCAGTGCCAGTCACACTCACATAACCGGAGTACAGTAAACTTTTCTCTCCACATGACTTTGAAGATAATATCTTGTGGGTCGTCACATTAATAACGAGAACCAGATTGTGTGAGGTCAAGACATAAGCAACTTCACCATCGGTACTGAAGCCAACATGCACAATCCAGTCGTTGATGGCCAGTTCTTCTATAGCATGCTTCTCGTCCAAAAGACCAGCCAAAGATTCAAATGCCAACGATCTGCCTCCCCATAATCCCACAACATTTTTGGAGCTCACCGCTATGCCGTGGATCTTGTTCTTCTTGAAAGCCAGTTTTTGAAACACTCTAGATGTTGTAGAGACATCATTGGCAACTAGATGGGGACCCTCACCACTCAGAAGCAGAGAGTCCACAAACTTCACAGCCAAAATAGGCCCAGAGCTCTGAAGCAATTTTATCTCGGTCATGAGCCAATTCCTGCTTCCACTCTTGAGTCTGGATAGCTGTTCAATCTGTTATGAGCCTCAACCTACCTGCATTAAAGATCTCTGAAAAAAATCCAAGGTTTGGTTCATACACGAGTGTGAATATGGTTTTTGACGGCGGACGACCTCCCAGCCAAAATTGTCGTGCTGCAGCAACTCACGGATTCTTTTACCCTTTTGGGATTAGGCGAGCCCAATGATAAGCGCAGTATACCTGACCAGAGATAGTGATTACCCTGAGAAAGGGGAGTACTACACCTAGCAGAACGGTGAATATCCTGCAAAAAAAACACTACTGAACTCTCAGAATTCTCATTGTTACTTCTGCACTACTCAGCTTTCATATTCTTTGAAACCATTAGGGATTTTTAGGCTCTCAAGCGCCCTTGGTCCCCCACTGTTATCTGTGCTTATCTAAAGGCACTGGCTTCCCGAATTAGTGTTGATCAGTCGGCTCGGTGCAGCTTACCGGTCGCGGACGATCCGTTTTGAAACTTTTGCCATCATATTCTTGACCAGAGAATGCCCATTTTGTGACCGAAAACCCAGGAAATACACTGAATGTCGTCCTCGATGAAGTCTGCAGAGAGCGTAGTCTCGTTGAGCTCCTCAACCTCCTCAACCCCATCTTTGAAGAGAAGCGCTCCACCACCCGCCGATGACAAACGGAAAAAGACCAAATCCAGGAATGGATGCCTCACTTGCAAGAAGAAAAGGCTAAAGTGCAGCGAAGAAAGACCTTTTTGTGGAAATTGCCAGAAGAGAAACGTTTTGTGCAGTGGATATGCTACGGCATTCAAATGGAAAACTTTTGATGATACTGCCACCGGCCAGAAAGTCAGCATGCAAAATAGCCAGAAACATGTGCCACAGGTGTCACGGCCCAACATAGAGAGGGAATCGATGCTACTGTCTGCGAATTCGGATCTGGTCCAGAAGGCCTTAGAAGCAGCCACATTATCTGTGACTGGAAGGTCCACCGCAGAAATAGCCATTGCCAACGACCTTATCGCTAAAGGCCGTAATCCTGAACTCGCACGGGCTTTGGTTTCCACTATAAACAATTTCAATCTTGCTCAGGCAATTAAAAAGGATGGAAATGTCACGAGTGCTTCCTCCCAATCAGATGCACTGATGCAGACAAACCTGCAGTCGAACCTGCAGTCTGGTGATCAACCAGTTCAAATCAAAAGTGAAACGCCCGCACCAAAAGCCAAGAGTGTTAGGCTACAGCGAGGTCTAAGCCCTACAGATTTGCTTAATCCCACAAAATCAGATACCAAGAGCTCGTCGTCATCAACTTCTGCTGCTCCCTCTGATTTGGAGAACGGTCTGGATGAGGAGTCCAAAGGATCTCTGCTGGTTCATCCAAGGCCAGATATTTTTTCAACACGCGCACCATCACCGGATTTTCATCCTCCCAGTGCTGGTATTTCGCCTTTTAGTATGAGCTCGCCCAGTGATTTTTTCAAGGTTGCGTCGCCAACCGTGTCGAATGCACAGTCACCTCTGAATCTGCATGCTCCCCAAAGAAGGGAATCTCTTTCTGTTGCGGTAATGTCACCAGGAAATCCTCTTCTGGAGTTGATCAGTATGTCCACAAAAGCTGATGGCTATCTGGATTCTCCTAGACTGGCTGCTGCGTTGAGCGATAACCCAGCTGCAATGGAGCAGTTCCAGGCCATTGCTGCCAGTAGTCCCAACTTTGGGACTATTGGAACTCCAGGCGGTATTCAGCAGCCTCTCAATGCAGACCAGATTGCTTCGCATATTGCTTCTCCAAGTTTTTCGTCCTTCATATCTGCTTTCACCAACTTTGAAGGCGATCTTGCAGTGCCCAGTCCAGGCAATCTGGATATGGTTGCGAATTCTCCAGAGGTGTCACATATAAAGGCGAAAGAAGAGGAGGATAAGCTACAAAGGTCGAAAAATAGATCTTCCTCACAATCAGCTTACCCTTCAACATCTTCTCAATCAGGTCAGATGGTGGTGGTGAAGAACTACACTTCCAATTCCCCCGAGTCGGCTGCTAGTCCATTCGACATTTCGAAGTTGCCAAAGTATGTTGAGTTAGGTGACCAATATTCAAAAATGTTAAGTGCCTTTGATCGATACACATGTGGAATTATGTCCATGAAAAATGGCCCTACTGAGAACCCATGGAGAACCGTGGTTTTGCCGTTGGCCAGGGACTACTCTGTTATGTTTAATGCCCTCAGTTCGATGACCTGTTTTCATGTTGCTCGGGGAGATTCTGTTTTGAGATCTCAAGGTATGAAGCATATGAAAACGGCAATTGTCGAGTTAGTGCATGGCCTCAAAGATAAGACCATTCCGCCGGATGTAGCACTCGCTACGTGTATTGCACTCGCCATGAGTGAGGCCTGGGACAGACACATTTCTACGGGTATTGCCCATTTAAAAGGTGCACGTACCATGATATTGCAGATTCTGCAAAACATAAAGACCAATATGGGTGCAAGCCATTTAACTACTGGAGATTCCACCATTAGCGCGGTCAGTCCAGGAAGCAGGACCATGTCTGTTGGTTCTACCATGGACAGCGATATAGAGAGTCTGCATCGCAGCAACTCTAGTGGAAGCATGTACCGGTCCAACTCAAGCTCATCACTTTGTGCTAAAGATGATGTTGTTCCCAAAGGCCTGAAGTTTTTATTCAACGCCTGGGTCTACTTTGACGTTCTGGCCCGTATGACCTCTGAAGAAGATGATGAGACCTACGAGAATGTCAAGGACGAAGAATCCGACTTTGCTGTGGTCACCGACGACGATGTTACCGAGATACCCAGAAAGAAAAAAAGATCATCTACAAAGTCAAAATCGAAACAACCAAATTTGCTTGAGGCTTTCAAGAGCTTTAATCTGAAGGGTGGAGATGAAATTGACCCACTGCTGGGAGTGGGCCAGACTCTGTTTCCAATTATTGGCAGAGTGGCTAGTTTGATTTCGAAGGTGAGAAAAGAGAATAAAAACTCGCTAACAATTGTCTCACAAGCCGTGGAATTGAAATCAGAACTTGAAAAATGGCAGCCAAGTTCCTCGGCTTTCAAGAATACTCAGATTGAAGACCCTCTGCTAGATCTTGCTTCGGCAATATCAACAGCTGAGGCCTACAGATATTCTACTTTGATTTATCTTCACCAAGCAGTTCCTGAAATTCCCTCAAAATCCTCACATGCACTAGCTGAGAAGGTATTGATGCTTTTTGCCTCTATTCCAGCTTCCTCCAGAACATGCATTGCGCATATTTTCCCTCTGCTGGTGGCCTCCTGCGAGGCTAGGCCTGGCGACGAAAGAGCGTGGTGCAAAAATCGCTGGGAACTGCTTTCGCAAAAACTGTGGATCGGAAACGTTGATCGATCCTTGGAAGTGGTCAAAGAGGTGTGGGCCAGAAAAGACATCTTCAAGAAGAGGAAGATGAAGGCCAAGGCCCAGAGCCAGTACGATGGTAGTAATTCGTCGAATGACCATCGGGGCTCCAATGGCTCCGAGGACGAGGAACATCATGCCAGATTGGCATTCCAGATCTCCGGATATCTGAATTCAGAAGACGATAATGTTGGCTTCGAGTTTGAGGGCGACCGAATCAAATCGTGGACTCATTGGACGACCGTGATGAAGGACTGGGGCTGGGAGGTGCTGCTGGGATGAAACAGGCTATAAATATATGAATATAGTGATATAAAGATGATGAGAAAAATCATATTATGTCGATTTGGTAATTGTCTTTCAAGCTAGTCATATAATTGTGGTGATATAGATCGCACCTTCTCATCATTTATTGGTCTTTTGCAGGCTACAGGCTACATACATATAGACCATGGAGACGCCCAATCGTTATTATTTCAAAAAATGATAACTGCATTTTGATTTAATTGCGGTTACGAGACTACATTTTTGCATCATTACCAGCTCTTTTTTTGTTTGATTTTTGATTTTTTTTAGCGCTAATTGGGAGCATATTTTAAATAGGCTGGTTCATAGAGGGGATCATTAGAGCCCTTATCTGTTATCGTACGAGCAGATGACCCTCGTGCTGACCATCTGGGTGACCATTGCCGTAACCATCGCAATAAATAACCTCCTCGGTGTCCGAAGGAGAAAACCTGAAGATCCTCTGATACAAAGGATAATGAAGAAGATTGGACTCTGATCATTTTCTTTTACATGAACAAGTATATGATGTTGCTACCGCGAATCGCATCAATCTCATTTTCCAATATCAAAAGGTCTCTACGCAAATACTCAACCGAACCAATCAAAATGAACGCTGCAGCTTACAAATTTACCAGGCCATTTATCATCACTTTCGATGCTTACGACACCATCTACACACCCAAAGACTCCATTGAGAGCCAATACCATGAGATAGCCTCCAAATACCACGTCCTTATGGACCAGTCCACCATAGCTGAGCGATACTTGAACTACTACCGAGAACTCAGTTCGACACACCCAAACTTCGGAAAATATAAAGGCTGGACCATTTCTATGTTCTGGACTACTCTACTCGAAAGAGTATTTTCTGAAGCTGATTTGTCGCAATGTGGTGGAAGTCTGCCTCCAGAATTGATACCAGAGCTAGTGGCTCATTTTTCAACCAGAGAAGCATATCGCGTCTTCGAGGATGTGAAGCCGTGTTTACGCAAACTTCAAGAAAACGGGATCCATACCGTAATAGCCAGTAATGCAGATGCTGGTGTCACTCGTCTGATTATAGACACATTTGAGCTAGGTGATTATTTCAGTGCCAGCTCGATATTTCTGTCTTATGACCTGGAGGTGTCTAAGCCCGACCCTGCTTTCTTCAAAAAAATCTTGCTGAAAACCGGAGAAACTGAACCACAACTGACGAAGTACTCTCAGCAAGAATTGTTGGAGAACTCCTGGCATGTTGGAGATGAATATAAGAAAGACTTGGAGTGCGCTCAGAAAGCAGGAATGGGGGCCATATTGTTGGACAGAACCAGGAGCTTGGGGTATCTACGGGATCGAGAGGATTTGAGGGTGTTGGGTGAGAAACAAGTCGTGGTGAGTAGTTTGGAGCAAGTGCCCAAGTTTTTTGGAATTGAATGAACAGAACTGTACAGGTAATTAATAATGTAATAATAGCTGGTCCGAAAGATATTTTATCGTAAGTTCACAACTCAATGCCAAGGCAAACACACACACACTTTGATCACAGTTTCACCACCCCCAGCGCTATGACCGAATTCCAAATCATAACCGTCACGAGAGTCAAATTCGTTGGCAATTTCATATCTGTGAAGCCATATAACTATTCCTGCTACTAGTCAATTCTCAAGTGCTCCCTCTTTTATCATTTCCCCTCATTTCAGCCCATTCCGACCCATTCCAACGTACGCCGCACAAAATTAGCCGGAATCTTGAAATCTGCTCGATGTGCCAGGAACAAGTTTTACACAGCCTGGCCCCACGACTGTTGTAAAAATAACTTGATCGTTGTGGTTGCACACTTTATCCATTTTGCTCCGTTGTTGAATTGTTAAATCAGGTTATTTTATTATTTGCTACACATTTGTTACTAGGTCCCTGATTCTGAGATCTCGGAACTGTTGATTTGTTTGTTTAGAACTGATCAAGCTAGAATTCAAGCTTGAAACAACAAGGTGGAAACAACAAGGCGCAAACAGCACAACTGATCTACACGAGTCTGTTGTGATCGTCAACGTTCTCACGGATTTTTTATTCCCAAAAGTATATTTTCAACATGGTTTCTCTGCGGAAATCCGCGCTGGTGTACGCCAGTTTGCTCTTTTCGCTTGTTCGCGGTTTTGATCTAGATGTCACTAGCAAGACCTCCATCTGCAGCGGAGCCACAGACATCACCAACGGTATCATGGACTACTATGAAGGCTACAGATATGGTGGAACTGTGGGTGAGTTTCAGTCGCCTTATTATTGGTGGTTAGCGGGTGAAGTTTTTGGTGGTATGATTGATACCTGGTATTTTTGCCAAAACGACACTTACGAAGAGACCATCTACAATGCCCTGATTGCTCAGAAAGGTGATAAAAACAACTACATCCCATCCAACCAGTCCTTCACGGAAGGTAACGATGATCAAGGATTTTGGGGGTTTGCCGTAATGGGTGCGGTCGAGAGAAACTTCACCAATCCAACTTCCGATGATGATCCATCTTGGCTAGAGCTTGCCCAAGCCGTCTACAACACCATGTGGGCTAGGTGGGACAATACCACATGTGATGGTGGACTTAGATGGCAAATCTTCACCTGGAACAACGGTTATAACTATAAGAATACCATTTCTAACGGATGTCTTTTCCACATGGCTGCTAGACTGGGAAGGTACCTCGATAACGATACCTATGCCGACACCGCCTCTACCGTTTGGGATTGGATGGAGGATGTTGGTTTTGTTGTTGAAAGCGGGGATTCCATAAGTGTTTACGATGGTGCTGACATCGTGGACGATGAATGTCCCACCGTCGGAGAGGACGAATGGACTTACAACTACGGTATCCTCATTGCAGGTTGTTCCTACCTGTATAACATGACTGGAGAGTCCAAATGGGAAGATCGTGCCACCAGCTTGTTCAACGGAATCTCGATATTTTTGAAGGATAATGTGATGTATGAACGGCAGTGTCAAGACTCTGGTACATGTAACAACGATCAAAGGTCCTTCAAGTCGATCTTCTCTAGATCGCTGGGTATGACAGCAGTTTTGGTGCCTTCGCTTTACGATAAAGTTTACGAAGTGTTGACAGCCTCTGCCCAAGGTGCTGCCCAGTCATGTTCAGGAGGTACGGATAATGTCACTTGTGGTCAGAATTGGTCTCATGACGGTTGGGATGGTGTCTACGGTTTAGGAGAGCAAATATCTGCTCTGGAGTGTATCCAGAATCTTTTGATTGACCAAAGACCTGGCCCTTACAAGGCAACCACCGGAGGCTCGTCTAAGAGTAATCCAGATGCCGGTCTGGGAACTTCCACTGACACCAACGCAAACGAAGTTGATATCGTGCGTAAGGACAAGGTGGGTGCGGGGATACTAACCGCAGTGGTTCTGGTGGCAGTTGTCTCGACTGCTGTGTGGATGGTTATCTGAAAAGGGCTGGTGAGATTTAAGTATTGACGAAAATAAGGACAAACTGATAACGTTTTGGGGACGTGTAGCACGACATGAGAAACAAAATGACAACATACAGAGCGTGTGGAAGAATACACAGGTTAGCGAAAAATATACAAAACTGGCAGTTTGCTCTTTTAGCTCCCTTTCCGTAAAAGATAAGTCAAATGGAGTGTTCTCTTGAGATCTCGGCCTGAAAAAGGACGAAATTCCCAAATAAAAAAATACCTGAATTTGAGAATGAACATAACGTGAAATATACAAAACCTGGAGCGTCCTTCTTACCTCAAAAACAACAAAAATTGCCCAAATAAGAGCCTATCCTAGCACGTCTGTTGAACCAGACCTCCACTAACTCGACCACAAATTGCGCATCAAATGAGCTGTATGGATCAAGCCCCATCTCCGCTATGTCATTTGGACTTATCCAGATGATCTTGTCATCATCGTTGTTTTCAACCAGGCGAGTCTGATCATCGTCTTCGTCGTCGTAATCCGGGCTCTTGAAGTCTTCGTTATGATTATTGATCAGGTCAATCAGCATGCTGAAAATTTTGATCGTCAGATCTTGGAAATATCCCACCGTTCCCAAAACACGGTCAATATCTTCCGGGTAATCGCCAGGTTGACCAGAGTAATCATTGAAGTTCTTGGACACCAGTTCGCGCTCCAGACTAAGTTCATCGTCTCTCTTGGAGTTCTCCCCGGCAGTAGCCCACCACGAAAATCCAAGCCATGCAAATTCCCTCAACGATGTCTGTTCTGTGACTTTATGGACCCAATCAGGTGAACTGGAATCATGTTTATCTCCAGATATTAGCTCAGAAAGCACCAAAAACTTCTTGTAGTCTCTCTGGGTGGCCTTGATGTTATCCCCAATTTTTGGTATACTCTCCTCATTACTGGGGTCCCTCAGTTCCACAGAAACGTCATATAACTTCTTCTTGTCAAATAAGATAGAATCAGAGGTGTTGGCTACATATCCCCCGGTAAAGCCCTCCAGAGTCGTCATATCGTTAATTCCAACACTGTACAACGGCTGAAGGAACTCCAGTCGCTCAAAAGACTGAGACCCACATTTCTTGATCTCCATTGATATATCCACTGGTATGCTCGAGAGAATGGAGATGCAGTAGTTGTAGGCACAAGTGTCCTCGATGGCCATATGGGTATTACTGATCAAGATTTTCTTCCTCAGCAGCGCCAGTTTCCATACCTGAAAAATCAACGGACCCAAATTATCCACCAAGCTAGACAGAAACAGTAGCATGTGGTTGGAAGACTTTGAAATGGACGAGTCCGTGGATGCCAGCGATCCATCAGATGCCTTCTGGTTCAATATCGGCTCGTCTATCCCCACTTTCCTTGCCTGGTTCACCGACTTCACTATGTGTCTAAAGGCATTATTCAGATTGTTCTTGAGCTTGTGCTCCTCAAAGAATTTGTCAAACATGGCGAAATTGCTGTAATCCTCCAGAGACATCCAGTGCTTCAAAAGCTTCTCCAGATCTCGAGCGTACAGCCACGTGCTGCTGTATATGGTGGGTCTCCATTTAGGTATAACACCTTGCATCAGGTGCTTGGGATCAATCAAAACACCCAAAGAGTACATTTTTATGTCCTCTCTGGATGCTGCCTCCACCCCCAGATTCTGTCTGAACACCGATAGTCCGTACAATATGCTGTCCTGTCCCAGGGCATCTTCCGAGTTCCGCGGTTGCACAAATGCAATCACATCTTTCTCAACATTGTGTAAGCCGCTAGGTAGCGATTTGTATTCGAGGTTCTTGAGAGAGACTGACGAGCCTGTCAGCACCTGGCTCCACTCCAAGGCGAAGCCCGTGTGAACATCGAACTTGGATATGAACATCGCGCAAATTGGAGCACGTGAGTCAGTTTCGGTAGACATAGTGGCAGTAGTCGATGTATTGCAATGAAAGTCTCAACCAGTAACACCAAGGATTATTGTAACCTCGTTTTGCCTCTGAAGCCGGGGGAATTGAAGCCTCCGAGAGCCTGATAACGGCTCCGGCTTCTTCTTTTGGTGGGACACACCCGTGTTGGCATAGGCTATTTTTCAGTGTGGATTAAAGACGGCATTGAGTATCTTCTAGAATCGTCACTGTATATTGAAAGTTGCAGGTTAGGTCTCCTAGTAAGACTTCAGATTTATAAAGCTCCTTTGGGGCAATCGTAGCTATGTAACTCTGCCAGACGATCTGGGTGAACGAATGTAGCCTATCCCCATAGAGATATGCCCTTTGGTATTTGCAGATTACAAAATCCTTCCAGCTGCTGACAATCAACTCAGGCTTGATACTAGACCTGGAATCTACAATGTGCATGCAAATTATCGTGGTATCGTTAGAGTAGATTCTTATCTTTTCATCCCTCATTGTGTATTGGTATTTTCGGTTATGCGTTTCCTGGCCCCATCCTGGGCTTTTTCAGCTTCTGCTGTTTCGAAGTATCTCAGACGGAAACGGATTCCTGTCGTTATACACGATGTAGTTCGACCTGAACGAACTGTCGGTGGTCGAGATGGATACCTCATCTTCCAAGACCTCGAGATACACCGTGGCTATGCGTATTCCATTGATGCCATAGAGGTCTGACGTAAACACAAAGCTGTTGGCACTCTGATCCGACCAATCAGGGCATGGAAACCTGTTGATGTTGGTAAGTGTCCTTTTTGCTATCCTCAGCAGCACTGATTTCAACAGTTGCCTATTTATCTCCGTGGTATTATCAAGAGAACCTCTCATAGCCGTTGTGAGCAAAACATGGAACGGATAATTCGCAATTGTTCCCAAAATCACGCCCTCTCCCAATGGAATAGCATCCAGCTTGTTCATGTCAATCACACTCAGTCTTCCCTGGTGCGACATGGTAGGCAGGTATTCCTCGCACTCTAGTCTGCTTAAATCCAACGATCGCTTTCTAAAACTGGGAAACCGACATAGTTCCGGCACAGATATTCTGGTCTCGTACTCGCAACTTTGTAGCTCTGCAATCGACGTGATCATATCCTTGTTCTCGTAACTAGGATCACACACATAACTCACCTTGATCTTTCTTGGTTCCAACGTCAAGTCGCACAATGTCCCGTTTTTCCATTCTTCGTAAAGACTGATGGTTCCCCTCTCATCAAACTCCACATGGAAACTGTCCGTTCCGTTACGGGGTTCAGCTCGTCCCAAAGTGTATGACTGGTCCGGGTGCGCTTTAAACTGACCATCGATCTCTGAGAAATGGTGCTGCGATACCAGACTCGGCGTATAGATATACGTCCAAAAAGAATTGACATCGTTACGTACAATCATGAATGGGTTCACTATGTCTGTCATCAATGACAGAAGCTCCTTTTTGGCAGATTCGATCTCCAACACCTGTTGCCTACTAGGCTTGAAATCGGTGGGGATCGTGGCTCTCTGCGATCGACACCTTCGATAGCCTACTTGGTCAATGGCTCCATAGACATTATCATTGACATCGGGCAAAACGAGTGGCATATCAGAATCACCGAAGACTCTATACGTAACATCCATGGTGTACTGTAGGCGTTAGTTAGACACGGAGAGAGGCCGGTGATAACGAGGCTCTTACCTTCACAGTATCATTATCTAGCAAAATGTTGGACCGATCCAAGCAACTGGCCAGTACTAGCTGAATGAGTAGCCATATCAACAACATTTCACCGATTCAAGCACAATTGGCTTTTCGGTTGAGATAGAAACAAGAGGCAAAGAAGGTGACAAGTGGAGAACTTGACCTCATCGCTACACCTTTGGGAGATCTCACGACCTTATGTATGATGGGCTTCGGATCTCGTTTGCAATGGTCCTTATTATTCCTCTTCAAACGGCTATTTATTCAAGAAATGTTGTTAAATCTGACATTTGTCACCGTGTTGTCTTTGCTGGCTAGCATCGTTAATGGGTTGGCCATTGCAACAACGGAATCGCCCGCTTTGTTCATCAGTGACGGCAAGTCAAAGTACGAGTTGGGCCAGCTTCGGTTTGACCAGAAATGGGAACTGACCCACACTGATGCTGAGTTTCCTAGTGGAAAATACTGTGTGGGAATTAGTGGTCAAGAGTGTTTTAATCACAAGGAGGTGAGTTCAGCGTATTTTGTTTGAAGTGCCAAGTCATTGTCACTAACCGTGCATAGGTGGACTATCCACTAAGTCAGAAGGTGTTGCTTAGGCTGGTCAACAACACCATAAACTCCGTGACTTTGATTCAGATAGATGAGGAGGGTTTGCAATTGGAGCAACGTGAGATTCGCAAAGGCGCTTCTCCAAGACTTGGAACCAAGAAGACACCAGTGGAGAGTGGGAAGGGTCAGGCAGCCTCATCAAACGAGGAACAGCCTCTCGTGGGTGAAAAATCATTCATTCAAAAGTACTGGATGTACATAGTTCCTGTATTGTTGATGATCATGCTGGTTGGTGGGGATGGCAAAGAGCATTGAGTGGATAGGGTACCTGAAATTTGTATAAATCTCAAAAATTTGGAAATTTTAGATATTCGTAATAATTGAAGTTGTGTCTATATGAGGAGCCAGTGTGTATCTGCCTAGTGATGGGACAGTGACGAAAATTCATGGTGAAAAATTCGCATTTGACTGATCTCACTTACTGATATAATCTCTTGGAGTCCAGGAATCGACATAAGAGGTATTTCAACCGATTATATTAGAATTCTGCTTCCTTAATGTGATACTTTTCACGACTCAAGTATTTCTGGAGAGTAGTTTGCGTGTACTGTCAAACTCCAGCCCCCAGTCCAAATTCCCGCAAGTATGCAACACATAGTGCGTACCAAGGGATAAAATCACTCTATACCGATTGCAAATTGAATCATCATGGGTGTTTTGACGATCGACAAGCCTCGAAACCGAATTAGAGACTCGGTGCTTGTGAAGTTTCACTTTTATGTGTTAGTGGTGGGCATATGCATATCGTTGTTTTTCCTGTGTGTCTATCCTTACACATTTGATCATGGAAGCAACTCTACGTTACAAGCTACTCCTTTGGGAGATGATCAGCATTCAAGTCTTGGCAAGAGTTCATGGCGCATAATACTTGTTCAGTCAGTTTTTAGTATATTTCGCCTGCTGACTAACGCAGCGAAATATCAGTATGTGATGATAATAGGGTTAAAGATCAGGGTAATGCAACTTTCGGCAAAGAAGGTTACTCTAATTGTGGAACATGATTCGGAGTCGAAGTCGAATGAGATTGTTGATGTGAAAGAGAGATTGCCTACTTGGTCAGCTGTTAAGGTGGCAGGTGGTTTCTTAGCAGCTGTGACGCTTATTTTCGGTTTCATGTCAAGCCTAGGCAAAAGTTCCGGCTGGAGATTTGATTAGTTTTTGCACCACCATACGGAAGAACTGGATGAGTCTGATGCGGATTCCTCAAAATTAGATGACCCCAGTCAACGTTTCAACAATACACGCGACTTGAGGAAATTGAACCGTGATCGTGCCTTCAGAAACTGACTTAATCGAAGATGCGCTGATTAAGCTATCCACCTGGATTGATACCTGGTCACACCATTAGAGACGATAATGGGATTTGAATTCGCTTTATAGATTGGGGTTATAATATTGCTTTATGGGATTGAGTGAGTATACAGTATCAGACTGAACAGTTTTAAGCAGGGCCTGAATTTTGTTACATGAGGCACAACCTATGCATACAATTAGACTTTTTGGATGTACTCAGTTCACATTTACCTCCCAACTACTCCTATACGTGACTAAATTATGATATGATGTATTCGATAGATGATGGATCTGATACCCGTTTCTCGATCAGACTTCAAAAAAAAAAATTAAACTGTAAAAAAAGAACTAATCACCTGGCCTCCCCACAAAAATGAAATGCTTCAAGCACTCAAAAACTTAAGAATGCCATGTAATCCCACAAGGATGCAATACAAGCCTTGCCTGAAACCTTAAAATCTCAATGCCTGATGCTGCTTTATTGGGAAGCGGGAGCATCAAAAACCTCCTCCTTGAGCTCTCCGATAAAAGAGCTCATGACCTCAGAGAAGGATTCTTCAATGTCAAGGAGCTCCTCCTTGATCTCTCTCAAAACTGACTCAGTGAACTCCACATCCTTAGCTCTAGATGCTTCGTCAATGGATCCTTCCCAGAAAGCAGTCAGGTTCTGACCAGCACCGTTGTAGATCAACAGGTTTGGAGTTCCATCATCTGGGATATCGCTCAAGACATCTGGCGTGGAGTACGCAATGATGTTCTTCTTCAACTGAGCTGGAGTGACAGCGGAAGAGCCTCCGCTGGCATACAGAGACTCGGAATCTGGCTGAAGTGACAAGAAGTACGTCAACAGACCACAAACGTGAGGAGAAGCCATAGAGGTTCCAGAAAGAGTGGCAGTGGCAGTGTCGGAACCAATGTAAGTGGACAGAATGTTCAAACCAGGACCAAAGATGTCCACACACTTACCGTAGTTGGAGAAGTAGGCTCTGAAGTCAGAAAGGGTAGAAGCACCAACAGTGACGGCATTCTCGGCAGCAGCAGGAGAGTACTTACAGGCATCAGCATTGTCGTTACCTGCAGCAACGGCAAAGTGCAAACCCGTGCGAACGGCAGCGTTAACGGCCATATCCAGAGCTGGCGACTTGCCACCACCCAAAGACATGTTAGCGGTAGAACCCTTAAATCCCTTCTTTCCCTTCTTGGCAGCAGCCACATGTGCCTGTGCTGCAAACTCAACACCCTTGACAACGTCTGACATAGTACCGGAACCATTGGATTTCAAAACCTTCACGGCAACTATATCTGCGCCCTTGGCAACACCGTAGTGCTCCGAGCCAATGGTACCAGCACAGTGGGTACCGTGTCCATTTCCGTCGAGATCCTCATCGTTGTCTGGAATGGTCTTACCCCATTTGGCTCTTCCGCCAAACTCCTCGTGGGTCACAGAAACACCTGTGTCAATGACGTAGGCGGTGACACCCTTTCCGGCATCATCGTCGTACAGGTACTTGTTGAAAGACCCCAAGTTCAAAGATTGTCTGTGGGAGATTCTTGAAAGACCCCATGGAGCACCATTTTGGACGGCAAAATCGCTGGCAAAGACCCTTTGGTCCTGCTCTATGAAGGCAACATCGGGGTTGAGCTTCAACAGCTCCAAGACCTCTGGCAAGAAGTAACCCGTGTAACCCTTAAAGTTGCCGATGTTGAACTTTCCAGTGAATCCGCCCAAAACATTGTCAATTCCAGCAGCCTTGACGGAGTTGGAGAACGAATCGAATTCCTTGGAACCCTTGCTCTTGGCGGCAGAGTTACTGTGGGCCTCCTTGACCCACTCAAGATGGAAGTCAACGGCGTCGGGAGTAACGTGGTCCTTGAAGACGATGATGTAAGAGTGTGGAATCTCATTTCCCGAAGAAGGCTTGAAAATCGAAGCGATTTGCGCCGAAGGAGCGGCCACAGCGGCTGGACTAGGCTTCTTGGTCACGAGCTCGGCAGCCTTATCAGGGACAACCTTGAGGACTTGTTCCTCTGGGTTGAGCGCAAAAATGGATGGCAACTCGGCGATCGAAGGGATCACCAAAGCATTTGCAGAGAGTGCAGAGATGACTCCCAACGCAACAGAGTGAGAAAGCTTCATGTTTCTATGAAAAAAAGGTGTGGAGAGATAAGAGATAACGCGGTTTAGGAACCAAAGTGGAACTGCGTAAAGAAAGTCGAAGTCGAGGCGAAAAGAAGACCGGCCCGAACCCTGAACAAAGTTTTAGATATAAAAACTGGTACTTCTATCCGAGAAGAATGGAAGAACCAAGTTGAAGGAGGAAAGAAAGAATAAGAGTAGAAGAACAAAAGAACAGAATGTGGGATTTAGGGGATGTCAGGATTGCGGGTGGCAAGCAGACCCGTTCCGGAAATTAGTAGTGCATTGCGGCAAATTGGGGATGTGTCACAGTCTCAAAGTTGTCAGATATTGGGGTTCCCTCCGAAAGCGGTACGTTGATACCCGAGAATGGCCGATGGGCCTTATCGGGGCTGCGGGAGGGAAATCAGTGGCGATATTCCATGGGGATTACGCGTCATTGGCGAGATCTGGCTTATGCGAGAGATTAGATTAGTGGTGAGATGTACAACAAATATGGCAACAGATATGATTTTGACGAGTATTGTAAGATCATGTGTATTGCATATTGATATTATAAGTTTTTGACCTATTTTGATAGGCCATACAGCCATGATTTGACGAGAGTCAGCCATGTCTCCCCCGCGTCTGCTCTATGCTCAATAGCAAACAGCTGGCAGTCATGCAGTTCATTCTGCAGTAAACGCTATGTATTAAGCTATGAGATTTATTTCATGCCATGTGAGCTATACTCCAAATTCTTTGAAAGTTTCGTAATTTGCCTCACATGCTACTACGTATATCTTGCTGATTCTATTTTCTGTTTCCTATTTCGAGTCCAACCACCCGTCTTTCGGATCCAACGGATACTTGACCTTGTACAACTCGTATACATTCGGGAAGGTGTCTGTCTTGGCCACAACTACTGACTTCGACACAGGCGCGACCTTTCCCTTTACCAAATTCTGGTCCGTCAATGCGACTAGCACATTCTCAACGAACGAGTCGTCAACCCCACCGTCTGCATCGTACATGTAATACGAGTAACCGGCACCGAAATTGCGAGCGGCTTGCTCTGGCTGAAGCGAGAGATTCAAGGCGACATTTATCTTTGCCATTGCTATGGTCTTTCCAGGGTTCAATCTGTACACCTTAAGAGTGAGATTTCTCAAAAGCAGTATTCTCGACCGTTGAATCAATGGAAGCAAAATTCCCGTCTTCCTGAAAAAGGATTCATTTTTCTTGAGCAAAATCGTGAAGTTGTAGATGTCTCCATTTCTGAAATGCCTGATGAGAGGCTCGTATAACACAATCAGTTCGTGGCCCAGTCCGTTCAACTTGAACTGGTTCAGTTTCTTGAGAAACTCCATGTTTAAAATGCGGCCTACCAGAATTCCGCACGGTATTAGGTATTTCAGTAAAGTAACAAAAATGGCAGGAGAAGCGTTGGTGTGACAATTTTCCAAACACCAGCTGAAATGGTGAAACGCGTTGAGCATGCTGCTCTGAGTAAAATGGTACTTCCCCACCAGAAAGCGGTATCTGAGGAGTTGAGCTCTCGGAATATATGAGGAGTTCAGTTTCAGCGTACTGATGTTCGAGAAAATATTATTGCAAAGCATTGGGCTTCCGATGAAGAAATAAGTGGAGCACAGTTTGGCACTCAGCAGTATCAGCAACGTCTGTTTATCCCGATGACTAGGCAATGCAATATCTGTATCTGCTCTCAAGTTATTCATAGCCTTCAAAAGAATCCCAGACACGTGCGAGAGTCTTGGGAAATCCATTTTTCGCTTATTCACCAACATCAGCTTGAGATCCACCGTCTTGGTAAGAGGCACTATCATGGCTGTGGTTTGGGCCAGAGTGGACAGCAAGTATTTGCTGAATTCAATGTTCCCCATAGCAACTGCCAGATCAGAAAAGTACTTGATCATGAGATCTATGGAATCTAATGTCGACCATGGATTGAAATCTCGCACGAATACCAGATATGTCAACACGGCCTGCTCAAGGCCAGGCCAACCGTTATCAAACAGCTTTAGCGCATCGATATCATCTGACAGCTTCTCGCTGGTAACATTCTGGAGCTCGGCTTGCAGTCTCGGTATATGGTGTTTCTGAGGGTCCAGAGATAGAAGCTCGGCCAATGGTGCCTGTGCAGTTGGTGCTGGAAGCTGTAAGGCATTCTTCAGTTTCTTGAGGAAGAACTCCAGTTCAGGCATTCGATAATTCACGGGTAATCCTCGGGAAAATAGAATGAAAAATTATTCTTGAAGAATATATGAGGCTCCAGAAGTACTTAAAACAGTTTATAACAATCAAATTCAACCTTAACAGCCCTAAGCCATAGACCAGCGAAAGTGTGTTTCTTTGGTGTACTCATCATTATCAGATGCCCTGGGATTTTTCACGGGCGATGGGCAGAACAGCATGGATAAGCTTTGGGTGAAATCGAGACAATTTTGACATCATTCTGAGATTGCTGCCTATTTCTCGACAATATTTGATTATATTGTGATCTACTAATTTTAAGACCTGCTGGTTTTAGTAGGCGTCTCCATTTTGTCCATGAGTTCCATCGACGTTGTGATGGACCAAGTCCTGGTCCAGTCTGGAGTGGAGTCAACACTCAGACAGCCGGTAACGAAGGGAGACGTGAACTACAACCTGTTGATCTCGAACTTAACCGAGCAGCTTGACATCCATCAGGAAAAACATCAGGCTTTGAAGTTGATTGTGAGACTATTGCCACCGCTGTTAACAGCAGAAGAGTTCTTCAATCAGGTGTCCTCTGTTCTCCAACCCTCATGGATGAAGGCTAACTACTATGTGAGAGGCTATTATCCGTCAGATACGTTTAAACAGCCCATGCACTCTAGGTGTTACATTCTGTTTGATTCAGAGGAACATCTGAGGTGTTTCGTGAAGGAAACGCGATCCATTCCGTTCCACAACTCTGCGAACCTGGCTCAAGGACACACGCTTTCGGAAGCACTTCTGACCAAAGAGTTCATACCGACCATGGAAAGAGCCACATCAGAAATAATGGCATTCCCAAGCGAATACGATACTTTTGCAAGGGCTGACAAGCCGCGAGTGACACCAGCGTTCCAGGCCTTTGAGAATTGGCTCAAAATTACGGATAATCCTGCCGAGAAGGCCCAATTGGCCAAACAGGGATTCCTGACTGATGTTAACTGGCAGCTTCTGAAAAATAGGTCTAAAAGGTCGGCTCTGAAGTCTAAAGCGAAGTCTCGCAAGGATGCCAGTGAGAAGAAACAGGATCCTCAACGCCGTGAGAAGTCTGCAACCCCAGACTCCAAGAACCAGGGGTCTTCAAAGAAAAAAGATGATACCAAGGGCACTGGGAACAAATCAGAATCTGCGAAGAAAAATCCGAAAAAGAAGCAATCGGGAATCGAGGCAAACGGGGAGACTAAGACGGAGGGAAAAGCTTCGAGAGACAAGTCTGCCTCCAAACAGGCAAAACTGAAGGATAAAACAGAGACAGAGAAAAAAGAACCAAAGAAGAATCACGGAAATAAGAAATCATCAGCACCGAAGAGCGTTGGTGAAAGTACAGGAGTTGACCCAAAAGCTGGCCCTAAAGCTGATCCAACCTCCAGCGACAAAAAACCTAAGAAGTCTAAGGAAGCTTCAAGACCAAAGTCAGCTCCATCCGCATTGGAGTCTGAAAAGCCCGAAAGACCAAAGAAAGAAAAAAAGAAGAAAGTCTTGTCTTCTGGTGATATCACACCCGGCGCAAATGACAGGAAAGAGACGGGATCTGAAGCAAAAAAACCCGCAAAAAGGAGAGACAACAAAAAAGATACAAAACCAGACGGTAATGTGAAAACCGAAACAAAGCTGATTTCAAGGTCTGAGGTCCCAAAAAAAGAAAATGGAGGAGAACCGAAAGAGCCAAAACCCAAGAAAGTGCTGCTGATGAGGAGACCAAAAGAGGTGGATGGCACAACATCGTGAAGTTGTAATTTTTCTTTATCCTTCTTTTCTTACATTTTTGCCGCCAGAATGATCGAGAGTCTGGCTTTTATAAACAGTACGATTAGATGGGTTAGTTAGCTTAATGGATTCGTTCTGCAATGGAGTTTATTTACAGGATGCTAACGTCTATTAGATCTCCAAGTTTGAACAAACACCGTTGGACGACTTGTGTTTGAAAGATCCCATCAGTATTCTCAACCCTGGGACTGTCCGAAAAATCTTTGTTCTTTTGGGAATAAAATGCGAGCTTTCTGATGAAACGATAACGTTTGAGAAATTGTTCACATTCATCAAGACTATTGATATTGTGCATGACAAGCCATATGTCCACCACTTGAGCGCCGAATTCTTGGATGACTCCTCACCAGATTATTCTTCGTTGTACAAAGTTGATCAGCTCTACTGGCTTTGTCGGGCATTTTTGGATATCGGAACTCATGGTGGAAACTGGCGATTTTCGCTTGCACTCGTGTTCATTATGGAGGATGAAGATCAAAACATTTTGAAGAAGTTTCTTGATAACGTAAGAAAGACTGGACTTTTGAGTTCATTTACACTGAGGTTTGGTTTTTGTCCATTTCTAACAAATGATCCTCAGCAATCTTCGCCAAATCTTCGTGAGGAAAAGATCAATCTTCTGAACGAGAAACTGGTAAAGAGCGAGTTTCAACTCTCCAATTGCAAAAAAGAGCTGCGTTTGGTCAAAGCTGAGAATTCCAGGATTTCAGCTCTTTCGGAAAACCTTGAGAAAACTTTGTCTACAAAAGAGTCCGAAAATAAGAACTACGCTCAACAACTCCATCGTTTGCGCGAAGAAGCTATCAACAACCCCAACTTCTCAGAACAATCTCAGCTACGACTTCACGACAAGTGGAAAGTCGAGGTTCTCGAAGAGCTGGTTCTTAGCATGAAAATGAAAGAGTTACATCAGTGAGAGAGAAGAGATCATTTCATTCTGATCCAATCAAACCTAAGTCAGAACGGCTAATGAGAGCTTTTGTTATTTGGAAACTAATAATACGAGTATAAGGACAAAGGTCTAAGAAGGAATTGAAAAAGATCACGGGAACATCATTTGATGAACCATTTTCATCGCCATCTTGAATCCCAATATGACGAACTAAGTGTATTCGGACACTCAGAAGACACTCAGAAGATCGCATCCAATGTGCAGCAAAGACACATACCCGCCAAACAGGCCGTCAGACAATCCGCATTGTTACCCTGAGCAGGCTGCTGTTGTTGAACATAAACAGGCTGCTGTTGTTGTTGGTAGTACATTGGTTGTTGTTGCTGGTAGTATCCACCTTGGGGAGGACCCTGTTGGTAGTAGCCCTGTTGAGGCTGTTGTTGGTAGTAATTTCCCTGAGGCACACCTCTGGTGGTGGGTGTCTCATTGTAGAAGTCGGCGTTCGAGCCGGATTGTTGGTTTTGCCAGTTTGGAGGTGGTCCAGAGGGCGATTTGTAGTCCTAAAGGGAGCGGGTTAGTATAGCGGAACCAACGGGGTGATCACGAAAGATGCCAAATACAACTAATTTCCACAAACTAATCGAAAAGTATCCTCTAGCACATCACCAAAAACAATCCAAATCACTCACAGTCATAAATCAATTTACAAATTGTCAGTTACCAGAAACTGTTATCTAACTTCAACTTCGAGATTTAAACTAAGCCCAGAGATGACGCTCACTATTTAAATATCGATGAGATAGGCCCCCTTTCTTTTTGTCACCTATTGATCAGTACACTAAGCCACAGCCTCATTGTGACCTTGAATGACGTCCTCGGTCTTTTCCTCGGACGAAACACCAGTTTCTTCCACCAATTTTCTTTGTGGAATGACTTCCTCGAACGAGCGCTTCCAGTCTCTGTATTCGAACCATTTGAGCAATAGCTCAAACACGTGACTTGTTGCCAGCACGCGACGGCCACTCAGTTTGATGAACTCATCGATAGGCAGTCTCTTCGTCTTGATACCTAGTTTCTCAGCCTTGTTTTTGCACAGAAACTTGTGTCTTCCTTTGTCGACTATTCCACCGACCACGTAAATTTCGCCCTCTTTCAGCTCCTCCAAAACGTCATCTGTATCTGCCGAAAGATACACCACGTTGGACAGGTCACTCTCTGGGTCCTCCGATTTCAGTACTGCCTCCAGATCGTCTTCCAAAAACTGTATATTATCGTCCCAATTGGTATAATCACTCAGCGTCGTTTCAAACCGCTGCTTGAGCCTCTTGTTGAAAGAACAGATCTGAAGATCCACGTGATATTTGTTCCTCCTGTTGTCGGAATAGCATCTGGTCAACTGATTCGACAGCGAAACAACTTCCTTTTCCAGCATAAGATCATCAAAATCGCAATCCATGATTACTTTGCACCCACTGGACACCTGATCTTCGGGCTTAGGTTTGGGTTTGGCCTTTGATGGATAGAGTTCAGCAAGGTCCTTCCCATCAGCGATAGCTTTTTGCATTGTGATCTTTCTGTTCACACGCTGCTGCTGACGCTTGGCCCTTTTGAACTCCTTGAACTCCTCTTTTCTCTCGTCGAACCTCTGGCGACGTCGTAGCTTTTTCCATTGCGATTTCGTCATTCCTTCAGGAATCTCGTCGTTGCGTTTCGGTAGCACATCTGGAACTGTAGATGACTCACCGACCGCAGCTTCAACGACAACTGAAGTTTCATCAGAAATAGGGGCTTCACCTTCCGTCTGACTCATATTCGAACAGAAATAGCCCACTGAAAAACACACAGGAAGCTTTCACAAAGATATGCATCTCCTTCAAATCAAGAAAAATTAACACCGATGGAATCCCAGAAACAGGACATCGACCGTTCGCACAGGGAAAAATAGGTCGTGCCCACCCATGTTCGGACGCCAACGGTAGACTCGACCGTAAATTTCAATTACTGGGGAATATACAGTCTGTCTTTCCTGTTACTGCTTTGGAGAAATATTAAAAACCATGGCTCCTCCCGCTCCAATCGTTATAGATGCTCAGGCTGTCAGTGGAATAACTGGGTATGTGTTTTTTTACAGGCGCGCCGGTTTGTCGTATTCTGCAAGTGAAAATGTGTCAGAATTTTCACTCTTGCTCAGATTAAGTACAAATCGCAGTACTAACAACCGCATTTTCTAGTTCCATCTCGATTGCATGCTGGATTATTGTATTTGCTCCACAGATATACGAGAATTTCATCCGCAAAAGCTCGGAAGGGCTATCGCTACTATTCGTGGTGCTTTGGTTGCTCGGTGATGTGTTCAACGTATTGGGTGCGGTGTTACAAGGCGTATTGCCAACTATGACAATTCTGGCCATTTACTATACTCTGGCTGATATTGTGCTGTTGTGGCAATGTTTGGCTTATGGGGATGGCAAACATGGCAAGGTGGATCCGATCCATCTCTCTCCTGCCAACCCATTGAGTGAGCACGACAACCTACTGGAAGCAGCGGTCAGCAACGAGGAGAACTACAGCAGTGATGGGGATGAGATCGAGAGTTTTATAGACACCAACGGTATGGAAGACACCGTCACCAGCAACTGGAGGCCTCTCTTCTTTAACATTGTCACTGTGGCCCTGGTGTTCATTGCCGGTATTGGTGGATGGTACATCTCCTCAGGTAAGAAGGGTGTACACAAGCATAAACCTGAGCAACCAGATGATGAGCTCATTTTTGACAACCTGGCTCAGACATTTGGCTGGTTATGTGCTGCTTTGTATCTGGGCTCGAGGATACCCCAGATCTTGCTAAACTTTGAGAGAAAATCGTGCGAGGGCATTTCGTTTCTCTTCTTCCTGTTCGCCTGTCTAGGGAACATGACCTATGTGGTCTCCATTTTGAGTGTAAGCACGGGAAAAAATTACTTGCTAGTTAACGCGTCGTGGCTAGCAGGTAGTTTGGGAACGCTTTTACTGGATTTTGTCATATTCGTGCAATTTTTCATTTATAACGACCCGGAGAAGGGTGAACCATTGCTTGAGGATGGCCTAGAAGAGAGTGGATCTTATGGAGCCGTTTGAAAGAGTTTAAAAGATATACATAGCTTTGTGAGTCAAGTTTAAAAGGTTTTGTTTTTTTCAAGGAGCTCTGATTTTGTTTCCATGGATGGAGAAGGTTATAAGGCAGTATATAACTTGGTCTATTGATTGGGATGCAGGCTTCAATGCTCTATTCATTCTCTCATTGACTCGTTAAAACAACATTCTACAGTCTTGTTCTGCATTGAGCAAGTATCACAGTTTAAAATATAAACCTGAGCCAACGAATATCAGATCTGTCTGTTTTTTAGAATACTTCTGCAGGACATACCATAAAGTTTGACCTTATGCCCTTAAAGAGGCTAGAAGCGACACGGGTTTAGCTTGCCACATTTAGACCTCCCACTTGGCTCTCAACACCAAAAATAAACTCAGTCATGCCATTTTACCTCCGTCATACGAATAAGAAGTATTTTTTTGACAAAATAAAACCAGTATTAGTCCTTTTTGCGCTGTTAGTAAGGCCTTAACACATTGGTAGTGTACTTTAACCGTTTTGAGCGCCACACCCAAAAAGCTGACCGCGTCTTTATTTCGAGCACCGCGTTCCTCAAGCAACAACCTGTCTTTTTATCTCCAACCAACACAAATGTCTAGTGTTAAACCCGAGTTGAAGTTCGTCGATAATCTCGATGAACGTAACTTCTATAAAAAGTACTTTGCTCTCGAACCAAAAAATGACAAGACGTTGAGGGTGGTTGATAAAGGTGACTACTATAGCGTGTTTGATGACGATGCCGAGTTTGTGGCTGAGACCATTTACAAGACTCAGTCAGTGATCAAAAAGGCTAATGTTGGGACCAAGCAGGTGAGCTACGTTACATTATCCCCTGCAGTTTTTTCAAACGTTTTGAAGTTGTCGGTTATTGATCTTGGCTACAAGGTTGAGATCTACAACAAAGGTTGGGGAATTTTGAAGATGGCGTCCCCCGGAAATCTCACTGCTATTGAGGACATGATCAACTCGTCCGAATTGAATACATACTCGCTTATCGCGGCTGTGAGATTGGTTAACACGGCCTCGGAGGGCCGCAAAGTTGGTCTATCGTATCTCGATTCGAACGCCAAAACCATTGGACTGTGCGAGTTCTCCGACAATGAGATATTCTCCAACCTGGAGTCCTTGCTGATCCAGTTGGGTATCAAGGAGTGTTTGGTTGCAGCGAATCCCGCGAATTCTGGAAAAGCGGCCGACCCTGACTCCGAAAAGCTATTGCAGCTTCTTGAGAAATGTGATGTCGTCTGCACTTCTGTGAAGTCAGGTGATTTCAACACCAAAAACATCGAGCAGGATCTCGTGAGACTTACTGGAAACGATTTGGTTTTGTCCACTAACGAGTTGTCATCTCTGGCGATTGCCCTCTCCAGTGCTACGGTTCTAGTGGGTTACCTGAATTTGATGAATGAGGACTCCAACTTTGGAACTCATAAGGTAATTGAGTACAACCTGGAGCAGTACATGAAGCTCGATTTTGCTGCTGTTAGGGCCCTCAACCTGTTCCCCCCTCCTGGCTCGAATAACATGATGAACAAGAACTCATCCCTTTTTGGGCTCTTGAATCATTGCAAGACCACGGGTGGCTCGAGATTGTTGTCTCAATGGATCAAACAGCCTTTGGTTGATGTGAAGGATGTTGTCAGAAGACAAATCATTGTTGAGCATTTGATGAACGACACTTCCTTGAGGAGCTCTTTGCAAAATCAGTTCCTGGGCCATGTTCCCGACCTTACAAAGTTGGTGAAGAAGCTCACTAACGGAAAGAGCGCCAAATTAGATGATGTCATCAGAATCTACCAGCTATGCGTCAAGATTCCTGACCTCTTGGATATGATCACCGCTTCAGCTGAAGATGCGGTGATTTCTGAAGATGCCAGAAACGAGGGAATGTCGGCCAAGGAGCTCTTGGAAGAGCTTTGGATTGACCCTATTACGGAGTCCTTGCCTCACTTGACCAAATTTCAGGAGCTGATTGAGTCTACAATTGACCTGCAATCTCTCAACGAGGCAACGTCTGCCTCTAGTTCCAGTTCCATGATTGCAATCAATCCTGAGTTTGACGAAAACTTGCTCAGGATAAGCAAGGAGCTGGACGCAATCAAAGAAGATATCAGGGCTTGTCACGAGACTGTTTCTGATGATCTTGGGATGGAAATGGAGAAGAAACTTAAATTAGAGAACCACCATGTGTACGGCTACTGCTTCAGACTTACCAGAAACGATGCGTCAGTACTTAGAGGAGACAAGAAATATCGTGAACTCTCTACTGTCAAGGCAGGTGTATACTTCACTTCATCTGAACTTACTGCCTTGTCACAGGATGTTTTGAAACACGAAGAGGACTATCAGAAATTCCAAAGCAATGTTGTACGGGAAATCATTGAGATTACCGCGACATACTCTCCAATATTCTTGAATATCCAAATCAACCTTTCGATTCTGGACGTGCTCACATCCTTTGCTCATGTTTCGCTCTACGCTCCAACGCCATATGTCCGTCCATTATTGCACGGAATCAACAGTGATACTAGGCGCACTGTTCTCCACGAATCCAGACATCCATGCCTGGAGGCCCAGGATGACATTACGTTCATTGCAAATGACATCGAGCTGGTGAAGTCAGAAAAGGAGTTCTTGATCATTACCGGTCCAAATATGGGTGGTAAGTCGACATATATCAGACAGGTTGGTGTGATCGCTCTGATGGCTCAAATTGGATGCTTTGTTCCATGCAATGAAGATCCCGAAATATGCCTCTTCGATTCCATTTTGGCAAGAGTTGGAGCTTCCGACTCTCAGCTGAAGGGTGTATCTACTTTCATGTCTGAAATGCTTGAGATGTCTTCCATCCTGCGTACAGCCACTGAGAATTCTCTCATCATCATTGACGAGCTTGGAAGAGGTACGTCCACATACGACGGTTTCGGTCTTGCTTGGGCCATTAGTGAGCACTTGGCTAAGAACGTAAAATCGTTCACCATGTTTGCTACTCATTTCCATGAATTGACCGCCCTTGCCAACCAGATCCCAACGGTCCAAAACCTTCATGTGGTTGCTCACATCTCCGACGTGTCGGAGGAAGAGAAGAAACAGACAAACCCATCTGATGAGATCACTCTCCTGTTTAAGGTTGAGCCCGGTGTTTCTGATCAATCTTTTGGAATCCACGTAGCTGAGGTCGTGAAGTTCCCACAGAAGATCATCAGCATGGCTAAGCGCAAGGCCACCGAGCTGGAGGATTCTGAGTCTGCTGCCAAAGACCCGTATATCAGAGAAAAACGTACGAAATGTACAGACCAAGAGATCTTGCAAGGAAACGAGCTTCTCCGGACGATTTTGAAAAAATGGAAGTCTGAGGTGGAGTCTGAAGGTGATGGTGCTGGCTCAGCCAAAACTCAGGCGATACTCAAGAGATTGGTGGAGAATGACTTCAAACAACAGATTGCGTCTGATAAGTTTGTAAAGGAGGTTATGACTCTTTAAGGTGCCCCTTTAGATATTTAAATAGTATTTTAACGCTTATTTCGTATAAAGTCGTCTGCCATGTCGTAATTGCTATATTATGATATTCGCATCACCGGAGCATACATATCTCTAACTTCGCTTTTTCCTCTTCTCAAAACCATCAAACACAGAGCGATTCTGTAGTAACAAATCCAACGTGAAGAGATGTCCTCCGTTCAGCCTCAGTGTGATCTTGAGATTTTTCACAAACTTATCGAACCGAGCCCTTGGTGAGATCGTGATATCGGGTAGTTCATCATCTCTGAAGTTCCTGTTCTCATCTGTCCCGGGATCGGGTCTTAATTTGCTAAGAGCAATAAAAAACTCCCTGACAGACTCAAACTCGCCGAAAGGTTTCCCCAGCACCTTTCTATAGTGCTTTAGTTCCTCATAGTGTTGATCTATGAACTGAGAATCATCTGGCAGTTGCCTGTAATTATCCTCCGACTTGAGAGGAAAGGAATTTGCAGCTACTTCTGCTGAGTTTGGCATCGTCACATAACCGGAGTCGTTTTGCAAGTCCTGCCCAATGCTGGTTAGAATGTAGTGTGTAGCATCGGGAGAGGTGTTGATCTTAGCCCTCCCCGGATTAGAGCTGGAGAGATAACGCGAGCCTAGCAGCAAACCCATCCTTCTCGCACATTGTGACTGTTGAAGAGAATATCTATAAACGTTCATAGTCCTTGAAAAGTATATGCTATTTGGAACAATAACGTATCGTTGTGGTATATCATTACTATGCTGTGGCCTTATCGGTTGCTCATCCCTTTGGGGCTCCGGGCCTGCATGCAAAGAACGCGTGCGGCTCAAATTTAGCACTGCAAGCAAAATACTATCACCTAAATATCATCTGCTTTTGCACAAAACTTCATACTATACACTATCATAAATATTACACAGACTTCCACAACATAGAATATCATAATTATCATTGCTTGCGGCGATTTTTCCTACCCCCTTTCCTCGGAGCAAACTTTTTCTTCTGAAGCCATTGGTCCTGCCATATCAACCCTTCACTAGCAAAGCTGGAGTCGTTCAATCTCACAAAGTTCATAACACCTTGATCTATGATGCAAATTAAAATGTGCTTCTCCCCATACTTCAATTTAAAGTCATCGGGTCCCGTTGCGACAGACGTTCTTTCCACCTTTTTTACCGTGTGCGAATCACAGCGACCTAACAAAGACCTGACCTCTTCGAACGAGGGAAAGTTCGTGCTGTTCACATCTATCACACAAACCTGGAAGTCTGGCACTGGGGGAGACTTCTTGCGGAACCCGGGTGTTGGTTTCCAAATGTTGAAGCAAATACGGTACTTTGTTTGCTGATTTGCCTGAACCTCTTGGTGAGAAGATGGTCTCAAAAACACCGTCTGCAACTGGGAGAACATAGAAGAGTATCTGAAGTAGCGAGAAAACTCGAAATGTTGAGGGTGAAGCAGCGGATACCGCGAAAGTCCACCGTTGAAACAGAATAGGCCTATTCTATCCACAAGAGGGAGTATGAGTCTTCTGAACCAGGACAATGACCTGGTCAAGTAGTTAGCCAAATGTCCCAGCTGAAACCTTTTCGTAGACAAAACAGGCACCATCACTTCGGTGACCAATGGTATCATCTCATCATATTCAGCGTGTCTCTGAATTGTGTATCCACATCTCTTCAAGTGAGAATAGCACATGAATTTCTCGTAGTCTCCAGGATTCGCAAACGCCATGCTATACAGCTCCTCCAAACTCAAAACATGCGAGTCATCATCCGAATACTTCGCAATACAGCTTCCACGTTCAACCAAGAAAACTGCCTCTTCCGGAAACATCCAGACGGTCTTTCCATCCCTGTCTGTTTTACCAAGCGTTTCAAGAAACTTGCCTTTCGGCTGGGTCATGTAGAACTCCCCAGTCTGCCTGTCATATCTTATAGTGAGAGGATCCATGCTCCCATTGCCAGGAACAGGAACACGGCGTGTTTTCGACAATGCCTCATACATAGTATTTCTGGCCTCCGAAAGCATTCTTTCGTCATATGTGGTTGATTCTTGCGCGAGAGGCTCCGCATCTTTCACTCCTCTTTTAGGTACAGTGTTTCGTTTCTTGCCCTGATACTTCTGGGCCACCACGGCCCAGTCCTGGATAACTTCCCCGAAATCGTCATCTGGTTGATTCGAAGAATCGAAATTTAACAAATCGTCCTCCTCTTGTTCCATTAAATATCTTGCTGATGCTGGAACTCTGCGAAAACGAAGCTCTCAATTTTTATGCTCGCACCAAAATCTTTCTTCTCATCACCTCGTGTCCCAATCGGGAAACTGCACGCAAGCACTTGAACCTCCATATCGATCTCGAGATGGAAGATTGATAATCTGTTTGAGTGCAAGTTACACGTGTCAAAATTTATATTTACTTGACAAGTATTCGTTGGTTTGGGATTTTCAGCCCAGACTTGAGTTCATTATTGTTAATTGGAGTGTTTGTGCAAAGAATTCCTGAGAATACCTCCATCCCTTGTCGCCTGTTCCATTACAACCAGAGCTATTGCGGAACAGTCACAGCTACCAGTCTCTGCCAGAAGTGATCAGAAAAATTGATCAAAGATCAACAGAGCTCATTCCGCTAAAACCGCTGCATTTCAGTCTCGCCACAGACTCAGAGCAATGACCAACACACAGCCGAGCGAAAATGGCGATAGCGACATGTTGACCTATAGAAATATCTCCAGCTCCATCCTCGAAAACATGTTCACCCCCATCATTCACGAAATTATAATAGAGTCCATTTTGAATGAGCAGGTGCTGCGATCGAGCTATGGGACTGTTGACAATCCCAAGTATGTGGAGGCCGGAAATCCCACCAGGACAGACCAGACCCAGGATACACAGCCGGCCACCAAAAAGGCCAAACTTGATTCAGGGAGCTCGAGCACCTCTACACCAACACCGCACTACACCGAGCGCGATCTCGGACGGCTGGAGTTCGTCACCAACGGAAAAGATGTTTTTTCAAACTACAAGAGGAAGGAGAATGGATCTGCCAATGGAGCGACCGGGTCCAACGGGAACCACTCTGCGGCGGGCAACGGAAACGGCAGTGACGACTACTTCAAATGTCTGAACTGCGACCGGAGGATAGCCGGTAGTCGGTTTGCGAGTCATATTGATCGGTGTTTGGGAGGTAGGACGAGAAAGTGAAAAAGCACACTTGAGCAGGATTAGGTGCAAACAAAATGTACTGAAAAAAAGTCTCTACATAGCATACAATGGAAAAGGACAGAGTCTCAGCGGTTCCATGGTCTGAGAACTTGATAAATCATAATTAGGTTTGCTCGGGACCCATTGCAGACATATATACTCGCATACTCATAGTGGAAAGATATAGATATGCTGACAAAAACTACTCCATTCTACCCATAAATATGCAAATTATATAGCCTAAGATCCAACTGAAATTTCCAAAAAAATTATTACTTTTCAAATATCCCATAAATGTCTGAAACTTCACCTGTCAGCTAATCAGCCACAGTCCCTCACGTCTCCTCCTCATCACTCGGCTGGTGCGGTTACCATTTAGATAACGGGGAGAAAGCGTGGGGCGCCGGGCCGAGTTTGTTAACACGTTTTCTTCTCTCTTATTGCTGGTATCATTTGCTGTCGTCTGCATTTGCTTTTTATCAGCTTTATCAGATCCACACTGGATTTTGTGTGAGAAATAAGCGTTTCAGGTGCTTTGCTACTATTGCTCTTGCTAAAGTATGGCCAGCCATTTGGGCGCCTTGTCTGCCTGGATCACAGCCCATGTTCCAGGGCCCTTGAGTTACAAACAGCCCGCCTCGGCTGATAACGAGGGATACTGGGGCCCTGTGACTTCCACTATCGACTGGTGCGAAGAAAACTATGTGATCTCTCCGTTTTTCGCAGAGTTCGTCAACTCGACCACGAACCTGGCATTCTTCGCCCTATCGATGTACCACCTGCACTCTGCCATCAAGAACAAGCACGGACTGTTGTTTATGTTTGTTTCTGTTGGGATGTGTTTTGTTGGTGTTGGATCATGGCTTTTCCATATGACACTGAAATACGAGTTCCAACTCATGGATGAACTACCCATGATCTACTGTACGGCCCTTCCGTTTGCCTATATCTTCAGCGTTGGTAAGGGGAAAACGGTTTCTGTCTTGATATATTCAACAACAGCTCTGTTCACGGCTCTTCTGACGTATATTTACTGCTCGGTATACCAGAATCCTGCTTTTCACCAGGTTTCGTACGGCTTGCTGAATTTTGCGATCATATTCAGAAGCTTGTATTTGGTGAACACGAGGGTGACCGATCCCAAGATCCGCAAATTCCTGTATGGGCTTATTTCTGCCGCTTTATTTGAGTTTCTATTCGGATTCCTGCTCTGGAACCTGGATACAGCCTACTGCACCAACCTAATCTGGGCCAGGAGGGAGGTCATGGGATTGCCGTATGGAGTCGTGCTAGAGGGCCACGGATGGTGGCATGTGTTCACTGGTCTTGGTATATACCATTTCATTCTCTACAGCCAGGTTTTGAGGACCTGGGTTGACGGCGTCCAGGACAATTATGAGTTGCTTTGGACTTACGGCTTTCTTGGAGAAGTGGTACTGAAGCAAAGCGACAAAATTAAAACAAAAAAATGCGAATAAAATATATGACACTATTAAAACAATACTACATATGCCTTTATAGAATATGACAAATGATTCAATCAATTTCCAACCCAAGAGCAACAAGTTTGTCAGGACTGCTTATCAGTAGAGATTGGCAGATTACCAACTGTGGGGTTGGCCTGTCCGCACCTTCAGCTTCAAAGAGAGTATACGAGTCTTGGAGTTTGAAAATATTTCCAAAAAACTACATCTGTGTTTAAATCACATGAAATCTCCAATCCGGCTGTTCCAATCAAAATCTCATCGCTATTCTTTCCTGAACTTTGAACAAGCCCTTATTATTACCTCGATGTGACTTCGGCATGGTTCGGCCCCCGAGATTTGGCAAGCCGACGCCCTCTGAAAAGTCGCGCTCACACTATATCTTCTGAACTGGTGGTTTTCTGTAAGCTTCAAGTTTGAATTTTTTTTGTTCGTTTGATTTCGTTTGATTTCTGTTACGATACACGAAGATGGGGTTTCTATCGATCGATTACGGGACTCCGTACCATGGTGAGGAGGGATATTGGGGACCGGTGACGGCGACCATAGATTGGTGTGAAGAGAACTACGTGATCTCGAGATACTTTGCTGAGTTTGTCAACAGTATTACCAATCTTTCTTTCTTCTTCCTGGCAGGATACCACTTATACTCTGCCGTGAAGAACAAACATGGGGTTCTTTATATTTTCATCGCAATCGGTATGGCGTTTGTTGGTTTTGGATCATGGCTGTTCCACATGACCCTTCGCTACGAGTTTCAGCTCATGGATGAACTTCCCATGATATACGTGACGGCAATTCCGTTTGGCTATCTTTTTGGCCACAACAAGCCCCCAAGAACGAAGCTCTTAGTTCATTTAGCCACTGGGTTTTTTACTGTGTTGCTTACCGTGGTTTATGTCTTCATCTACAAGAACCCTGCCCTGCACCAAGCTTCGTATGCGGCTTTGAATTTCAGCATTATCTGGAAAACCTTGAACAATATCCAGTTAAAAGTGAAAGACAGAGCTGCTCAGATCTTTCTCTATAAAATGCTCGGGACTGCTTTCTCCATGTTCATTTTTGGGTTTCTGATATGGAATCTGGATAACGTGTTTTGCCAGTACTTGATCCATGTCAGAAGAAACTACCTTGGCTTGCCGTACGGGATTTTCATCGAGGGTCATGGATGGTGGCACATCTTCACAAGTCTGGGAATTTACTACTTCGTCACGTATAACGAGGTCCTTTCCACTTGGATGGACGACAAACAAGAGGATTACAAGGTGGTCTGGCACGGTCCGATATGCGAGGTTGTTTTGAAGGACAAGAAGGATGTGGCCAGAAAGGAGCAATGATATTTTACTACAAAACAAGTGTATACAGAGGAGTTGAAGTAGAAGATCAGAATGATATTTTCTTCGTAGTGTTTCATGGTGCTTGTAGAACGTTCCTGCATGTTTGTTCCAACGGCTCGCTCACATTATACAAGCCTTGGGAAGCCAATACACGAGCACAAACAAACTTCAAATTGTTATCCAGAGCTTCTGTATGAGGCTTCACTTGCTGCTGAGGAATGCCATCTGGCTGGTTCTTCAGAGAATCGCATAACTGAACCGTTTCGGTAAGTACATCTTCAAGCTTGAAAGATTCATAGCCATCTTCTAAGAGTTTAGACTGGACATCAACGAAGACACTCTGAGAATGAGTTATTGGACCCAAACAGAAACCCAAGAGCTTGATTCTTTCAAAAACAAAAGGAAACGGTATTGCAGATTGTCCTTTTGTGAGCGCCATCAGCTTCTCCAGAAGCCCAATGATTCGATTATTAGCAGATAGCTCTGGCTTGATAGAGAACAACAGAGCCAAAACTTTGCAAAGGAACACCGATATGTAAGTCTGTCTGTCATCCTCTTGCATGGGCCTAGAGGAATCAATGAAAGAGGCTAGGTATGATATCATACTCTGTGGGTCACAGAACAACACACTAAAACGGGCGGAAGTACTATTGTTCTGAAGCGCCAAAACAAAACGATCCAGCGTTTTGAGCAGTACCGATGAGACTTCTTTGTGATATGTGAACAATGCGTCATTTGAGAGAAAATGGCCAATCATCTCTTTGAAGCGAGCCATAGGCGCAAAATCTGAAAAGAGCTCGTCCATACTCTTTTCGTTACTGACCAATTTTTGAATCACAAATGCAGAATTATAGAGCTGAAAGTTCGGCTTTTCATCACGCAATTGAGAGTTGATTGTTTCCAGAAGGAGACTCATGAATTGGGGGGTTTGCGTTTCCAGTGAACGGATTACCATGCTTTGAGTCTCCCCAGATACCACACAATTTCCCAAAATGATGCAAAGGGAAGACGAGCCAAACTTCGAGTGAACGCTTTTGATGCAAGCAGAGAAGCAATCCACGAAGTGTCTATCAGGTACCAAAGATTCGTTAGACGACAAAATCTTGACACAGTCAAGACCACGATCCAGAATCTCTGCAGTATCGTATTGTTCGAGTTTCGCCACTTCGTCAAGGAAGTTGACGAGCAGAAGAAGCATTCTCTCCATTTGGCTTTTTTTGAAGGTCAGGTTTTTAAACTCTGACAGCCGAGCAACTACAGAAAGCAAACCCAGCTTCTCCTCAGCATCCAGGTCATCCTTGGTATCTCTGAGATCCCCCAGAATTCCTCCAATGAGCTCAATAAGATCATCTAGCTCGACCTTGTATTCCGAACTGATCGTTTCGAGCGAACACAATTCGTTCATAATATCCAACGACGCCTCATATTCATTAGATGACCCTGACACTCCAGACTTCAGGTTATACATAACCGAATCTAACAAATTATTTTCTGTACGAACGCACGCCTCCGTCAAGGCGGCATGTGCCGCTTTGTAGTCCATTTGGAAGTTCATAACGAAATGGCAGACCACAAATACAACGTCTGTGCGTATTCTGAGTAGTTGCGGGATAAGCTCAAACAACGGCTGATACAGTTTTAACACGCGAGCTCTGTTCAAGTCGTTATCAGCGACATAATTGGCCAACATTCTGAAGATTGGCCGCATGGACTTGGACCTCTGCAGCTCCAATGCCTCTTCGAAGGCCTGCTGATCATCAGAGTGAAATCCCGATAACTTTTCGCTGCTTTTTAAATTATTGGTGACAAAATGGATAGTTAACGGAATAAAGTCGTCAAGCAGAGGATCTTCTCTGAATATTGGTTCTCTGAGTATTGTTCCTATATCCTCGTAGAGCGAGCTGAGATTCACTGCGTCTGGACTGGTCAGACTAATATGCGAGCTCTGCAGCTTCGAGCTGTCCGGCCAAATGGCTGTCTGAACCTGATCTATTAGAGATCGCAGACGAATTTCGGAGATCATTTAATATAATTTCGAGGATAAACCGCTAAGCACCATCTTCAACAATCGCAGAGAAAATTACGCCGCGTCGATGATTTCTTAGAATCGTGTACCCGATCCAAAGATAACGCAGGCCCCTCCAGAGAAGCCTTACGAATGAGGTCGGTCATCAATAATGTAGTCTCGGTAAAAATCAATATTATACAGTCACTCGGATTGAGCGTGTCGTATGAATGCAAATATGTATCATGCTTTATATTAACGATGGTGGTGATGCAATCTCACCTCTTTGTACCATCCTGAGATGTCCTCTCCTCTCGTACCAACCTCTCGGTCGACATAACCTTCAACGTTACAGTCATTCAGCCAATAATGGTTCGACAGTCCGGCAGCATCCATTCGCTTTTTGGGGTCAGGAACCAACATTCCTGAGAGAAAATCGGTGATCTCGTGGGCATCCGTCTCACTGAATTTGTACTTCTCCATCAGGACGTTTTGCAATGGCCATGGCTTCAAGTTTTTGATTCTTCTGAGACGCTGCAGGTCAGAATGGTAAAAAAGTTTTCCATTACGACTGACTGCGATCAGTTCTTGAGGAATTGGCCCAAGCAGCTCGACTATTTGGGCAAGATGGTCATCATTTTTGCTAAACGATCTTCCTTCAGTGGGATCAAACAGATAGTCTCCTGTCAGTAGCTCAAATATCAAACAACCAACAGACCAGATATCACACGAGCATCCCCATTGGGCACCCAGTATCACCTCTGGTGCACGATATTGGCGAGTCTGAACGTCATCCGTGAAATGGTTGTAGATCCAGCACGCGTTACCAAGATCTGCGATTTTGACCCTTAGAATGTCGTCATCCGCAAGCTCCTCAGCCTTTGGAGGCTCCCATTGATGCAATCTTTGTTCAGCAGATATAGAGATCGACGAAAGAGATTCCAGCACTCTCGAGTGGTTGTCAGAAAGATCTTCCATATCAAAGTTGGAAACAGAGCCTCTGAAGGGAGTGGTGCCTGGCAACGTCTGGTTCGTGTCCAGTGGAGAAACAAAAAACGAGTTGCTTTTCGAACGTAATGGTGATGGTAGTGGTTGCGAACCAGTGATTAAAGTTTGTCTTCTGGATAGACGGCCTTTGCGAGACATGGTTCTCGGGAAGTCATTCGCCTCGTCAATAGAAGCAGAGATATCAATAGGAGATGTCTGGTCGCCCAAAGACGCAGATGACACTCTAGTTGAGTGGACTCTTTTGAGCATCTCCTTTCTCTGTTTTTGTGCATTCTCTAAAAACTGTACAATCTGTTCCACATCTTCTAGCTCAAGCAGAACATTCTCCGGCTTCACATCTGTATGCACAATACCGCACAATCTATGCAAAAAGTCCATGGCAAGCAACACCTGCTTAGCAATCTGCTTCACAAACTTGATGGGAAGACCTTTGTGCTTGTATCTCCGGATCAAACTCAATAAGTTTTCTCCTAATACCTCGAACACCATGCAAATGTGCACACCATTCTCTCCTTGGTGGTCGAAATAGTCCAGCAGTTTCACCAAATGCTGGTGTCCTGGATGCTCGGGGTCCGTATGATTCAGCTTAGAAAGTAGCTTTATCTCGTCTATGGCGGTTTCGCGGTAATTTTTCGCACTCCTGACTATCTTCATGGCAACATGCTTGTTGTCTTCGGTATCTTTAGCAAGCCACACTGTCGAGAAATGGCCCCAACCCAGTTTTCTCACCAGTTTGTATCTCTTTCCCTTATAATATTCGCCTATATATGCCGGATGGTATCCTCCTGGAATATAATCGCTGGTATTCTCTTCGTTTTCTGGTTCCAGGGGAATCTCAAAGTCTTGCGCCTCATCGTCATCGGAGTCGGAATATGAGGAATGCGACATTTCGTCGGAACGCCTCCTTGGTCTCAGCCCCTGAAAGCTGTTATTATCATCATTGATGGTTCCTAGCTTTGCATCCACCTCTTTGGCAATATCACGATCTTCCAGAGCCGCGTCTGGCGCATCTGCTGTCTTCAACGCCAAAGAGAGTTTGGATTCATTTTGAGCAGCGACGGGCGCCACGTCTGCCCGTATGGCTGACTTGTCAAATGGCCCTCCTTGCGGCATTTGACTTAACCAAAAACGAGCCTTTTTATAGGAAAACTAAGATCACTATTCTGCTTTGAAATGCCAATGTCGAGACTTGAAACCACTCAAACCAACGCTGAATATATAAGCCGTCAATCAACTTTTGGTCAGCTCCTTGAACAAAAAACAGCTCAATAAACAAATTCAAGAACACGATTTGAGCCTAAAACAAAAGATGCAGAAGAAACTCGGAACAAAGTCTTACATGTTGTAGGACAGATTCTTTCCATCGGGTCAAAATTGTATGAAATGTATCAGATGCCGCAACCGGGCTTCCTAACGCTAGCCAAACGGCCAAACCCTCCAATTTTGGGTCTCCGGTTTGTTAGTGGAATAACCTTGAAGTCACGTGCCTTCATTTTGGCGTGTTCCAATATATTGCTTCGTTTTAGTTGTCTCGAGTGTTCTTCCGCCAGCTCCTACTAGTATTAAAAGGGGTTGTTCTCATAAATGCACAAAGGGCGGTTTATTTTTTGTTCAAGGACCGACCCAGAATTGACTTCTATTGGCCAAACGAATTCAAAGTAACCGATATTGGACTCTTCAACCAGAGATAAGTGCTGTGGCTCCACTCTATCGGTAAGACTGCCGTTATGAGATAATAGAAAGCGCAATTTCAACGGTTTTGCGGGGTTGCTTTTCTTGGTTAAAGTCATCACAAGCCTTTGCATGAGAGGTGCATTTCATACATTAGAAGATTACCGTTTAGAGCAAAGCAATGCGGACATAGGCTTTATCTCCGCTTGTGGGTTCAAGCAGGGGATGATCCACAAAAACATATAAATAGTGAGATTGTTCCCCGCTCGAGCCAAGCGTACCCAACTTCACTTGAGCGACAAGAACGAAAAGAACGACTCAGAATGGGCGAAATTCCAGAACAATTGTATGCCAATCTTGGCGATTCCGGGTTGAAGGTTTCGAAGGTGATTGTGGGATGCATGTCCTTTGGTTCGAAAAAATGGCTTGATTGGGTGCTTGAAGATGAAGACAAGGTGATGGAGATCTTAAAAAAGTGTTACGACAGTGGAATTAGGACATTTGACACGGCAGATATCTACTCCAATGGTATTTCTGAGATACTGCTTGGAAAGTTCTTGAAGAAATACGAGATCCCTAGAGATAAGGTGGTGATCCTATCCAAGTGTTTCGGGTATGTCGACAAGGACTTTCAGTACAAGTCGTTCCAGTATCCAAAGTTTGAGTCTTACAATCGGTCGGGGCTTTCCAGAAAGCACATTATCGATGCTGTTCAGGCCAGTGTGGAGAGGTTGGGAACTTATATGGACGTCCTCCAGATTCACAGATTCGATCCGGATACCCCACAAGAGGAAACAATGCGGGCCTTAAATTACGTCGTTGAGCAGGGCTGGACCAGATATATTGGGGCTTCTTCTATGAAGTGCTACCAATTCGCAACGTTTCAATTTATCGCTGAGACGCATGGCTGGGCCAAGTTCATTTGTATGCAAAACTACTACAATCTGATTTACAGAGAAGAGGAAAGGGAAATGATTCCGTACTGCAAGAAGACTGGTGTTGGTATCATTCCATGGAGTCCTATTGCCATGGGTCTTTTGGCAAGACCTCTCGGTCTTGATCAGCAATCGAATAGAGGCAAGTCTTTGGCCAAGAATGTCGATTCGTTAAGTGCTAAAGATAAGGAGCTGATTGGAAAGGTGGAGGCTCTGGCAAAAAAATATGACGTTGCAATGGCAACGGTTTCAATAGCCTGGGTTTTGGCTAAGGGCTGTTTTCCAATTATTGGTTTGAGTAAACCCGAAAGGGTTGATGATGCGTTGGCAGCGATTTCTTTCCAGCTGACATCTGAGGAGATTGAGGATCTGGAAAGTTCGTACGAAGCCAAGGATATGCAGCAGCTTGCATAGCCTGTAGTTGCAAGTGTACGAGCAGCTATGCGTGCAAGGACTTCAGATGCCTACACATGAAATCTTGAAATCTGTGACGTATGCGAACTAGGATTGGGCTAAACATCGCACGGCCAATTTGAGTACTCTCAAGTCTGAACGAGTTTACAAGAGTATTCCCCATAAGTTCGCTTTGAGGAAGATCAGGCACAATGATTGGAGTGGAGAATACCAGTCATCAGATTTTTGGAACTGTGTAACCTAAGCTTTATACAAAAAACCTGGTGCTGATCAAGATATTACGAATAAGCTGATCTTGGAGCTGTGAAACAAATGCGATCCCTTATTTCGTTTTTCGTATCAACCCGTAGTGATTCTGTATTTTTTGTGAACGTGTACAAGGATAGTGTACCTGGATAGTGTACGCCATTCATAAGCCGTGCGGCTCAGTGCGGCTCAGTACGGCGTTCTATGATCTGAAGCTATACTTTGAAACCCAACACTACCGCCCAACATATGTGGACGAGGGATGAAAGGGGTCCATATAAAAGCTTAGGGGGAAAATTTACTGTAAACATTCTCCTCAGTGCTCTCCGAACTGTAAACGTGTAAATCTTTCTGGTTTCTGAAACTTGAAAAGTGGTAGGTTGAATGTCGTCTTTATCAGGAGGATTCACGGAACTTAGACAATAAAGGCAAGTGATAGAAAAGCCTTCGTCGCCATCTGGATCGTTCAAGTATCGAGGGGGACCCGCGAGCCGATCCTGAGCGAGTTTAGAAGAATCGAGTGCCATTAAAGTTTCACGATCCAAGTACCAAGACGTGGACAGGGTCTGACACTCCGTATAGACAATATAGTGGAAGACATCTTTAGACCTTGAGAACTAATTGGTGATATTGCGATCATCGTGGTATTGTGTGACGGCGAAGGTAGTTGGTAACACTTAGGGGTCTGAGGGATCGATGTGGGTAGCCATACTGTCAAAATCAATTCCAGAGCGATCGCCAGTAGTGAACACCAATGTAATTACATCACATCATTGTGCCATGAGTGTGCATTGTCAAATACATTCTCTGTGTTCGTTCTGAGTCTGTGACCGTAGTAATAGCGGGATGGTAGGATATGTGGAAGTAGCTCTCAGAAGGAAAATGGTCTTCGTCTGTTGAGATGGAAGGGGCCATGATTATGCCTGGAGGGAGCAAAGTGGAGTCTCAAAAGATAAATCCGCATATCAGATGGAGCAATATATACAAAGTAGACTTATATGTGAGTTTTATGAAGCAGAACAGTATACAGTTCAGTGTGGGGATAAATTTTGAGTTTCCCTCTGTGCGATTCAAATCCCGATTGTGTTTTGCACGACGAATGGGTATGACGTCTAATCCATATTTTTATACAAGAGAATAGATCAGATGCCTTTGCGATGGGGCTGTTGGTGCTCGCCTACACTATAACGTGCGAACCTTTATTCCGTATTGTGGTATGCCCTTTATGTTGAAAATTGTGTGAAGAAAATATCACAGGGGCCTTTATGAAAACATGAATGTCGAAAACAATTTGGCATACTTCTCCCCAAACTACATATACAGATCTTTACTTGTTGACTGTGTCCGGCCCGTATCTGTCCTCCTCTCTTGAGGTAGCAGAGAGCAGGTCTTCAGTAAGCCCTTTGATATAGCATCACGAAGAGAAGACCAGGAGAAGTGGTGTCTCCGGCCCACAGCCCTCACAACTAGTTCAGGCCTCTTCTAGGTGCAAAGGTAAATGTCATACGTGGTGAGATAAAAATATGAAATGTCATTGTGACCCGTTATCAGGAGTGCTTGTTTCTGATATCCAAAGCAACGTCGTTTTTGTATGATGGTAGGGAGGAGTACTTCGAATGGTGGTGATTTCTGCCAAATCTGCTGCTCTTGGGCTTGCGCAAATGCGACAAGTCACGATGCCCCTTGTTGATGTACAGAAACGCATACATTCCAAAGACCGCAATGATCACCATGGTGGGAATAGTCATCACCACGTAGTATACATTGTCATCAGTTCCTCCCATGTCCTGGAGAGTACGGTCCAGCTTCGAGTTCTTTCCAACAACGCTTTTCTTGATGAAGTTGACCAATACCATGTTGGAAGGGTCTAGGAGTTGAAAGTCTTCGTCGCTGACAGAGTCTGGTTGAATGTAAATCGCCACCTTCTTGTGGAATAATCCCTGGAGCCACTCCTCTTGCACTTCCAGCGCGAAGAAGCCATCTCGGTTAAGGATCCACTCGGAAGTGTAGAAAGTTCCAGGCAAAGCACCTTCTGTTCCGGACAACCCGGAACTATCATAGTCCAGCTTTGCGTCGCTGGGTAGTAGGTCACGCTTACCCATACCCTTGTCACGAGAAGATTCCTTGATGTAAGCCAAATGAATTCTCACGTTTGTTGCTTCCTCAAAAAAGCGAGTGTACCACGTGACGAAATGCGTGTTTGAGGCCTTCATATCGGTGTTCTCTTTTGGCGTACAGAATGGTTCACTGCTCAGGTGACCAGCCCGACCTTTCTTGAAGTAGAAGTCTGGAGTGCATCTCATAAGGGGATTCAACGAAACATACGTCTGATCTTCGTCAATATACTCGACCTCCTCGTGAATTGCATCAGCGGGAAGGTTATGAGCCTTCAGATCCTTCTGGTTGTAAATCACGGTTGTTGCAGTCTGGAAATAGGTCGACAAATCAGGCTTTCCGTTCTTGATCTGTCCATTCTTCAGCTTAGGCTTAACCGTCACAGGAGTACCATCTTTCTTCAGAGATATCCAAGGCTCTAAGCCGTCGGTTTCCTTGGGTGGCTTTGCACTAAACGTCACTCCAGCAACAACAGTTGGTGTAACAACCTCTTTCTTGGTGGAGTAAATGGTTCTTAGCCATGGCTTGGGAGTCTCACTGGTACTGGATTCACCATTCTGTTCTGCCAGCCATTCTTTGTTGTAAATAGCCTTATTTTTCCTAGCTTCTCTCTTCTCAAATGCAATCGAACCAGTGGTTTGCGCTGGGATGACGGTCTGAGTGGTTTCCTGTTGGACAAGAGTGGATGTCGGTTGATCCGCTAAAAGCCGGTAGAAAATCGGATTAGCCGAACAACTCAGGGCCAGCAACAAAAGTGCGACCAACGACTGAGTGCACTTCATTATTGTTTGACAGCTCTTGGGAGAAGAAGAAAGCTTGCAAAACTCCCGTGTTCCGAGGTGTTTATACCACGAGTGCCGAGCCAGAAATACAGGGTTCATAACCACATATGAGAATTTCGTGTGCGGCTGAAAAAAGGTCATGAACATGGTTGGTGGATATGTTTGGGAGGTGATTCCAAACATGTAAAATAAGGGATATCAGTTTCGACTCTACAATGTAATATCCAGTCATAATGCATATATAGACAAGTCCAATTGTCTACCCTATTCTATAAAAATAATCTATTAAACCGTTTCAACGCCATTTTTTTGACCCCATTTTAACATCCATTATCCAAACCCTTTGACTTCATCTTCCGTTCTGCAACGACTTCCACTTAGAAAGAAGCTCCATGAACTTCAGAAAATCATCTTCTGATATCAACTGGCCGCTGAACCTCAATCGCTCGTAAGTAGAAAGAAGCTCCTCTAATAAAGCCGGGTCGGAACGTTCCAAGTTGCCATCGTCCATCAACGTCATCACCTCTCTGAAGCTCATCTTCTGAGGAACATTCACCCATTCCCGATTGTCCATAACTAAGTACCCGTTGTACTTGATCTCGTTGCCTATGATCCTGACAACGTTCTCGTAAACCAGATTATTGGGTAAAAACCCAGCAGCCGGGTCGACCAACTTGCTAGGTGTCTTCCTATGGATCTTCTCATTCTCTTTCTCACCAAACAAGTCAATCTGTTCAACATCGTCGTAGTCCTTGTGATAGTATAATCCTGGATGTTTGACTAGTTCGTGGGGCATTGCCCTTGCCGTGATCTTCTCGCATCGTATGAGTTGCTCTTTGATATACACGGCACACTTTGACGGTATATCGTTGGCATCAGTGGGCATGTAGGGCTTTGGGATATCTTGGAGATGAACTCTCAGGACATATATCCGGAGCGCATATATAAATATACACAATCCGGCAAACAGACCGCAAGCAATTAACACGATGAGCGTATTAACTGCAAGATGCGACGAAGTTTTTGATTTGATAATAACGTCTATCGGAACAATTGAGCAAAGACCCAGAAACACAATAAAGAATAAACCCAGGGATATTGAATACAGCCAGTTGAACACTGTTTTGGATATGGCAAAGATGTGTCGGCCGCCTCCTGTGGTGAGAGCTTCTGGGGGCGAGTCTTCACCGTTGAAAAACAGTATTCGTTGAGTGTAGTTCATGGCTGGTTAGCACAAGATCAGCGCCGGGCTTTGCCACAAAAACACTTCTCTAAAACGACCCTAAACTGATTGTTGAAGAGAAGAAAATACGATAGTTGTCAAACGATGGACTGGTCGAAAAGAGATGTTTTCAGCCTCATCGGTCCGGACACTACTAGCACCAAAAGATATCAAGTCTTTAGGCGGTGGTTATCATCCCATTCACGGCATTTCTTTCGAATATCTCTCTTCAGCATGTCCCTTATGGAGATTATCGCTCAGAATCTTGTGCACTTTCATCTTTGGACGAGCATTCAGACATTCCCAAAGTCTTCAGCGAAGGGAACCCCTCACGGAGTCGTAAGAGGTGTTCCCCCCAAAAAACTTTCAGAAACAACCAGCATATCATCAACTGGTGAAACGGAAAGTTCAACAACAGATAAGCCAGACGGAGATACCTCAGAGGAATGGGTATTACCATTGAGTATAAGCGACAAATTAACGGTGGAAAATATTGAGCAAATATTTGAAAGCATACGAAGCGTTGGCTCCTACAGGCCGAAGAGGATCATAGCTGGACTGCTTGATGATGATGGCTCAGTGGTTTATTATTTTATACATGACGGCCTGGTCAAGCCCAGGAGCTGAGACTCAAAATTTGCACTCATATCAGCGTATTTCCATAGTTTAAGATTGCATTTACCAAGCCTGGATATTCGCTGCTCCGGGGAGATCTCACCAAGTCGGAACGCTTGATCTTGAACTCCATAGACTTTGCCAGTAGCTGAACCTTGGCAAACAGCTCTGGATGTGAGTCGGAGATGTACGTTCTCATGAAGCAATCTGGTAGCTCTGAGTAGGTCTGGCTGAATATGTGTGCCATGAACAAGATCTCCGATGCTGTTGGTGCCTTATCGGATTCCAGATCAATGACCTTGGTAATCTGAGACAGGTAGGTCTCTGCAAGATAGATACATTGCATGTTGGCCACAGCCCCTTTCTTAGTCAAAATTTCCGATACCTTCTGGTCAATCTGAGTCTTGTAAACATTGCTGAGTGTCGGTATTGCCTTGAGTTGATCTTTCAGTGCCTTAATCTCCTCGTCGTCATCAGAGGCTTGTCTAGTACCCTCGGTCAACCCCACTGAGTTAGCAGCCTCGACGGCCTCTTTTCTGAGATCCAGGGGCGGCGCATACTGCATAGGAAAAGGCAGATAGTCTTTAAATTTGGATCTAGTGAAGCGCTCGTAGTTTTCTCGGTTGACGAGATATGTGTATTTTGTAATGACGGACAGCTTATTTTCGATGTACTGCATGAGACCACTCTCCACCAGTTCACTCTCGTAATTGGCGGCCGCAGTCACTTTGCTTGGAATTTTTTTCTGCAGGTACTGCACAATATTTTCAAACCCGTTTACGTATGTTTCGCCATCTTTCAAAAAAGGTAAACTTCCAGAGGGTGAAATGAACGTGTTGGAACTCGTTACTATGGACAGGTCCGACCGATGAGCGTAGAAAACGACTTGATACCAGGCAATAGCTAACGATTCCGCATGAAAAATCGCGATGTCCTTTTCGGCTCCCCAAACGTGAATTTCCATTGCAAATCTTCCAAAAAAACGACCAGATCCAGACCAACTCTGAGATGTCAGCCGGATCTAAATAGTAGTAAGCTAATATCTACATAGTGATTGAATGTGGCACAGTGTACCATAACCGCTGATGACTTGAGGTTTTCGAAGTTTCTTGTTTCTTCGACCTGTCCTGCTAACATCACTTCGAGAAAATAGTGACTTTGAACTGGATATCCATCCAATTCATCGGATTAAATTTTTCCGAGGCCATTCTGATTACTTTCATTGTGTTATAGAGAACACGTGCTCAATTGAAACCCTTTCAAAACGAGTTGACTTTATCGCTGAATACACCTTCATTTTCCTCGATCAATCGTAGCTTATATTCGATAACAATGTCCTCAGCCACCACAAAGAGGAAAAGGCTTGCCCAGGATATCATTGGCCAACTCGAGGATGAGTTACAAGATGACAATCTCAACATGACGATATGGATGAAGTTGATAGAAGAGGTTTCCAAGAAGGACAAAGCCGAGGATGTGCGAAACGTTTATGAGCGGTTTCTGAGTTTGTTCCCCAATGCCGGAGCACAATGGACAAGTTACATTAACTACGAGTTGGAAAGGGCAGAATCTCAGCAAGAGTTCCAACGGATTGAGGGACTGTTCGCGAGATGCTTGACTAAGGTGTACCATGTTGATCTGTGGAAATGCTATCTCGTCTACGTGAGAAGAGTTCACAATATGATCACTGGAGGAGAAAGTGCGCGTGGAGTTGTCCTGAAGGCTTTCAGTTTTGCTGTTGATAACGTTGGTATAGACTTCTTCTCTGATAACCTATGGGATGAGTATCTGGTTTTTATTGACAGTTGGAACCCAATATCGTCTGCTGAGACGTTTGCGAAGACTGATCTAAAGAGATCTGTGTTCAGGAGAATAATTGGCACTCCATTGAACAATCTCGAGAAGTATTGGCAGATGTACACTGCTTTTGAAAATGAGACAAACCCCTCCACCTCCAGGAAGTTCATTAACGAAAAGTCCGCTGAATACATGAAGGTGAGATCTGTGGTCCAGGAATTGGCAAACGTCACCTCGGGACTGAACAGAAACTTGTTGATGACGAAGGAACCTTTGCCTAGTGATTTCAAGCAGCTTGCGGTATGGAAAAGATGGATCGCATGGGAACTCTCCAACCCTTTAAAACTCCCAGACGATCCCCACAGAAAAAGAGTGGAATACAGTTTCAAGCAAGCATCTCAGGTAGTTCGCTTTTTCCCCGAGATATGGTTTAATTATGTCCAGTTTCTGATCACGGTCTCTGAGCAGCTGAATTTTGAGGTTATCACGGAAATCTCGGAAATGGGACTCACCAGCAATCCCGACAGCTTTGCTCTCACTTATCAGATAGCCGAGCTATACGAAAAGAACATGAAGCACGATAGCATGAAGCGATGCTATGAGAGACTGATAGAGCATTTGACCAAGAAGTACAACTATTGGAGCGAGTTGGAAAGTCAGCTGAATGCAACTTTGGAGGAGAACAAAAAGGAAGAAGACGTTGAGGAAGTGTCAAAAGACGATGACGACACTGAGACGAAAGAAAAAGTGGTGGATAGTGCCAAACTGGTGGAAAACGAAGAAATCAAGAAGCGGCTTGGTGAGATTCAACTCACCAAGAAGAATTTGGGAAGAGCAATCACTGCTGTCTACTGCTCACATATGAAATCTACAAAAAGATGCATTGGTGGCAAAGAATCCAGAACCATTTTTGCAGAGGCAAGAAAGTTTGCTGGTGTTACATGGCACATCTATGATGACTCTGCAATGATTGAATACTACTCCAACGATCTCAAACTGGCTTTGCGTACCTTCAAATTGGCGTTCAAGTATTTCGGGACAGAGGTGGAGTTTTTGATTCGGTACATCGATTTTTTGATTTTGAACAAAGATCTGGCAAACGCAAAGTCCGTGTTTGAAACCTCTGTGAAGAATCTGGCCACTCAGGAGGGTCCATTGAGACTTTTGTTCAAGAAGTTCATGAAAGTTGAGCTCAACTACGGCGATCTCAGTTCTGTCAAGTTACTAGAGAAAAGATATCAAGAATCTTTCCCCAACGACGACATGCTGCAAGTGTTTCAGTCAAGATACGAAGAAGCCGGATTTGACGGGATCAGAGAGTTCGACCTCCACCACGGTTTCAAGAACGAGGAATCTCAGAGCCAACCGCTTGCAGAAGAACCACCACTGAAAAAACAGAATGCTGTCGCTAACAACACTGACCACTTTGAAGATGCAAACATCAGAGAGTCGTCTCCTGGACTGCCCATTCGCGACCCATTCGTGGTGAGAGATGAGATTTACAATCTTCTGAGAGTGCTTCCCAAACCACGCTACTACACCGAGGCTATTTTTGACGCCGAGAAAACAGTTAAGTTTTTTGAAAATTTATAATGGTTATAATGGGAATATATCATCGAATAGAATAAATCAGAGGCTATCCTACTGAATGGAAAGTCTTTAGCGTAAACGTGCGGCTCAACATACTGTAATTTACGCCTATAGTAAGTAATACTGGGTCCGCCAAAAATTTCGTGAACACTGAAAAACTCGCTGATGCGTTGTAACAAGTGTGCAGAAGTCTAACAAATCATAGGACTCGATCTCATTTGAACCAAAATGGCACCACCGGCATTTTCGAGACCAGACAACGTGCTCAAGCGTGCCGAGGATTTGATTGGAGTCAATCAATCCGATGCCGCTCTTCAAACGTTGTATGAACTGATCACGTCCAAGCGTACCCGCTCGTTTTCTCCAGCCGAATTGGAACCCGTGGCTATTTTGTTTGTGACTCTTGCTGTTGAGCTGAGAAACGCAAAGCTTGTGAAAGATGGTCTGCATCAGTATAAAAAGAATGTGCAGGCCGGCTCTACAGGACTTCCATCTGTTGAGGTGGTGGTCAAGAAGTTCATCGAACTATCTGAAGCCCAGCTTAGTGCTGCTCAGGAAAAGGCGGATGCCGTTGCCGTTACCGAAGACGATTTAGAGGCCGTGGAGCCTTCTCCAGAAGACATTTTACTCTCCTCTGTTTCCACGGATGACACTCGTGACCGTTCAGACCGTGAGTTGGTCAATCCTTCTCTTAGGTTCTTGTGGGAAGCCTACAGAACCGTTCTGGATATCTTGAGAAACAACTCGAAGCTCGAGCAGACGTACGCTTTTGTTGTCAGTCAAGCCTTTCAGTTTTGTCTCAAGTACAACAGGAAGACTGAGTTTCGCAGACTGTGTGACTTTCTGAGAGCACACATTCTTGCTGCTGCTCAAAAGACTCCTGGTCACCAAGCTGTCAACCCTATTGACCTTTCTGACCCAGACACTTTGCAGAGACACTTGGAAATGCGTTTTCAACAACTGAACGTCTCTGTCAAGCTTGAGCTTTGGCAAGAATCTTTCAGAACTGTTGAGGATGTCCACACTCTGTTGATCAGCTCTAAGAGACAGCCAAGACCAAGCATGATGGTGAACTACTACGAGAACATGGCCAAGATCTTTGCTGTTTCTAACAACAGTCTGTTCCGTGCTGCAGCATGGCAGAAGTTCTTCAACCTGTACTCTCAGTCTCCGCTGGCTACCGACAAGGACCTAAAGCACTATGCTTCCGTGTACCTACTGTCTACTCTGGCCATCCCTCAAGATAGCCGTGTCACTACTGCTAACGATGACTTTGGGAGGCGTAAGAAGGCCAGATTGGCGTCGCTTTTAAACCTGTCTAAGGTTCCTACCAGAGAATCCTTGATTGAGTCTGTTCTGAGCAAAAAGCTTCTCAAGATTGTGGACCCTTCCCTGGCCAGATTTTACGACCTCATTGAGGCTGATTTCCACCCATTGTCGTTCGCTACCAAATCGAAAGCTATTTTTGCCGAGATCGAAAGTAACAAAGATTTTGCCTCTTACATCAGACCTCTTACCGAGGTTATCCTTACCAGATTATTCGAGCAGGTTTCTCAAGTCTATGAATCTATCAAGCTTGACTTTTTGGTACGTCTGTCAACCTTTGAAGGTGCTTTCAAATTGACTCCTTCCGAAATTGAGACTCTATTGATCGAGGCTGGTCAGAAAAACTTGCTTGCTGTTAAGATCAACCACGATGCCAAGGTTGTTTCTTTCCGGTCAGATCCATTTGAAGATGCAAGCACTGTTTCTGACTTGACTATTACCAAGCAACTGCAACCATCTCCAGCTGAGTTGATTCGTCATCAGCTGAGCACTTTGGCCAAATCTTTAACTGAATCCTTGAGAATTCTCGACCCAACCATCAGTGAATCTGAGAAGGAGAACCGTGCAGAGGCTTTGCAGAAAGCTAACGCGGAGTTCGAGAATGAAAGGGCCGAGATCGTTAGTCGTTACGAGATTGTTGACGCCAGAAAGGAGAAGCGTTCGGAAGAGAACCGTAGAAAGGAGGAGGAGCAGGCTAGAGCCAGATTGGAGAAGCTTGCTGCCGAGAGAAAGGCCGAACAAGAGCGCATGGAACAAGAGGCCGAAAGAAGAAGACTTGAAAAACTGGAAAGAGAGAAGCAGGAAATCACCGAAAGAGAGAAGAGAAAGGCGGTGGAGGAAATTAACGCCAAGGGTATCATTAAGGTTGATCTTGATGATCTTGACAATATTGATCCAGACAGACTTAAGGGAATGCAATTGCAACAGCTTGAGAAGGAAAGAAAGGAAATGGAAGAGAAACTCAAGAGCACCGCCAGAAAGTTTGATCACATTGAAAGAGCTCAAAGAAAGTTTGAGCTCTCCCTTCTGGAAAAGGATTCTGAAATTCAAAAGGTTAAGGACTTAGAGGATTACGAGGCCATGAAGAGCAAGCTTTTGGCCCAAGCCAAGAAGGACCATGACGAGTCCCTCAAATTGCGCGATCGCCTGAAGAGAACGGTGCCAGACTACACTTCTTTCGTCTCGAAAATTAGGGAGGAAAAATCTGCTACCCTCATCAAGTTGCGTGAGGATGCTCGGAAGAATCTTGAGGCTGCGAAGGCCGAGAGAGTTCAACAGATTATTTCCGAGAGAAAAGCCAGAGCCGAGGCCGAAAAGAGAGAAAGAGAAGAAGCTGAGAGAAGAGCTGAATTCGAGAGAAAGGAAGCCGAAAGAATTAACGAAGAAAGAGAAAGGGCCAGAGTTGAGGAGGAACAAAAGGCTGAAAAGGCAAGGGCCAACCTCAGTTTCTCCGAGATCCAAAGGCTTAAGAGAGAACAACAGTTTAGGGAGCCTTCTGGAGGGAGAGATTTTGAGGCTCCTCCAAGAAAGGGTTCAGGCCTGCCTCCTCCTTCTGAGTTTTCTGCTCCTCCTCGGAGACAGTTCGAGCCGGTCTCTCAGCCTTCCTATGGAGCTCCCGCACCAGCCTCTGATAAGCCGATGTCTTTCGCAGAGAAGATGCGTTTGAAGAGAATGCAAGGTGGTAGATAAAGGAAACTATTTATCATTATACACTCGTTGTTGGGATAACTAATTCCGAGAGGCTAAATGTTAACCTCTAAGATAAATGGCAAGCAGCGCGGGTTTCAATCATTTCTATTATGTTATTCTGGTATACTATCGTAGTACACTATTGTAGTACACTATCCTGGAAAGTTATTCCAGTCAGCGGTGTTTTCCGAACAGTATAAGGATGAGATCGAAAGCTGTTGCCAGATTGTGTGATGTACATGGAAACTCAAAATTCATCCCAACACAGAGTTGAATACTGTTCTGCTTCATAAAAGTCACATATAAGTCCACTTTATATATATATTGCCCTCATTTAGTATGCGGTGAATACTTCTGCGTTTAGTTCAAATCAAATTCGATCTTCGGGAAAGGCTGTAGCATTTTACCCCGGATTTTGTCACTCCATACCTCATGCATAATGCCTGATGCACAGGGTGCACCTTTGGACTTTGTTTGTGCTTCCTACTGAATGGAGGAGGGGTTGACCAAGGTCAGGTGACGAATAGTATTTTTGATGTTGGCAGGATATAGAAAATGAATAAAATTACTCATGCCTCATATAGTAAATAAAGGTAAAGAATAAGAAGAATGTGTCCTCCTTTTCTATATTGAATAGTGTTAGAACCAATTTATAACATACAAACGTGTGAAGATCAAAGCAGACGCGTTTCGCGTGTATCTAAAGACAGAATACTTGCTGCTCTTTTTCTCACCATATAACCAACTTCCTTGAGATGACCAGAGAAAGGTTTTTCCAAGCGGAAGACCTTTTTCAGGATTTTGGAGAGAATTTTGGAGAGGATTTTTATGAAGTCAAAAAAGAAGATTTCATTGATAGCGTTTCGCGGGCAAAGAGTACCTTGGAACCGGTATCGAAACAACACAGCAAACCAAAACTCGACTTGTCGCCGCTAAAAAAAGATAAACTCACGAGTTCGGTCCTTGAACGTTTTCCTGATCTGACGAGTGAAGATGTGGAATTCTATCTCGGATTTACATTCGCCGAAAACCCATCCTGCGATGATGTCGCAGACGTGATTGAAGCTTTCAACAAGAATGGTTTATCTGACCCCCGCGGAATGGGATTTAATTTCTCTGATCTCGAGTCTCATTCCAAGCTGAAAGAAAAACTTACTGAATATTTCATGCTCAAGAGAGCAAACAAGCGGTCCTTGGTGTTTCTGGGCTATCTCAGCCCGGTGCGTGGCTGGTGCACAAGGTCTATGTTTGGAAAACCTCTTGAGGCTCTCCAGGAAGTTCATTTGACCAGAGAGGGCGATTCTTCTGCAAAATCGAAAAAGAAAAACCCGGATAAAGGAACCATCGTGAGGGTCTATTCTGGGAATCCAAAAGAGCCGAGATCGCTGCGTGAGGTCGGAAGACTGACGGAGGAGTTTGCATCATATATTGCGCCGTTGATGGATCTGAACCTGGTGGTCTTCGATGGATTTTACGTCTATCCTAACAATAAACTGAGAATGGGTGACACTTTTGAGCTGCGCATTGATTGCTATTTGAAAGAATCGCTTGATCAGCCCTCTGACTTTGCTTCTTCTTTGAGAGAGGTATACAGAAAACGTACTTACGACGACGCGAACCACGAGAAGGTTGTTCATGATCGTCAAATGGCGCTCAACACACTTCTTGTCAAACTCAACTACCTCAAGGAGACCTCGACCAAGGACGCATTTGCTCCGCAACGTGACACCCATTCAGGAGCGTACAAGAGTGAGCTGACTCAGGAGATTCCTTTCGGCTTGGGGAGCCAGAGAAGCCAGCAGAGTCAGTCGGACAGCCAAGTCAGTGCAAATGGCTCTATCGATCTCACATCAACTGCTAGCTTGAGAGACAGCACGTTCAACTTGAACCAACTCAAGGAATTTTACAGAGTCACCCAGGAGTCAGCTTTTGGTGAAGATTTCCCGGAAACAAACCCTCCCGCTGCTGATTTCAGCTTAGAGCTTCGTCCATACCAGAAATTGGGACTTTCATGGATGTTGAAACGTGAACGGGAGTATACACACATCGGTTCTGGGAATCTTTCAAACAGCCAAAACAATGACTTCATCAAAGAGCTAATCGAATCCGAAGAGGGTGCCAATAATCCACTATGGACAAAGATGGAGGGTCGCAACGGCACCCAACCCTTTTACTACAACAGGTTTTCGGGGGAATTCTCATCTAAAAAACCAACTGTCAAGTCCCTCTGTAAAGGAGGAATATTGGCAGACGAAATGGGTCTTGGCAAGACCATTACGACTCTTTCCTTGGTTTTCACTGTTCCGGAAGATTCATCTTTTGATAAGACCCTATCATTCGATAAGAAGTATGCCTACAAGACCACGTTGATTGTGGTGCCCATGTCTCTCCTGAACCAATGGCAGAACGAGTTTGAAAAGGCCAATCTCAGAGAGGGTGTTGAGTGCAGAACCTACTATGGAAATCCCCATTTCGACCTGGCAGCAGAGTGCTGCACCGACCAGGCCCCAAGAGTGTTGTTGACAACTTATGGAACTATCCAGAGCGAATACAGTCGTATGTCGAGGAATTCCATGTACGAGAGCAGTCTTTATAATATGAAGTTCTTCAGAATCGTTCTCGATGAAGCTCACAATATCAGAAATAAGCAGACCAAAACCACAAGGGCCATGAATGATCTGGAAGCTTCGAGAAAGTGGCTGCTGACTGGTACCCCAGTTATCAATTCATTGGACGATCTTTATCCTCTAGTCAACTTTCTCAATGTTGAGCCTTGGTCCAGTTATGCCCTTTGGAAGCACTTTGTGAAAGATCCTTTTGACAATAACAAGAACTTGGCCGGTGCTTTCAGCGTTCTCTCTACTATCATGGAACCTCTCATTCTCAGAAGAACGAAGTTACAAAGGGATAAATACGGTAAACTGCTTATTGAACTTCCCGAGAGAGAGGTGGTATTTGAAAGGTTATACTTCAATGAGCAGGAAAACGCTATGTATGAGTGGATGAAGAGACGTGCGGAGTTTTCTTTCAAAGAAAACATGAACAGTGGGACTCTGATGTCCAACTATACTTCTATTCTGACGCATATTCTCAGATTGAGACAAGTGTGCTGTCATTTGGACCTCATCAAAACCACCAGGGAAGGTTTGGTTGAGGAGGAGGAAGGTGTCATGTTGACCCAGAAGCTTCTGATGAGCGAAAAAGAGGAGTTCGAAACCAAGGCACTCAAGATTCTTGCGGAAGAAGAAGAATCTGAAGCTTTCTCTTTAGACCGTCAAATTGAGCTAAAGTCGGAAATTATGAGCGCATACCCTAACTTTACTGATACAGAATGCTCCATCTGTACGACTTCTCCGATCGACGTTGAGAAATGTGTCATCACTGAGTGCAAGCATTGTTTCTGTCTGGAGTGCCTAATGGACCACTTTGAGTTCCAGAACAGAGCTGGAACTACCCCTACCACCGATGGGTCAGAAGATGTTGATTCACCATCTTTAAAGCCAAAGAAGAATGTTCAGTGTCCAAATTGTCGGTCCGTGATTGACAAAAAGAGACTTTTTAGAACTAAGCCTCAGCTAGGAAATGTTGATGCTTTGAAGGATGGAGTTGAAGCCGGATATACCCTTTATCATTTCAACCCATATGGAAGATCCACTAAGATCAACGCTTTAATCAAGAATCTGTATCAAATCAGAGAAGGCGATCCTAATGAAAGGGTGGTTATTTTCTCTCAGTTCACATCGTTCCTTGATCTTATTGAGTCAGAACTTCAGCATTACCCCAATGAGTTCGAGGTATTAAAAATGGATGGTAGGGTTACTATGAAGGGACGGCAGAGTATCATTGAAAAGTTCTCTGATCCTGCTTCCAAGACGAAGGTGTCTGTTTTGCTCCTGTCTATGAAGGTTGGAGGTGTAGGTCTGAATTTGACTGTCGCCTCTAAGGCCTTCATGATGGATCCATGGTGGTCCCCAAGTATGGAAGACCAGGCCATCGATCGTCTTCACAGAATGGGTCAGCAGAACAACGTCAGAGTCGTGAGGTTTATCATGCGCGACTCTATAGAGGAGAGGATGTTGAAGATTCAGGAAAGAAAGAAGCAAATAGGTGAGGCTGTTGGCGTCGACGACGAAGAAAGACGCAAGAGGAGAATTGAAGAAATCCAGATATTGTTCGGGAAATAAGGTTGAGGTGGAGACAGCCACTGGAGGAACAGATCATGTCTGGTGGCTACTAAGCGTGTGTATTTGACTGAAATGCAACCGGCATTATTAACTAATATAACAACAGATTCTTTACGTTGATGACAGGCGTATAAGTCAGCTTCTTGGAGATAGTCCATTCGCGAATTTTCTCCTTCACTATCAACAGTTTGAAGTTATCGTCGACCACCTTGATGAATCCCTCTTCACTGGGAAGTGGATAGTAATCCAGGTATTGTTCCTTCTTGCCCTTCGTATAGAGAGCTCCCATAAAATCCAGTGCCATTATTATATCATCAGAACGGAATCCTGTGGTCTTCGAGATAATTTCCAACGTAGTGTCTTTCACCGTGGAGAGCTCACCAACCAGCAATTCTCTGGCCAGGGTCTTTGCCCAGAACGTCACGTAGCCAATTTTTCCGAAAGGCGATAGAGGATGCTCGGGTCCGCTAACCTTTCCCTCACTCTTAGAAAGCTCATAAGAGAATGCAATTAAAAGGTGGCCCAGCTTGCGTCGCTGGAAAGGCGGAAACACCAAGATGCACGCAAGATTGTTTCCATCCCACGATAGAAGCTCTTTGGAAAAAAATCCCATAGGAACCTGCTGGCCCTTAACATCGCCGTAGACCACAAAGAAGTCAAAATATTCCAGTCCAAAAAAGACAGATTTGTTGTCCAGAAATAGCTTTGCAAAAAGACACATACATTGGCAATACACCGGGTGTCTTGCGCCTTTCACTTTCCTTATTGAATAAGCCTTATCTCGGTACATGAGTTTCCCTGGCAATTTTGACTTGTATGAACAAACTTTTGAGTGGACCGCAAGAGAATTTTCAGAGTCTGTATACTTGAAACAGGTCGGACAAACATATAACGTATCCAGCCAATACTCGTGAGTCTTGAGGAACTCCGATACCTCTTTGGCACTGGTCTTCTTCGCTGGCAGTTTCTCGTTCACGTGCTTGAAGCCCAGCATATCAGGCTTATTTGCAGCAAAATACACCGAATTGCCGTACCATGTGTCGAAAGTGAACTCTCCAAAGCTCACAGTTCGTATGTTTCTTCTGTCCAGTGCTCCGTACAGACTCTCGTCTTCACCAGAGTGACTGTCTACCACCGAGTTGGCAATCATGATCATCAGATATGATATCAATTCTACACCAGACTCAGAGCACAATCCCACTTTTTTTCAGCGAATAATTGAATATAAACCAAGACAGAGCCGTCTTCCGAAGCGTTTATTTGCGTTGATCTGACCAAGGCCCAATCGGTCGTGTCTCGTGGAGAAGCTCATCGCCTAAGAAAAAAAAAATAAGCGTAGAGAAAAATTGTAATTGTCTTGTTCTCTCAAGATAGCATTTACCCGGTCATTACATACCTTTTCACAGTTGAAAATGGGAAAATATAGAAAGAGGTTTAATGAGAAAGCCCGAATGGGCATGCTCGCCAAACAAGCAGATCTGAAGAGGGCGAGGCAGAAGCAGTTCAACCGGCATCTAGATGATGGCACTGCTAATCCTGCCCCAGTGGTTGAAGCTGTCTCCACCGAGCAAGATGTGAACTCCGAATTTATCAAGCCGATGTCGGAGGAGGAAAAGAAGGTTCGCAAACACAGAATGGAAGAGGAGTTGTTATCACAGCAAGAGACCAAAGTTTCGAAGAACAAGAAGAAGAGACTGGACAAATACATCGAGCATCAGTTGAAGAGAGAAGAAAAGCAGATTCTGTTTAAAAAGCTCGAAGAGACCCGAATTGACTCTTCTGTGTTGAAATCTGCCAAGTTGCTGGGAACTGGAAACACTCTGACGAAAAGGGAACAGTTCCAGGAAGCAATGACCTTGGAGAGCCAAGGGCGTGGCACCGAGGAGACAAAAGAGTTTCTTTACGAGGAGCGAGAAGTGAAGGCATGGGACCAATCAGATGACGAGCATGTTGATTCTGAGGAGGAGAAGGACACATTCAAAGATACTCTGGCTCTGGCCTCCAGTTTTGTCGATTACAGACCCACCAACGTGGGAGGTATGGGATCTGGGTTTGCTTTCCAGAATATACAGAAAGTTGAGAAAAAAAAGGTGATCAGCAACAAGTTTACTTGGAGACAAATGGTGGAGGAGGAGGGGAGTGTCAAGCGTAAGGAAAAGATAGAGGAGGAGCAAGATTTCCTGACCAGCGATAGTGATGAAGAAGACGAAGGAGATGAGGAAGAGGTAGCTAGCGAGAGCGAAGAAGAGGAAGAAGAACAAGAGACCGGGGAAGATGATGAAGACGAGGATGTTGAAGACGAGGAAGATGATGGCGATGACGATAACGACAATGACGACTACAACGACGACAAACCACGACTTTCGAAACCCGAGTACAGCCAGACCGCCAGTGCCTTCAAAAACTGGGCAGAATTGCAGGTAGAACAGATCAAAGGATATCAGAAAGCTGACTTACTTCCAACCACCAACCTCAAGCATTATGAGCCTCTTGAAAGACCAGAGGATAACGAAGACAGATTGCAGGATGACTTCATACCCATTAACGAGGACCTGGAGCGTAAAGTGGACTTCGTGATGATCAACCGTGATCCCCAAATTCAGCAGTCTAGAATGATGTTGCCAGTCTTTGCCGAGGAACACAGGATCATGGAAGCTATTCACCACAACGATTGCATAGTGGTGAGTGGTGAGACCGGTTCCGGTAAGACTACACAAATCCCCCAGTTTCTGTACGAGTCTGGTTATGCCAATAAGGGACTCATTGGTATTACCCAGCCCAGACGAGTGGCAGCTATGGCCATGGCTGAGCGTGTTGGTAAAGAGATGGGGGACCATGGAGATAGGGTTGGTTACCAAATTCGGTTTGATGCCAGCATCAAGGCCAACACCGCGATGAAGTTCATGACTGATGGTGTTTTGCTGCGGGAGATGATGAACGACTTCATGGTGAGCAAGTACTCGGCTATCATTATTGATGAGGCTCATGAAAGAAACACAAATACTGACATTCTAATCGGAATGCTTAGCAGGGTATTGAAACTCAGAAGAGAGTATCACGAGAAGGACCCGAGTAAGTACCATCCGCTGAAGTTGATCATCATGTCAGCTACTCTAAGAGTGACTGATTTCACTGAGAACGAGAAATTACTCAAAAACCCTCCCCCAGTTATAAAGATTGAAACCAGACAGTTTCCTGTCTCTGTTCACTTCAACCGTCGCACTGCTCCAAACTATACCGAAGAAGCTTTCAAGAAAACGTGCAAGATCCACCAGAGGCTTCCTCCTGGCGGCATTTTGATATTCTTGACCGGTAAGGATGAGATTAACGATGTGGTCAAAAGACTGAGGAAAGAGTTTCCTACAAAGAAAGCACAGGAGGATTCGGTAGAGTTCAGGGTAAACTCCAAGAATGCGGATACTGAGATCGAAGACATTGATTTCAGCATTGGAGCTGAGGCAGAGATCAATGAGGAAGAAGATGATTACCTTGAGGAGGACGAAGAGGAAGAAGAAGGATTTGAAGAAACACTAGAAGAAGGCCAAACAGGCCAAGAGCCTCTCTGGGTTCTTCCTCTTTATTCCCTCCTTTCCACGAAAGACCAGATGAAAGTATTCCAGCCTCCTCCTGGTAACTCCAGACTATGTGTCGTGTCCACCAACGTTGCTGAGACCTCCATCACCATTCCTGGAATAAGGTACGTAGTTGATTGTGGCCGTGCCAAAGAGAGGAAGTACAACGAGGAAACTGGAGTCCAGAGTTTTGAGGTTGGGTGGATCTCCAAGGCCAATTCCGACCAAAGATCTGGTAGAGCTGGTCGTATTGCTGCTGGTCATTGCTATAGACTGTACTCGTCAGCCATTTATGAGAGTGATTTTGCTCAATTCAGCAAGCCTGAAATTCTGAGAATGCCCATAGAAAGTGTGGTTCTGAATATGAAGTCAATGGGCATCTCGAACGTGGTGAACTTTCCGTTCCCTACACCTCCTGAGCGTTCCACTTTGCAGAAGAGTGAAAAGCTGCTACAGTATCTTGGAGCTCTAGATAAGGAGTCAGAGATAACAGACCTCGGCAAAAAGATGAGCTTCTTTCCGCTGAGTCCCAGATTTGCCAAAATGCTGCTGATGAGCAACCAGATGGGATGCTTACCTTATATGATAGCCATTGTTTCTGGACTGTCGGTTGGCGACCCTTTTCTTACAGAGAACGAGCTTGGTTTGAACCAGAGAAGCAACGATGACGAAGACGAGGAGGAGAGATTGAGCATCAAAGAACAGGAATCGCTGAGAACCTTACGTTCCAAGTTTTTCAAATCTCAGCAAATGTTCACCAAACTTGACAAGTATAGTGATTGTTTCAAACTGCTTTCTGCAGTGTGTGCTATAGAGCATGTGGATGATCGTTCTGAGTTCTACAGTTCGCATTTCCTTAGAGCCAAGATTATGGAAGAGATTTCTAAGCTGAGAAAGCAGCTTCTTTATATCACATCTACTATCGTGTCGAAAGACTCGGTTGCTGCCAAAGAGCATGAGGTTAGAATCCAACCGCCTACCAAAGTGCAGGTATCGGCTCTCAAACAAATGGTTGCCTCGGGGTTTGTGGATCAAATCGCATTGAGGTCTGACTTAATACCTCAATGCGAGTACAAGCTGACCAATAAGACTCCTGTTATCGGTGTCCCATATTGCTCTATTGTACTGGGTGTTGATCAACTGGTGTACATCCACCCCAGCTCCATGCTGCGCGAACTCGGGGATAAGCCTCCGCAGTACTTGGTATTTCAATTGATTCAACAGGGTCAAACTGGCAAACTAAGAATTAAGCCTCTTTGTGATATAAGCGGTTTGCAACTCTACAATTTGGCAAAGAAAAGCGGACTGGTAAGTCTGTCAAAGCCAATCAAACCACCCACTGTTACCAGTTCCACTTCTAGAGAGGCATACTGTATTCCTCGGTTTGGTTCCAACAAGGTGGAAGTTGACTTGCCAGTGGTTAAACTGCAGCAAACAAAATCGAACGGATTATGGAGTTGAGGATCTGAGGTGCCTGTATAATCATGGATGGACATTGAATGGACAGTTCACTTTTGATCGAGCCCCTTTGTAGTAGTTCTAAGGACTATGATTATGGATTCACTGAGGAATAGTCGTTTACCAACTTTTATTTGACGATTTCTTCTACATTTTCGTCTGCCGAAGTGGTTACTGCCGTTCGCACTTTTTCATCTATCATGCATGTCAGATTTATCTATACCCCATTGAATGGTCACAGTGCTTTGAATAGCCACTCCTCGGCTCAACAAAGCCTTTTGTTGTTCAATCCGACTGTCAAAAGCCTCAATTATCACACCCCTTATAAATCCAACAATTGATATAGACAAATATAATGGCTTTCCTCGAAATCTGATCCTGTAGTTATAATTGCGTGCCCCACCCATTTGTATGTTTTCCCAGGCACGACATTTTTTTCACCCTAGATGTTGACCAGATTTCCACGCATGCTTTTTGTTTACGCGAACCCTCCACAAACGATACATCACACGCATCAAGAATCGAAAATCATGGCGGAAAGGAGCTTGAGACATAGCAAAGAGTTTACGCTGCCCCGATCGTTTATAGACACGTATTTCAGTGTGATCAAACACGTGGATCACCAAGAGGTGTTGACTTACCCCATTCCAGCCAAGTTCCAACAGGAGAATCTGGATGTATTGGACCAATCGCTTTGGGAATTTGTTGAGGCCAAGCCGGATTATGCAAAGACGACGATAGCAGATAAACGCGCGAAGCAGGCTTACAAGAGTGTGGCTTCGATAGTATCTGACCTGAAAGTGGCATCCATACTCAAGATTGTCGAACTACAACGCGGGACTAAAGAATATATTCAGGTGGACTCGTTCTACCAATTTGCTGTTCGTTTGCTTTTCAAGGAGTGTCTACAATTGCAGTTCGATCTAAAAGCATTCGAGACAACGGCTGACGATCTTTCGCGGTTTGAGCTTCAGCTGCTGAAAGATTACCAGGATGTGGTTGGCGAGTTCACCAACGCTAACGGCGAATCCATCAATGTGATGCGTGACAGCAATTTTCCCCTGTTCACCTCGTTAGATCAAAGGTCCAGCCTTGACCCCAGAGATTCGATTGTGGGACAGCCTTTCAAGACCGTTAAGATTGTTCCATTGGTGAACTCAATCCAGTCCGTCACATTGGGTCAACTATCTCCATTTAACCCAAAAACGCAGCAGCATCCAGCCTCTGCTCCTACAGATTTGCTAAGCCAGTTTTTTCATCCTAACTGGTTCGGACTTCCCATTGGCCATTGGATACGCGGAGACTTGTATGGGAGCTTTGCACCATTCGTTGATGACGGAAAGACCTGTATTAGTTTTGAGATGAGAGGGATCACATGGTTGGAACAGATCGGCTTCAGGAAACTAGCTGAGGAGGATGTTGAGGATGATATTGAGGAGGAGGAGGAGGAGGAGGAGGAAGAGGAGGAAACTGGAGACGATGCGAACGGTAAAGACTCCGAAATGGTGGATGCCGATTTTGTTGAGAAAGAGACGGAATCCGGTGGTGCTGTGGCGACTGTGGATACTTCAAAAGAAAGCGTTCCCGAGATCGCAGAAGCTGCAGAAGAGATAATCCCTGAGATCGCAGAAGAGCCTGTCGATAACTCGTTGAATGATAACGTCAAAATCAAGTTAGAAAACGTGCTGTGCTGGCATCCACAAAACAAGATCCATCCAGACGAGAAACATGCGATCTCCAAAAAGCAAGAGCTGAGACTCATCAACAAGCTATTGATCGATCTGCACAAACTGAGACAGGAACGATTCAAGGCCAGCGGCGCAGTCAACGTGTCGAACCCAACAAAGGCTCTGGAGCCCTCGTTGAAGGAGCGCGAAACTTATCACAAACTACAGAGACTGCTGAGAACAGTGATCCAGACTAGAGGCATACGGCCAAGCCAGCTGGGGATTGTCAGCGGCAAGTTGCCCGTCCTGCAGACAAACTACATAGGCACGCTGCCATCGCCCGTGGTTAACTCCAAGAGATTGGTTAATGTGAGCAAGAAGAAGAGACGGTGAATAGAGTAAGATAATAGAAGTTGATAACATTTCATGCATGGTGTATGCAAATAGTAAGTGTCCCGTAGACGTGCACGCCCAATCCGGATGCCGGAATAACTACGACGGAAAACGCCGGGACTCCTTAAATATCTACGTGATATTGCCAAAGACGATAGAAAGTTTGAGGGATGATTCCCTTGTAATTCTCGCAGAAGATCTGCGTAGTTTGGCCGTTTTCCGCCAACAGAAAGTATAACCAAGTTGTTTCATTTATATGTGAAACCCCTAAAAAGTAGAGTGGGGGCGGGAGAAGAAATGAAAATTTGAAAAGAAAAAAACCCTCATGTCATCATTGTCATCAATGCGAAGGTTATGAGAACAACACTGCAAGCGGATGCTATCACCAAATCCCAACTTTGATCTTGTTTTAGAGTTTTGTTCTTGTTTTTCGCCACAAAAGCGCCGTAATCGTAACCAAACCGACGGGCCGAGGACCGCGCAATCAATCCTTGGCCCCCCAGTCCATAACACTGCTACCCTCTCTTCCATCTTCTGAAATTCCTGTTTGTGAGGACTGCGTCAACCGCCCCTCAAACCAGGAATATTATTGTAATCGAATTCCTTATCAATTGTCACCCCCTGCTAGGCTCCTCAGCCGCCCCAGCCACGCACTATCTCTGAAAAGAAACGACCAGGGGGTGCGAGTTGATGTTCGATCAATCAGAAGAGCGCATTGGTCAAATGAGGATGGCGAACTCGGATGAGAGATATGGAAATCAAGATTTTGGATTCGAGGGATAGCGACAAGGAGACGACGGGAAATGAAATTGAAGGGCCAGCGTGTTGACGAACATGTCAGACAATAAAATATCCTATCGGCGGCTGGACCACCCTCACATTGACCTGTGTCCCACCACTGTCTAGAATGCCAATGCCTCAATGGCAGTAAAAGAAAAGCAAATTCCTAATAACAACATCTACAAGAACATCTCGTTTCCTGATGGCAATCCGTTATCTCTGGCCACTGGGCCTTCCAAATGTCAACCAGTCTAATCGATGTGCCAAAGTAATCCCCGTTCATGCAAGTCAAAATAGGACAAAGTACCTCTCTTAATAGGGCAATAAAATTTTATGACAATCCCTCGTAGCTTCAGTCGGATTCCCGTTTCGGGGACCCTCAAGCCATTTATAAAATATGTTCGAATTCCTCCCGTAGACTACTAGTCTTTACGTTCTTTGCCTCTAATTTTTGTGCTTTAGGAATTGTGCTTTTGGTTTTGAGTCTCCATTTAATCGCGGATTCAGTTTGCTGGTCAGATTGGACTGGAGATTAAAAAAGTCCAAAGTTGATCAAAAACTCACTAGTTTTCCTTGTTATACCAAAAGTTGCCCTTGAATCGCGCGAAACAAACAGTTTTGGAATTTTCGCTAGTTATCTTCCTTTCCCGTCCTCTGCAATCCTTCTCTTCTTGCTTGTCATGTCAATCCTAACAGACCTCTTTCCGGATCTTACAGATCTCCAGGACGACTTCAACGAGGAGATTGTCCAGCTTCGCCAGTCCCAGCTCTACGACTACAGTTTCCAGATTGATGAGCTCAAATTCCACGAGGAAAATGATCAGTTCCACAACTTGCTGCCTGCTGCATCGCCATTGTTAGAAGAGAGCAAGTATGTTGGTATTCACAAGACGGATGACTCCTCCATGCACCAGCTCCAGCCACCCCAATCTCAGGCCTGGAGCTTCCAGGATCTCCAGGATATGCAGTTTGTATCTCTTCCAAACCTCGAGATTGGTCTCATGACTCCCCCACTCACATTTATCGAAGAGACGGAACCAAGCACCCCCGTCAGTCTTGGCCGCCGGGACAGCATGTTTGAGTCTCCAAGAGCGGATTCCACTGCTTCATCTACTGCCAATGGACTAGGCCTTGTTACCACCATGCAGGCGCCCTCAAGATATGCCGTGTCGTCATCGCCTGCTTCTGCGGAGGACACCCAGACGAAGCGCATAAGTGACTCACGACTATCGCTGCCGGAGCTAGCCAAGATCCTCAATTTGCAAGATGACCACAAGGAAACCGCTAAGCGCGAGCGTGAAGTCCTGAAGGTTTTAAAAGAGGAACTGGGATTCCAGCTGGGGCAGAAAACGTGGATCCGTGATACTCCCGTGGCCGAACGCAATTTGTTGATCACGCAGCTTCGTGATATCTGCGAGGAAAGGTTCCACTACGGCTATTCTAAGGAGATCCTAGAGACAATCGTCAGAAGGGCCAGTTACTATATGATGCAGGGTAGGTTGAGACGTGAAAGACGGGCTGAGAGAAAGGGAAAGAAGGCGTGATTCACGCTGAACCTGTTTGCAAATGTCCCCAATCGACTTGGATCTGCCAAGTTCCTCTTAATGCCCTGAGCCACGTTCCCACGCCCATTTCATCATCGCCTTTACACCATCTGTACCCCTATTTATTGTATCTGTTTCATTTCATGTTTTTCAATTACCGGGCAGGCCCCGCTGCCGTTCCTAAGCACTTTGCGTAAATCGCCTTAGCCAGAATTCTATCCAAACCCCACGTATAGCTGAAGCATAACTGCTTCGCTGAAACGATCCAGAAATCGCCTCCACAAGTCTGATTGAGTGTCTAGAACGGGCACAATAGGAGAAACACATGTCAGGCCTAAACAGGGTTCCAGCAGCCCGGATGTGTATAGGTAGTGTGTAAATTATTCGTGGCACGCAGTGGCAGTGCAGAGATCTACATGGAATTTAGCTGGCTTTTGAAGGTGTTTCAATTCACGCCCAGAACCACTTTCTGCAATCAGAGCTACATGGAAGTCGGCCATCTGAGTAGATCACTTTCTTGCTGATTTCGAATCCCCTCACCTGTCCACCTCCGGACCCAAGTGACGATCGTCATAGCAGTTTGTGGCGGTGCTCTACTCACATAATGGTGTATGCACGTCCCTGCACGATAGAAGGATAACCTTCTTTTGAAGTGATAAAATCGGATGAGAAAGCAATTGGGTACCTCATTGAGGTAAGCAAGCGGGCGAGCTTTGGTAAGTCGTAGAATTTTTACGAGGAGAGGTCACACGGTCACACAGCCAACTGTCATTGTACAGTGAATTCGTGATGTTTCTGCTGGGAAAAATGAAAAATTTTATTCAGCTGACTTCAAATAATCCCAATGTGTCATGCCTTCCTTCCGAAGAATGTTCGCCGCTCAAGGCCGGCCGCTGGCCCATCCGGGTAAGTCCGCTTGGGTCTGGCGGGGCCCGGCGATGCAGGTTTACGATGGATCACACATGCCTCGAGATGACCGGGCTGAATAAATTTTAGGCCATCTTTGATAAAAACGGGCTTCAGGAAAATCCATGGCCTATTATTTTACGCTTGGGAACATACACATTGCTAAGTTACGTGATCCCATCATTTTTGTCTAGATCACGGGCTCTGCCCACATTCCAATGAAGAGCAAACAAAAGCCCGAAAGAGAAGAATAATAATGCAGGCATAGAAGGGTCTTTGATATCGGGACTAACCAATGAAATGCATTAACCCCCTTTTTTTAGATTGAGTGTGCACTACCTTTACAAGACTAAGCGTAGGAAGGCTATCATAGATTTAGACATTGGGCGGTGCCTAATAGTGTGAGTTGGGTAATATATAGGAGTTTTCGAGTAGTTTTCAAGCCATCCTCAAATTAGTCAAATCCTTGTCATGTCCGTATAACTTTGCCAGTTTCTCGGCTACCAACCTCTTCTGTTCACCATACGCATTGCGTTGGAACTCCTCCAGGCTCTGCAGTGATGTCATCTCAACTTGGGTCTCGAACCCCAGCCCCTGAACAGATACGACTCTGCTATCTGGGGTCTTCTTATCAGCCTTGGTCAGCCTCAGATTTGAAAGATGTTCGACGAGTGCATACCTTATCTTTGAGGCCTTGACATCCTGGTTTTGCAGGATCCTGTGTGCGATAGCTTCGTTTTCCAGACAAATTTGTTCGACTAGGGATTCTGTTGTCTTGGAACTGGACTCTAAAGCTTGTTTCTGTAAATTCAGTTCCGCAGCCTTTGCTTGTAACGAGATTAATTCCTCAGTGCGATTTGCCAAACCGTGCTTGAGGTCTGCAAACTCCACCGGTGTCATTTTTGCAGCTTTGAGATTGGCAACTCTCGATTTCATCTCATGGATCTTGATTCTAATTCGCTCATTATCATCTGCAAGCTTACTCGACTGCAAAGCTGCATCCTCGGCACGTAACGTAATTGTATCGTTATAATCGCCGAGATCTTTCTCGATGGACTCAAGGTTAATGTTCTTGAACTGGTAAAACTCTAGTCCCGCATTGTGTTTCTTGACATCACGAGTATTCAAAAACATCGACCGCAACTGCTTCTGTGTTTGCCTGTCGCTTAGACGATAGTCCCTCATTAGCTTCGTGTTGTGTTTTGTCAAGCGGGCTTCTTCCTCCACAAGCAGACTTTTTCTGTCCTGAATGGTGTTGATCATTTGAAGCAACTCATACATTACCAACAGCAGTTCTGGCATTCTAGGAATTGCTTTGGCAAAGTCATCCTCCTGGGGAGCATCTCTATGCTCTGGCTTGAACCGAGGCTCAAACGGAGAGATGTTCTCTCTGAAATCAATTCCGACCTCCTTGAAGAACTCAAACGTCTCTGTGGGCTCGTAGTCTGCTTCGATAATGGATTCGTCTGCTTCCTGTGAGTCTTCTATCTCTGGTTGGAGTTTCATAAAACTTTGGGCCGGTGTTGATGGTGTGTATGACATTCTGGTTGAGCTTTGAAGAGGTTGTGTGAAATCCATCGGCGCTTGTGAAAGTTCCAGTTCCGGTTCTAGTTCTGTTTCCAAAGGGTGGGTGGATTCCTTTGGTTGGCTCTGGTTCAGCTGCTCGGACTTCGCTGAATGTAAGGGAAGACTAGCCTCGAGGGGCTGGGTCAATTCCATCGGCTGACTGGTTTCAAGAGACTCCTCTAGTTCCAAAGGCTTAATAGGTTGGGTCAATTCCATCGGTTTGCTCTGGCTATTCTCCAAGTCAGCTAGTTCTGAAGACTGTGTCAACCTCAGCGGACTATTCTCCATCAGTCTCTTGAATTGCACCGGCTTGGTAAAGACTACCGGCCTTACTGGCTTTGTAAATTCCATTAGCTGTTCAACCTGATCTTCGACTGGATCCAATGGTCTGTTAAAAACCTGAGTTAGCTCCATCGGTTGAGCTTTTTCCTCTTCTTGTGCTTCATTTTTCAACTGCATCAAATTCAATGGCTGTGTCAGCTCCATATCCTCATCCTGAGGATCGGCCTGAACGGTCTCAGATGATTCTACCAAAACAGGCAGATCACCTGGTTTCAATGGCTCAGTAAATTCCATTTGATCATCACTAGAAATCTCCATCTCAACTTCAGAGTCGGCATCATCATTCTTTTTTCTTAACTGGGCAATCTCACCCTCCTCGTAGAATAGATCTAGAACGTCATCCTCGCTGGTTGGCTCCTGGCTCTTTTGGCGATCCTGGTATATCTCGAAACGTGAAGGAGCTGTTAACCCAAACGAAATCCGACCCTGAAAGTTCGGAAACAGACCGGGCGACCGAATAGGAGATCTCATTGAAGGCACCGGCGACTTAGGAGAAGCATGGTTTTCTCTAATTTGCAGCACCGATGCTTCGCTTTTGAAAGAAACACGTTTCTTTGCCATCGAGTGCGGGTCCAATGATATTGTATGGTTTTCGTCATTTAAACGTTTAAGTATTCCGCGTTGAGGGACTGAGCCTCCCAAAGATTTTCGGCGTGGGGTTGACGGAAGTGACATGACGGAAAAGCAGATGAAGACAACCAAGGGACGCTATGTGAACAACCAGAAATGTAAGTGCAAAATGAGAGCTGTTGTAGGCAAACGAGGCTCAAATTCAAAGGCAAATGCTTCAAAAAGAACTGTCCAAGCTAAGTCCAGACTAGAGATAACAGGAAAGCGGACAACTTCGAGGAAACAGGCCCAATCGGATGCTTAGACAACACTCAACCAAACAACGCAGACTAGGCAAATCACACACAAATATGAGAACTGCTGTGATCTTTAAACAATCAGAAAGTTAAACTTAACTCAAGGAAAAAAATACTGCGTGGACAACTAAGAACTTTTATCACAACAAGCATTGTGTAACCCCAATGTACTGGGACATGTAAACAAACACTGCTAGCCGTGCGCCACCTAATTGGTTGATGAACTACCATTTTTCGATAACGAACAATCGTTCACCGACGTTGACCTTACATGGACGTCCAGATCATTATCTCTCCGCCCTCTTGCTATTTAGTGTAGCAAATTTCCCGAGTGTTCTATTTGGGATTGTTTCAATATGAGTGGTTGTAAGTGGTGATTTTTGCCGTGGGAACACCGCATAAGCGGTCGCTTCTTGAAGGCTCTCGCATAGCTCGCACGCTGTATTGGTGATATCTCATCAACAAGAGCAGTTATTCGAGTGCGGGTTTTTTCGGTTTTTTGGCCCTTGAAATCTCCATCACAGGGTTCATCTACTTTATGCATACTAATTCCCCCAGTTCGTTTGTTGGATTTGGTCAAACCTTTTGTGCCCCTCCTCGTCGAGGTTGAGCTGCCGTACGAAAGACTCACCTTTGATGAAAAAGTGCTGTGGACCGTTTTTTCAGCTGCAATCTTCTTGCTAACCGGACTTCCGCTTTACGGAGTCAAGCAGGATACAGTTGCGGATCCTTTCTCGTGGCTAAGACTCCCCTTCGGTGGTTTTGCAGGTTCCCTGCTCGAGTTTGGTGTCTTGCCAGTGATCACTTCTGCTTTTCTGTGGCAGGCACTTGCCGGTCTTAGATTGGTGAAGGTCAACTTCGAGCTTCGTTCCGATAGAGAACTATTCCAGTCTTTGCAGAAGCTGACCTCAGTGGTTTTGGCTATTATTTATTCAGTGCTGCTGGTATTGGCTGGCTACTACGAGCCAGCTACTGGACTGTCGGCATCAGTGTGGACCAAAGTTATCATCGTGCTGCAGCTTTCATTTGCCACGTTTGTTACTGCGCTTTTGGTGGAAGTCCTGGACAAGGGCTATGGCTTTGGTCCTGGTGCCCTGGCTTTCGTCAGCATTGGTGCCGCTTCTCGTTTGGCAGGTGACATCATTGGCTTGTCCTCGTATGCCACTTCAAGAGGATGGGAATCCCAGGGTGCTCTTGTCCAGCTTGTTCGCAACATCCGTACCAAGCCTTTTACAAATGCCATCTACGACTCTTTCACCAGAGCCAGTTTCGCCAACCTGTCCCAGGTCTACATTACTCTCATTGCGCTCTTGGCTGCTATCTATGTGTCCAACTGCAGAACTGAGCTGCCAATCAAGTCAGCCAAGGTGCGTGCCATGGCGTCTGTTTACCCAATCAAGCTGGCATACTGTGGTGCCTTGCCTTTGGTTTTCACTTACGCCTTGCTGTTTAACTTGAACATTTTTGGCTTCACCCTCGTCCAGATCTTCAAGAGCGTTCCTCAGACTGCCTATGTCGGTGTCTGGGAAATTGACCCTTTCACTGGTCTCGCCCAGAACCTTTCAGGTGGAGTTCTGTACTTTTTGTCCTCGTCCTCGAGCGGCTCTTCTGCTCTCGCTGCGTTGGCCAGGCCATTCACCTTTGGTGTTTTCATCGTTCTTGTGTCTGTTCTCTTTGCACGTGTCTGGACCGGAATTTCGGGTTCATCTGGACGTGATCTTGCTAAACAGTTCAAGGAACAGGACATTGCCCTCATTGGCCACAGAGACGTTGCGGTTACCCGTGAGCTCAACAAGATTATTCCTGTTGCTGCAGCAACTGGTGCTGCCATCATTGGACTTGTGGTGGCCATTTCAGAGAATTTAGGTAGCAGAGGTGAGAGTGTCTCTGCCGTTATTGGTCTTCTGAGTGCCCTCACTATTCTCGAGGGTGTTGCTACCGAATGGCAACAAACCGGAGGTCAGAACTCCCAGATTGGCCAGGCCTTTGGCCAGCAGTAAACAGTGATAATGGGTTTTGAGCTCACTTGAACCTGAAAAATGACCAGCTTTTCCATCAGTTGGAGAAGACTGGCAATCACCGATTGACCTTGTATACAAGAACAGTCCTTTGTCCGAAATTTGGTTGGGTACAGGTTTTGCCAGTAGAATTTCGGTTAATAAGATCAAAAATTTCTATGTGAAAAGGGTAGATGTATGCATGAAGAAAGGTGCTGGTATGCAAGATTGTAATGGAGAAGGTCACGAGCCCGGGAGTAATTGCTACGTCTGTACATTGAAATTTGCTGTCTGCCAGGCATTTAACTACAGTTGCAGATTTGATTTAAGACGCTCAATTGCAGTGGGTTACATACAAACTGCAAGCTGGTGTTGATTCATCCCATTTTTGCAAGCTTTGTATTGAGTTCGCACTGCTTTGACCTGACTGTCTTTAAGTACGCCCAATCAACGATTACCAGCCTTCGGCGCGACCAGGTAGTTTAGTGGTTCATTCGATATGACAAACCCAACAGTCTAGTACTTCTTAGTACCCTCATGAGCTCCTAGAAGTAAAACAACCCTATTAAAACCGAAAATGCAGTAATTCCCACTACTTATATGAATCTGGTAAATCTTTAAGTTTGAGCCCTGCTCCTATTTTGGTTCACACACAACTCCCTCCTGCTCTTAGTCTCATGTCGTGGCTTGTTCTCCTAACAGATCTTCCTGTTCTTCCATCATATTGCTCACTTTTTGTTGCGTTTGGAACAGAATTTGACCCGATAGAAGCAATTCCGATGGAGAAACTTGGATTCGGAAGACCTGGGCGCAGCTCCCACAATAAGGTGTTCTACGCAAAGAACTCCCCCAGCAACGCCATCGCCCTCACTAACTGTCTCGCCTTCAACCCACAAGATTTCAAGGACAACGAATATGTGATTTGCGACGGTCGATATGTGTTTTCAACTAAGACTTCCACAGACGTGCTACCGGGTACATTTGGTGCCAGCGGAAACCAGCGGTTTTGGGCCGGCTGGTCCGTGGACCAAGCGGTGAACGTAGAACACTTTGATTTGTTCAAAAATACGGGTAAAAAGGCTTATCTTGGCACTATGAACTTAGAAATCTCCTTCAGAAACCGTCAACGTGCGAATTCCACTGAGTTCGATCAAGATGAACTCGCAAGAGCGTTTGTGGATCGGTTCGAGAGCCAAGTCTTCCAACCTACCCAGATTATTCTTTTTGAGTTCAAGGGTGTGATCTTCGAGTTGGTGATCAAGTCTATTCAGGTGGTAGATCTTGGTGTTGTCGATATTGCAGATTTGCCTTCTTCGACTAGCATTGCGAAAAAGGGTATTTTGGTGTCGCAAACGCGCCTCAACTTCTTCAAGGGCCCAGACGGAATGGTTAATCTCAAAGCCAGCAGTACGCGTCCAAATGCAGATGCTATCATCAGGCCTGACTTTAAGTTTGAAGATATGGGAATTGGTGGTCTTGATAAAGAGTTCACTTCTATCTTCAGAAGAGCTTTTGCTTCCCGGATCTTCCCTCCTGGCCTTATTGAAAAGCTGGGAATCCAGCACGTTAAGGGTTTGCTTCTCTACGGACCACCAGGTACTGGTAAGACTCTTATTGCGCGCAAAATTGGCACAATGTTGAATGCCAAAGAACCAAAGATCGTGAACGGACCGGAGATTCTTAGCAAATACGTTGGTTCTTCCGAAGAGAACATTCGTAACCTGTTTAAGGATGCAGAAACCGAATATAAAGCCAAAGGTGATGCTTCGTCGCTTCATATCATCATCTTTGACGAATTGGACTCTATCTTCAAGCAAAGAGGTTCTAGAGGTGACGGAACAGGTGTTGCCGATAACGTGGTAAACCAGCTGCTTTCCAAGATGGATGGTGTTGACCAACTAAACAATATTCTTGTTATCGGTATGACAAATCGTCGTGACTTGATTGACGAGGCCTTGCTCCGTCCAGGTCGTTTTGAAGTCCAAGTAGAGATTCATCTTCCAGACGAGCCCGGCAGAAAACAGATCTTTGAAATCAAGACCAAAAAAATGCGTGAAAACGGGTCTCTCGGTCGTGACGTGAATATTGCCGAGTTGGCAGCCATGTCTAAGAACTTCTCTGGTGCTGAAATTGAAGGTTTGATTAAGAGTGCCTCCTCGTTTGCGCTGAATCAACATATCAAAGTTGGCACAGTGGGCGATATCGCGGGCGATTTGGCCAACATGGTGGTTTCACGCAGCGATTTTATACATGCTCTGGAGGAGGTGAAACCAGCTTTTGGTGTGCATGAAGAAGATCTTCAAGAATGCACTAAAGGAGGTGTTTTGAAATATTCATCTGCCATCGACGATATCTTGAACCGCGGTACCAGAGCCATAAAACAGGCCCGCGAATCAGACCGTTTCAACTTTTCCTCTATCTTGATGCATGGCCCTCCAGGCTCAGGAAAAACGGCCCTTGCTGCGGCAATTGGATTGGCTTCCGAATTCCCATTTATCAGGCTGATCTCGCCAGACGCAATGGTGGGAATGTCCGAAGCAGCTAAAGTCCAATTCATTGACAACACGTTCCGCGACGCTTACAAATCTCCGCTCAATGTGCTGGTAGTTGATGATATTGAAGGACTGATTGATTATGTTCCAATTGGGCCAAGATTTGCTAGCACCGTGTTGCGTGCGTTGATGGTTCGTCTCAAGAAGAGCCCTCCAGAAGGGCATCGTTTGATTGTCATCTCGACAACCTCGTCCTACACTGTGTTAAGACAGCTGGATATGCTTGGTTGTTTCAATGACGAAATAGGCGTTCCTAATCTTGGTTCGCTTGATGAGTTCGCCCGTGTTTTGGAAGCCACTCGCTTTTCAGATGCTGCTGGGAGAAAACAGGTGCTGCAGAGCCTGGCTTCGGTTGTGTCCGAGGTCAATGTTCCGATCAAGAAAACGTTGTTCAATATTGACACTGCCCGTTTTGGTGAGAATCCCGTTCAGGATCTTGTTGAGTTGATGGTTGAAAGCACAACTCCGTTGAGGAGATGATTACGAGGAAAGAAATAAAATCAATTGAATCCATGTGGAATCATTTGAAATTGGTTAAAGACAGTTAAAATTAGTTGAATTGGCTGAAAATCACATAAGTACAGCTGAATAGAACATTTTTGCCCATTTTCATTGTGTGGTTTCATTAGAAACTAATTAAGAGTAGCTGACTTGCGTCTTCTGATTGTTGGCTCATAAAGTAGCTCGTACCACCATTTCAAAGAATCACGTAAAATCAGCAGTCTTTACAGTTGTCTGGAGTGTTTTAACCTCTCTCCTTATCCCACTGCAATATTCCAATGGTAATTGAATTATTTCGGGTCATCTCAGGACGCGTCTCACCATGGGTGTCAATGTTGTTCAAATTTAACTTCTCTGGACTAGGAACAACATCCTGGTGCAAGATGTTGGACTCTGCTCCAATCCGCTTGCCCTTTCCATGATAATGCAACGCTTTCGACTGGAACGGGATCACCATGTGCTCTTTGTTGTAGTGATTCTGATAGTGCGAAGGAACGTAGCTCACTTTCGTGGCCTGATGTGGTGCATCTAAGGTGGCATTGGGCGGAACTGGGGCATTTTTCTCCCGAGAAACCGAAATTCCTTGCGGCTCCTCACGTGAACCTCTTTTCTGTGTGGTCGCATCCACCGCAGACTCCGAATGTGCCTCAAGACGGGACTCCAATCCAAGTTTATGCAGAAGCTCTGGTGGAGTATCCACTGCAAACGGAGATGTCGTTCTCATCGCCTCCTCCGATTCCGGTTGCCTCGCAAAGGTCTGTAACGTGGGCAGATTTGACTCATGAGACATAGCTCTGTTCATAAACCGGCGCTGCGGATCACCTCTTTTTGGAGAAAAAACCAGCGTCAACTCGTCCTCCTCCTCCTCACTAGCGTCACTATTCTGGCTTCCTTCCGAATCAGAACCGCCTTGGAAAGACGAAAAGTCGACCTTTCTGTTGAAAGGCGATCTCACCGGCTCCTTCGGAGATGAAACTGATTCGTCATCGGAACTTTCGTCCGAATGGATGAAAAACGAGCCTCCTCTGCTTGTGTCAGCCTTTTTAGTAACAGTTTCACCAGATCTTGACACGCTTGGTCTCACCGAGGGCTCAAACTTCACTCTTGGACAAGGCGGCGTGTGCTGTCTGTTTGAAGGCACGGTTGGTTTTCCTCTTGGAATCGCATTGTCCTCCTTGTAGCTGTCCTTGAAGACTGTGTTATCAATTGCTGCTAAAGGGGGACTTGTGACTGAAGGTTTTCTGAAAACGTACGCTGCATTTCTTGAACCAGCAATGCCGGTTCCGGCTCCATATCCAGATGGACTGATCGGAGAGACTATCTCCGGGTATATTTTGTCATCGTAAAAGCTGTTAAGCGAGGCAAAGCTGTCTGTTACCGGCAACGAAACGCGGTTGCTGGAATCGAAGAACGAGGGGTGATCCGAGATTAGAAGCTCATCCGCCTCACAACTAGGCACTGCCGCTGTCGGAATATCTCTTCTAAGTCCAGTCTTCTCCTCGGCAGATTTTGGCGAGTTCAACAAATCAACACTCTTCCGCCTTTTATCTTCGTCTTTGTCCATGATGCCAGCGAGTTGCGCAACTGCCGAATCCCGCGCACCCAGATAGATATCGCCGCCGACGTTCTGTTTTGTCTCGTGAAGCCCTGCAGAGCCTGATCCAAACGAGTCAATTGATGTCGTTAAAGAAGCCTTGCGGATGTGCAAATCCCTCATACTCTGCAAAACCGGTGATCCTGGTCCAGCAGTTGTGGTTGTGGGACTAGCAGAGACGATGTCCAGAGGGTGAGTAGGAGAGTCGATTTCGGGTGTTTCACTCAGAATCAAAGAATGGTCTCTCGCCGGAGAATCAAGAATACTTTTAGCATTTCTCGCGCTGCTCGAACTTCGCTCCCTGCCTAACAGGAGTCTGTGATCAGACAGAGGAGTCCCGCTATTAGCAGAAGTAACAGGCGATGCTTTGAAATTTCCGCGTTTCAGGGCGCTTGCAATTCCTCTTTTAATACGGTTACCAATGCCTATTACGGCTTCGTCAACCTCCTTAGTTGTGACATCAATTTTTTGGGAGCGCATGTCAGTAGCATACTTGCGCGATTCAGTTCGACTGAGTCCCGACGCAAAGAACGGATGATCTTTGATATCATCAATTCCTATACGATCATTCTGGTCTTTCTCGAGTAGTTTCAACAGCATATCTTTGGCCTCTTCATATTCCGGATCAGAGACGCTGGTTGGATCGCGTAGTTTTGATTTTGGCGGGACATCCAGCGAATCCTTGTTAATCGACTCGAAAAGAGCAAACTCAGACTCGCCATTGAAAGGAAGTGAGCCAAATAAAAGACAGTAAAGAGTGACACCAAGAGCCCATATGTCTATTTTGGAAGTAACAGGGACATCGTAGTCATAACCTTCAGTCTGACACAGTTCTGGTGCCAGAAATGCGGGAGTTCCTGCGGTTTTTGCAAGCTCGTACTCATCCTGGCCATCCAGGTTCGCAGAGAAAGAAACACCAAAATCAGATATCTTGACAACATTATTCTTGGAAACAAGCAAATTCGAGGGTTTAATGTCCCTGTGAATGATTCCCTGGTAATGAAGGTACTCCAGTCCGCTCACTACATCGCGAAATACCTGCTGGGCCTCAGCAAACCGTAAAAACGGCCCTTTTTCACCAGATTTCGGATCATTGATCTGCCATTCAATCTCACCCTTCTCAAGATACTCCAATACCAAGTAGATCTTACGGGAGTTCTCGGCATCCAGCACCTCGATCAACTTCACAACATGGGGATGGTCACACTTCTTCATGATGGCAATCTCCTTGCGGATTTTGTCTTCCTGAGAATTACCCGGTCTTGTGAGTCTACCCAAACGCGGTTTGGCTTTCCGGTCCACGATCTTGATTGCCACCAGTCGGTTGGATTCAATGTCACGCGCCAGTTTCACTTTTCCGTGTTGACCAGAACCCAGATCTTTCAAAATCTCATAAGTGTTCAACACTTTGCGCCGACTAACTGGGTCGTACTCGAGATGAACATGATGGGTTTCCTTCACCAGCGAAGAAGCCGAGGCCGGGTCTGGCCTGGATGCTCGCAAAGTGGTGATCTTCTCAGAAGAAATACCTCGTAAATTGCGTGGCTGTGATGAAGTCAACGGCCTCTGGATATCCTCAAGCTTGCTGGCCAGTCTGTGCAGTGACACGGTGGAGTTTTGTCGTGAAACCGCCGGTGACGAAGATGGGGAGTTCGCACAAGAGTTCTTTCCGCTCAGAATTCCACTAAATATGTGTGCAATCTCAGCCAATCGGCTATGGGACTTGGCCCGCTGGAACTGCTCATCCGATGAAGACGAGGAAATGTTCGGCGGCGGCGATTCAGGCATTGCAAACTAGCTCGTCTTGGATGTAGGATAGCGGTTCCCCACTGAGTCAAAGGAGAAACTTAAGCTTCCCCAAAAAAGGAGAAATAAAATAAATATAAGAGGCTCGTATCCGTCAGAGGCTTTACTATCGGAGTCTTACCTTTTGGTGCCAATTATCGCCAGCGTTGGTAGAGTTGTCCTTGTCTGAAGTTTGGTGATAACCAGCAACGGCAAAAACGCCAGGCAAAAATCCCAGAAGACCTGGTGAGTCAGAAAAACGTGTCTAGACCGATCAGACGTGTCGAAATATAGAACCGGGTAGAGAAGCGATATATTGCCGGTCAGAAGCGAATATGTGGCTTTTTTCTGCAGAAAAATGGAGTCTTTTCGAGATGTTTCGAATTCGGTGTTCGAAGAGTAAGACAGGGGGAAGAACAAGAGGTCGATGGGTTGGAAGGCTACAGTGCAGTGTGCGGCTCAGAAAAGAGGGAATGAAGAAAAAGGCACAATAATATGAGGTGGAACAATCGGGAAATTTGTTAAAGATAATAGCAAAAATTCTTCATAAAATTGCACTTTCAGGCAGAAAAATAACCTTGAAAGTTGATTGCCCATTTTATCGGAAGCGCAGCGGTTGTTTGAAATCCGTGAGATAGTGAACCAATGATAGAGACGGTGAGTGAGGTGATGAGCGAAGGAAGATGAAATCAATGGGAGAGTACAGCGCTCAGCACCGGAAAGGCTTGTGCGAACAGAAGAGTCTTGAAAAGATGCTTTTGAAGCCAGATTTCCAAGCTTTTGAGCCAATTGCGTGTTCAACAGCAATTAGATATCATTGAACATGGTGGAAAGGCTGCCCATTTTGAGCTTCGGATCGACCAGGGACACAGAAATGACAGATCAGAATAACAAGTGAGAATGCAAATATTTATAAACAAAAAAATAAGACGAGATAGACAGTTCAGGTAATTAGCACCAAGCTCATCCACTTAAACTGTAGTTTTTGCATTGTTGTTACCCCAATTTTCCATCTATCTCGCTTGCCACTATCTTTTTTATCTCCTCTGTCTCCTCGATCTCCGCTATCTAAACCCGCCTCGTAGCAATCATATCAAAAGGACGACTCAACTTTACTACTTAAATCGAACAAAATCTATTACGAAGCAAAAATCATAGCATCGTGTCTTCCTTTCCCCATCAGCGATCACTCCCATATATAGAAATCCGTGGTCTCACAAGTGCGTACCACAGCGGAGTCTGGTCCCGGAGCGGATGCACCCATTGGGTAAAAGAGGCAGCTGGACCCGGGCATTTGATATGGACGAGGCTGAGAGTAACGTGAGTAAAACCTAACTTTCAACAGCAGATTTGCATTCACGGAATACGTGGTGTCAAAATCCTACCTTGAACTACTAAAATACATCAAAAAAAGACCAGATCCATGTTCTCTTCGAACTTCCCTCTGGATCACCACCACGGGATTGTCTGGTTTAGTGATGATTAATTGGTGTGGCGGTGCATCCCCAACGGCGGCTGTGGCGATGACCGGTCGTTGGATCCCATCGAGTTCTCCCATTTCACGGCATTGACGGGAAAAATCAATTGATTGTTTCACATGTTCACGATCAGGGTTTGGGGTTTGGGTGTGAACTTGGGGGTTTGCTAAGTATCTAAGGAGGGTGTGAGGGTGCTTACCTGGTTGCGAGTGGTCAAGCTCGGATGCACCGGTTGCTATATCAAGCTGGTTAAGCCAGCGCTCAGCATCCAAGGGTGTACACACTTGGGTCAATGAAAGAATGAAAAACTATTTCTGAAAGAATTTGAGTGCTTCTGCACGTAAATTTTATAGTTATAAACCACAAAAATATCGATTTCCCCAATTGACAATTCTATTACCTTTTTCTCGCTTCTTCTTGCTTCTTCTACCTCACTTAAGACTTCCATTTTCATCGCTCTATCTGTTTTCACCAGCCACAGCTGACGCCGATGTGTCCAGCCCAAAGAATCTCTATAAAACCACTCAACGATCCGCTTTCGAACGAATCCTTGTTCGTCGGGCTGTCTTTTTCCAAACGCTTTTGTTCAACAATCCCTATTGTAAGAATAGCTAAACCTTGAAGGCTAGTTATTTTCTCCGTTGCAACTGAACGACTATCCACATTTTCTAGAAAAAATGAGTGAACCACAGTAAGTTTGTCTTGTTAGGTGGGAGTTCCTCCCCGCCACAACGTGGAAGAGCCGGCTTGGGTCGAATGAAAGCAATTGTGAGACTACTTCACGTCGATATCAAGTTTTGTGGATTGCGAAAAGAGCATCTTAGCCTTTTCCATGATTCTGGTCATGTCATCGATCGCAATTCCTGTTTTCCTTCGAAATATGCTGAGCTTTCCTCGAAAATCCAACGTCTTTACCATTTTTTTCAGCCACTAACGTTTCCCTAGAGGTGATATCGGCCTCATCGGCTTGGCTGTCATGGGTCAGAACCTTATCTTGAACGCCGCTGACCACGGCTTCACCGTTGTTGCCTACAACAGAACCACCTCCAAGGTGGACCACTTCCTCGAGAACGAGGCCAAGGGAAAGCCAATTCTCGGTGCCCACTCTATCGAGGAGCTCTGTGCTAAGCTCAAGAGACCTAGAAGAGTCATCTTGCTTGTCAAGGCCGGCTGGCCAGTTGACAGCTTCATCGAGCAGCTGTTGCCATTCATGGAGAAGGGTGACATCATCATCGATGGTGGTAACTCGCACTTCCCAGACTCTAACAGACGTTTCAAGGAGCTCGGTGAGAAGGGTATCTACTTCGTTGGTTCCGGTGTCTCTGGTGGTGAGGAAGGTGCCAGATATGGTCCTTCCCTTATGCCAGGTGGTGCCAAGGAGGCGTGGCCACACATCAAGGACATCTTCCAGTCCATTGCTGCCAAGTCCGATGGTGAGCCATGTTGTGACTGGGTTGGTGATGCCGGTGCCGGTCATTACGTGAAGATGGTCCACAATGGTATTGAATACGGTGACATGCAACTCATCTGTGAGGCCTACGACATCATGAAGAGAGTCGGAAAGTTCTCCGACAAGGAGATCTCCGAGGTGTTCGGTACCTGGAACAAGGGTGTTCTTGACTCTTTCTTGATTGAGATCACTACCGACATCTTGGCCTTCAACGACGATGATGGAACTCCTCTCGTTGAGAAGATCCTCGACTCTGCCGGACAGAAGGGTACTGGTAAGTGGACTGCTATCAACGCTCTCGACCTCGGAATGCCAGTCACTTTGATTGGTGAGGCCGTTTTCTCCAGATGTCTGTCTGCCCTCAAGGATGAGCGTCGTCGCGCTTCTACCTTGCTTGCTGGACCAGAGATCCCAGATGACCTTATCACCGACAAGAAGGCTTTCATCGACGACTTGGAACAGGCTTTGTATGCCTCCAAGATCATCTCTTACGCCCAGGGTTTCATGCTCATCAGAGAGGCTGCCAAGGAGTACAAGTGGGACTTGAACTTCCCATCTATTGCTTTGATGTGGAGAGGTGGATGTATCATCAGATCTGTGTTTTTGGGTGAGATCACCGCTGCTTACCGTGAAAACGCCAACCTCGAGAACTTGTTGTTCCACCCATTCTTCAACAAGGCCATCACCAAGGCTCAGTCCGGATGGAGAAAGACCCTGGCCACCGCCGTTTCGGTTGGTATCCCAACCCCAGCCTTCTCAACCGCGTTGGCTTTCTACGATGGTTACAGATCCGAGCAACTCCCAGCCAACCTGTTGCAGGCCCAGAGAGATTACTTTGGTGCCCACACCTTCCAGGTGTTGCCTGAGAAGGCTAACGCCAAGTACGAGGTTGGCAAGGCCATCCACGTGAACTGGACTGGTAGAGGTGGTGACGTCTCTGCCTCTACTTACGATGCCTAAACTGGTTTTCGTCTAAGTCTTTAGTACAATGCAATAGTAAGCGTGAACAAAAAGATCAGAATTGTAGATTAAGTATAAGTATTGTGATGTGAGAGCGTCATTGAGGCTACAGCTGTAGCTAAAAGCTAGTCCTCGCGTTGAGGTTTCAGTTGGGAGCTCGCATCTACGAGTAATTGCCGAATTCTAGTAGCAATCTTCTTTGGCGATTGTCCTTCCGTGCAAACTAACATGCTTCCACTATTTTTGACCTACTCATTACTCCACCTGGGTGATCCTCTTGGTGATCCTCTTGGTGACCTTCTTGGAGAACGCGATCTGGAGTAGCGCACTGGCGACCGCGAAGCGGGCCGATTCTCTCTGGGGACCCTGTCATCGGGCCGGTATTCTCTGGAGTCTCTGTAACCAGTCCGCCTGCCGTAGTACCGATCCCGCTCTCTTCTGTGATATACGGAATCCCTTTGATCTCTGAATTCTCGATCTCTGTTGTCCCTTGGATCTCTATCACCTCTTCCCCTGTGACCACCACGCCTGTATCCACCACGGTCATATCCACCACGGTCGTATCCACCACGGTCATAACCACCACGATCATAACTACCACGATCGTATCCACCACGGTCTCCTCGATCATATCCACGATGACCTGAGCGATACGATGTTCCCGTTGACCTGTATCCAAGTCCTTGGTTGGGATAATTCACCATTTGGTGAGTGGCTATTAAAAATGGCTTCTCGGAAGTTCGGCCAATTTTCGTGGCATATGACACCCGCCATACTGCATCTTTGGGACTATGGTTCTCCTGATCAATCCAGAGCTGTGTGGCCTTAACAGGTATGAAATCCACATACAATCTGAGGTGAGAGGAATCGTGTGATTCGGGTGTCCCCACTTCTGCTTCTGTTTCCCTTTCTAAAACCTCCGGGAAAAGCTTTCCGTTTAAATTCTTCCGGATCTCTACTGCACCATCAACTGTTGAAACAATCACGATGCAGTGGGATCTTTTGTTGTTCAGCCACGCGCGCTCGATTGTGGCCCCGGATTTGGCAGCCTCGTCGTTCAACATCCTTTGGAAGTCTGCATTGTCAAAAGGAGTCGTGAGATTGCCAATAAACACCGCGCGTGTTTGGTTGTACTCAGCTTCATCCTTTATTTCATATACCACCTCTTCTGCTGAGGATTTTGATGCCTGCTGCTGCGGCACCAAGTCCTGTCCCGAGTCGTTGTGTTCCTCGCTGTACTCGGGTTTGTTGGTGCTTTCGAGAGCTGAGTTGGCTTCAATCTCAACAGACGGACTGCGTCCCAGCTCCTCGCTCATTATTGTTGTTAAAACCGCGAAAATTCGCTAAAATCGTGTGTAAGGCTGTTGATTGAGAGCCAAACCCGGTTGAGAATCCTGTTTAGGTCACCGAAAGGTGAAAAGTTGAGATTTGGCGGGGGACGACTTAAAGTCACGTGATTTGTAACAACTACTTGGAGATTCGAGATATATATGAAGATGCCATTATAAGCACCTTTGGAAATATTGATAATGTTAAAAGCCATCTGAGAACTTGAAGTGACAACCTGGTTATCTATTGAGAGTGTCACCGTATCTCCTTGTTGACCTCGCTCATGAAAACCAAACAGCGACTCCATACATCCCCAAGACAGCGACCGCTAGCACAAAGCATTGGTCACAGACAAGCTTCAGATTCATCCTCTTATACAACTGATGTCTGCTGGTGTCATTCACCAGCGATTTCACGCCAAAAAACTCGGCCGGGTCGGCTATCCATGAGGCTTGCCTAACCGGGGGAGGTGGAACGGAATCATCAATTGTGCGCTTTTCTTCTTCTTCGACCGCAGAAAGATAGTGCGAAAGCTTATTCGAGATCACCGTCCTGCGCTGAATGCCCTTCTCCTCTTCTGTCTTTGCCGGTTTCAAAGACCGTCTTAGCTTGAACAGCGACCAAAAGAATAGCGCCAAAACATTTAAGCCGGCGAACATTCCATAGAAAATGGTCTCATGGTATGGCATTGGCAGGTAGCACACGTACTGGTTGTATAACACCTTCACCTTTCGCGTAGTATCATCGCTTTCACGAGGACCTTGTTCCTCGTCCATCAACGGCGATAGTCTCTCTTCTTTCAAAACCGGCTTGTTGTACAATGTTATCAGTTCAACAGCAGGTCTATTGATTCCCATTGCCATGGAGATCGATTTCACGGTGATCTCCTTAGCAGCAGCGTTCACACCTTGGTCTTTATAAGGGTGGTATAACTCACAATAGTCGTGATCGTCTCCGCTCAAAATCAAATCAGGCTTGACCTTTGCCAGGATCTCGTCAGAGAGGTCCTTGTCCAGAACGGTCTGGTATTGGTACCCTTTTGCAATGGGAAAAGAGGCCGACTCACGCATCGGCCCACACTGCGCCTTGGGATCTCTGAAAAGTGGCACGTGAGTCAGTAATATACGTGGCCGATCCTTTTTAACTTTAGCGAACTTGTCCAGAAACTGACGGGGTGCATCGTAAATTTGTGGCACTTTCTTGTTCGATAGGGATATCGTATCCAGCATCACTATATCGTGCCCATTGTGACTCAGCACCGCGTTGGTCTCTCCGAAATTCGCCTGAAACCGTTCCAAGCTCGCTAGGTTGACCCCGTCAGCCCATCCAATGTCGTGATTGCCGGGAACACTGAAAATAAGCTCCTTGATGTGATCCGGTGCGTAATTTTGAAAGATCTTGTAGAATCGGTCGACCTGGGTTGTGTAATACTCGTCGCCAGCAGACCGTCCGTTGTCCAGTAAATCACCCAAAAATATCACAGAATCTGGCTTCAATACTTCTGATAATGACCTGAAATTTCGGTACAGGTAGGAGTCCACTGTGTGTCGCGACAACGCCATCGCTGCCGCGTTGCGCCCAGGATACGTATGGTTATCGATCAACTGTGGATCAGCCACTATCATCACGCGAAACTCCTCTATCCCCTCATCTGCCGGAATAACCACGTCATGTTTGTCCCAAGCACAACTTGCCGCATACATCCTCGGTATCCTGTAGATGTGAGTGTAGAACAACAGACCCCACACCATGAGCAACGGTAACAAGGGTCTGTACTTGGATACGGCCCGGGGCGCAAACGCGCTTACCGATATACTCATATTCTATGGATGAGGCAAAAAAAAAAACTGCTGACTTAGCAGCAATAACCACTTGAAATTCCCACCGAGAACTGTTGAAGACTTGACGTGAAACAAAGAAAAGCTGACGAGCCGCCTGGCTTCAAGCGCTCAAAGGGGATTTCTTCTCGAGTATGGTTTGCGCACTACTTGGGCCCAGACCCAGGCCATCCCGATAAGCGAGAGGAGTTCCAGGACTCCTGCTTTGAGCCAAAACAGTTTGCAGGCTAAAATGTTCTGGAAAGTGGTGATCACCGGATTCTTGGGGGTCCTGTTGTGGCTCTATTTTGTGCCTCTTTACGCGGATATTGATCCACTCGCGTTGGACGAGCAGGCGTCTGTATCTGCTACGAGGCCGAGTCCGCGCGAGTCTGCAGTGTACAGATCAGTGGATGTTCCCCACGGGTTACCGCTTACCACCGGGTTGAGACTGTTGAGACACGGTTCTCGATACACTACGACCGATGGAAACTTGCAGGATTGCTGGGATCTCCACAAAGAGGCTGGTAAAGCCGTCATTGTTGGTGGGGAGAAGATAGCGCGTGGTGAGCTTGCGGAACGAGTGGAAAGTCTTGTTTCTGGGCTTAAAATGCTGACGTCGTTTCACTGGTTGGGTGTCTTTGACTGTGAGCTTGATGTTTGTTCGCTTTCGGTGCAATTGGCTGGGCTGTTTACTGGTGATTTTGGGCTTTTCCAGATCTCGGACCCGGCTGGACTCACCCAGTATGCTGCTTCTCAGGAGTCTGAAAAACGCGATGTAGACCTCGTGTTTGTGCGTGGAAAAGACACAAAAAACTTGCTGAGTCTTCTTGATCTTGGGATCTTTGCGACTGTTGTCGTCCTGGACGATTTCATTGATGAAGACATAGCCAATGCTTTCCCCGTGAAATTTGTCAAGCTGTCGGAGCTGTCGGAGCTGACCGCTGGCAAGAAAACTGCGTACACTGCACCAGATCTGACTAGCTCCAAAACATATTTCAAACAGTGCTTGAGGATTCAGAAGGATGATCGTGTTTTTGAATTTACGCACGGTAATTTCGTCTCTATTGTCGCTTCTCAGCTGTACTCCCTTCCCGCAGGTCACTCTTGGAAACCGGAAGACAAAGTCCTGATTGTTGTTGACCATGCTGAGTTTGGGCATTATCTCGCAAAACTAGCGATGTGTTTTGTTGTTGGGTGTGAAACCGCAATTGTTACTTCCGCAGGAATTGACTTGGATACTCAAATCCGTCGGCTGGCACCTTCTATTGTCCATGCTAGTGACGCCGTGTGGTCTTCCAACTCAACCGTTCCAATCGCCTTCTACGATGTTATCTTAAACAACGTTGCAGAAAGCTGGTTCTCCACTGGAAGTTGTACACAATTGGCTGATTGGAGACGCCAGTTCAAACAGCTCAGATTAGTGTATTCCGCAGGTACCCCAGGTAGCGAGCGTCTCAACCACAATGCTGTCCAGGCCAAATATGGAGTGAGACTAATCCAAGAGCTTGTTGTTCCTGGCATTCTGGGTCCTGTACTGAAAACAAATTTCTACGATTATCGCGTTGTGGGAACCAATGTCCATAGAAGAGGAGTGCCTGCTAATTGTCTGGAGGTCAAGGTTATTGATCATGGAAGACGTCTGGCTGACAAAAGAGAAGGTAAACTTCATGTTCGTGGTTTCAATATCGGCAAGTCCATTTCGGGTGTCTCTGAGACCGTTTCCAGTCCAGCTGACTCTGGAGAACCCGGGTGGATGCCTTTGGATGTGGTGGGCAAGTTCGGTACTGATGGGTGTTTCTACGAGTATGTCTGAGAGTTTACAGAGTTAATGTTTATAAACGAGTGAATGTCTAGTCAATGCCTTATGAATCTCAGTATGTAAAAAAATCAGTAGTTCCATCTTTTCGCGATTTCCCGTAATCTTGCAGTAGCACCTGCAGCCCAAAGGTGCACCGCGCTGAAGGAGTGCGGCTCCTCGCAGTCTACACCCTCCATTTCAATCTGTAACTTCTCCAAAGGATCACTTGGAGTCTCCCAAGGGGTTGCCTCTTCACTCAGCTGGATCCACCTTTCTTTTCCACCATCGCGCCATGCCTGGCTGTGTGTCATCTCCAACAGTCTACTCACCGCTCTTCGATAGGCAAAAACCTCATCCTGGCCAGTAAACCGAGAAATTTTCGAGAAGTCAATATTCTGCCTCACACCTGCATCTTTTGAAACCAAAAATCCAGGGCCAGTCTCCGCATAGGGAGCCGTATTCGCACGATATGGGTTAGCAAGACTGATCTGGGTGCGAGCATACATCTCTTCCTCCAAAACCGTAGCTTTCTGTGGAGCGTCCGGGAAAAATAGCTTATTGAGATCAGTATCTGTTCTCAGTACTATCTGGCATCTGGCCTCATAAAGAGCATCAACCAGTGTGATAAATCTGCGGGCATCGTCTCTTCTGGTGTGTGTGAGAATGGGAACACCGTCAATAGCAAAAGTTTGGAATTTTGAAGCGAGAGAGATATAATCAGCAGGCCCATGCGTCTCGCTACAGATCTCTTCAAAATCGTATAAAACGGCCCCATCGCGATGGTTGCGTGGTGCGACGTCTCTTCCGTAAACCACTAGTCTATGAGACGAGCCGGTGTTAGTTTTAGGGTCTAAACCTAATCGGCTGATTTCACGTTTCCATTTCGTCTCGTGGTCAGGCTCTCCCCGTGTAATGAGACTGGGCTCAAATCCAGAAATTTTGGAGTCTTCTTTAAGCAATTGACGGTGGTCTGTAGAAGAGTCCATATCGAAACGCAGACATCGGAGTTTGAGGATCCGGCCAAAATCAAGAGTTTGGGCCCTATTAAAGCTCGTTGAATAAAGCTCCTCCGGAAGTCGGTTTGAAGTAGCCACAAGAACACCTCCCAGGCGAAAAAAATGTGCCAACACCGTCTGGACCACTTTGGCAGCCGCTATGTCTGGGAGAGCAAATTCATCTAGCACCAGAACGGAGCTGTCTCGAACCAGTCGAGCAGCAACCTCCAAAAGAACGAAATCATCTTCCAGAGATCTCCGTCGCAAATTTATCTCGTGAATCTGGCGAAAAATAGACAGGACAAAGTGCTGGGTGTGGTATCGTGCCTTGCATGCGTGCGGCAGGCATGTAGCAAACAAGTCTACCAACATAGTCTTTCCCGAGCCAACATGTCCGTTCACCAGCAACCCCAGTGGCGCATCGATATTCTTGAAGTCATCTGGATCTTGCTGGTGCACAAGAGAACGCGAGAGAGAAAGCGATTGGGTTGAGCGCTCATTATTTGGGCGGGTATTCTTTGGGCGGTTACGGCGGATCAACGCTGCCACATGCCGCAGTCTCAACCCCGTTAAAGCCTCTGGTTCGTAATCTTTCACCCGCAAATACAGTTTCTGTAGTTCTATTGCACATCGAAGTTGTTGCTGATCACGATTGAGGGTACCAGACGCCACATACGCCTTGTAGAGCACCAACGGGTCCGTAACCGCCAGACCCGTTAGAGAAGCCGCGCGCGGTACGGGCAGTCTATCATGGAACAATCTGCAAAAGACTCTGCTCATTGCGCAAGATCAATAATCCACAGTTGAACTGAAGATAGTCCAAACAAGTTTTAAATCAAGTTTCAAGCCAAGTTTCCATGGCGTTGAAAGACTACAGAGAAGATGCCGAAATGTGCGAAGATGGATTGTCTAGAGAGGCACGCCTATTTAGAAATACAGAACCGAGGGGGGATTATCCCCATGCAAATTGATCCCTTCATAACTGAATGGCCGATTGTCTCTGAATCAGGAAGACTTGGAAACCGCAAAAGACAAAAAATACAATGTAAAGGAAGACGGCACCGAATACCGTTTTGGCGACACTTGGAGTTGTTAGTGTGTCTGCATGGACAGTGCAGAATAAGTGAAACTTACGCTTTTCCGTCTTCGGGATCGGTGATCGACCCAACCATCGACTCATGGTTGTTATAGAATAGAGTGCCAATCACAGTGAGTATCACTATTCCAAAGGCTGAAATCACGGTACAAAACCATGCTTTCATGGGCTTGAAAATGTTAGTAGCTGTGCTCGGGGAATGCTAGGGGGGATGATCAGCAATGGACGTACGGATACCACGGCCTTCATTGTGTGTAGCAGATAAAAGCAATGGAAATGGCTATAGCAAACACGCCAGTTGTACACTTCTTGATATATCTGAGGGGATATATCTATATTGGTATCTCCAAATATTCCATTGAGCTTTCAACGATTACCGTCTCGAAGTTGGTTAGACGTGTGCTGATCAAAAGCAGCATCTGCCACTACCACACGTGTCGATTCTCTTATGTAAGATGCGATGCCTCAAAAAAGCCAAATACTTCATTGTTGCACAATCAGCTCGCTCAGATATGTTTACACATTAATCCAGGTGCTGATCAAGACGCTGTGAATTGCAATGTTTTTGAAGAACGTGAAAAAAGTGCAGCTGTTTATTTCCTGTCTGGAACATCCTGTAGTGTTTCAATTGTGCTTGTGAACGTGTACTATGTATAATATTGTAACAAAAACGACGTGCATTGCTCAGAAATCGTGCGGTTCGGTGCGGCGCTTACTTCAAACCCCATTACTACCTCCTGGCATATATCGACGGGGCTGAACGGGGAGCGTATAGAACCTGGCAACAAAGCTGCACTGGGGTCATTTTCCTGAATTGTCTGTAAAAGATACCGAATAAAAATATTGCCAATTACTCAAGTTTTAGACTTTAACGAAATGCTGTTGTTTGTCTGTGTATCTACTCAAGACATATAATCATCTTCTCGCTGCATCTTATTATGTGCGGCACATATGCAGGTGTTATATTTCCCTTTCTTCTTCCGTGCTTAACTCATTTGTCTAGGTTGGTATCTTTTCGCGGTTGCCCTAGCTGCACTCACTCGTGCTTTGTGTCAAATAAGATTATCACAGAAATCAAGAAAAATGCAATTGTGCTCTGAAAGGTGCCTTGGCTGGGCTGGAGGGTAGACACAGACCCTGTTCTTCCGTTAGTAAATATACAGATGATAACACAAATCAACCACAGTTTACATTATACTTCATAAACGATAGACTACTAAACACACTAAATCTCAGCCCAATATGAGGACAGAAATTACAAAAAATGGCAGCATGGCGTACGGAACTGGCGCAGGTCATTTGTAAGGTGGGAGCCAAGATGTCTTCTTTTCGTCACTACGCGCAGCTGATGATTGTTTCTTCAAAAGCGCAGTTGCAGCTTTGAATGTCTCCAAATCAACGAAAGTGCCAGTGAGTATAAGCCTCCCAGAGACAATTATTGATTGGACTAGCTTCCCACTTTTGAGACATAATGACGTCATGGCAGCCGATTTCTGATCACTAGTTAACTGGGTCACTCTGAAGCTTGAAAAAGAGAATCATCCATTCAAAGAGAAACGACTTCATAACTATGCTTTAGTGACATGTCATTTGAAGAGCAGCTCTGTAGTAACGACAGTTGATACTGTTCAGCTGACTTGGCTAGCCAAAGTCATTTCAAAATTGACTTTCTTGCAAAAGCATAAAATTTGGCGCTCTTATGATTTTCCGGTGTATCTTAAATTGCCTGAGGATATATATCAACCAGCGTAGAATGCCGTTTTGCACTCCCGTCTTGGTTAAGGCAGGCACCTCTCTGAGGTTGTCTGCGCCTTTGAAAGCACTGTGCAGGCTATCTACCACTCATGCTAACAAAGCCACCAGGCCTGTATATGATGTAAAAGCTATGGCTACATACTTTTCAAATATAAATATACTTGCCTCCAAGTGTTCCACTCAACCTCCACGGTTTCTGTTTAGCGTTTATGGTCGTGCTCTGATCACAAGCAAGGCCTCCGACATTTTGCATCTGTGTCAACTTTCCATTTAATTTCGTTCTGGGTAATTTGTGGGTACGGCGGAGATAGGCGCTTGGCATCACGCCTCAAAGCATAAGTTTGGCCTGTTGTAGGTACTTCGCGTGGCCTTGACAGTTTAAAGTTTTACGCTTGTAATTTCTTTTTACCCCCAGCTGTCATCCCGATTTCATCATCCTTGCAGATGCTTCCTGATCGGGTATCAAGCCGCATTGGGAAGCATGCGATGCGTCAAGGATTGATTTACAATTGAACATGTCTCACATCCCTTACCACTGGGAGGACTGCTTTTTTCATGAGTTTTTGAACCACGATGACAGCTTGCTGCTTTTGTGATGAGAATCTGGGGACTTTGCTGGAGGGCGAGTCTGCCGTTGATCTCACATGTGGTGATTCTGCTCACTGGCAATGCTACCTCGCCATGCTAACCCCGCATGACCTCTCAGACGATGGTACCATAGCGAGTGTTGAATGTCTCCAGTGTCACTCGCAGACTAAGTGCAAGCCTGCGAGTCGTGATGATGTTGCCAGAGAGTTGTTGCTTGGTCAAGTACCCTTGGCCCGATTCAAAACTCCAGATAACCCTCCGCAGTCTCGAAACCAGGAGTTCAGCGACCCAAGGTCAATCTCTTCAGCAAATACATCGCCTATGGTTCATTCAAGTCTACCGCTGCTGGATTTATCATTGAAGTCCCCACCTATTCCGCAGACTGCATTTCCGCAAACAGCAGGTACACCCGAGAGTCCCATTCTCCAGGATTCGCTAATCCCCAAAGTCCTTTTCGTTCCCTCCAAGCGCAAAATACAAGTCGATTCGGTAAGTCCAGTGGAGTTGGACTGCACACTCACAGTCCTGGGTCCTCGGTACGAGAGGTTTAATATTCCCGAATGCGGGATCGGTGAAATTCTTGAGAGTTTCGTGAACAATCTCCGGTTTCGAGTTCAAGACTGGAGGGGGGTAGACGTTGATGACCTCGGCTCTTTAATTATAGCCGATCGGTTGAAAATTGGTATCGATCGAAGCTCTTTTGAATTCGTGGATGTTTACCTCTTCGAGAAGTGCATACTACTAATTGGCGAGGCGCAAATTGATGAGGAAGAAGGTTACTATGACGAAGATGAAGATGATGACGAAAGTTACGAAGATGATGCCGCTCTTGAAGTTGTTGGTTCCATCGAGACCGCGTTACTTTCTGGATGTTCTCACACGCAGATCTATGAACTCACAGTGCATTTGAGCTCGGTGAGGCTTCCAGAACTTATCATTCAAACAGACTCTTCTTTGATTCTCAAGAGATGGAGTCGGTGTCTCAACCGAACTATCAAAGGAATAGCTACAGATATGGGTCCAGATCAGGTGACCTCAAATTTGTGGTCGTCCTGTAGTATTCCACGTCTCAGAAATCCTTCTGGAACTGAAGCCTCCCATGTAGACTCAGGCCCAGTGGTCGAAGCGAAGGTGAGTTTGGTGGTGGTCGTTGACCCGGCTTTGGCTTCTAGCAGAGAGTGTCTCAACATTTCCATAAGCTCACTGAAGCATGGTGATATGCTTGGAATCGTTTTTGTGAACAGGACCGTGAACACTTTTTACGGAATGGCACCTTCCGATTGGGAAGGTTGGCGTGATGTGGTGGCCAATTGCGGCTCCAATTATATCAGGGAAACAAAAGATGGCTTTGAGAACAATTTTGATACTAATCTGGAAAGCTGCGCTTATCCGGATATTGTCAAAAACCTTGAAAGACTTGCAGCTTCAAGTTTTGCTGTGGAAGACCTTCTGTGTTACCGCCACGGTTTCCGCCAGGTATTATTCATGACAGACAAAGAACTTCCAGTAATTCCTGGCCTTGAGCAATTAGCTGAAAAGTATAATCTCACCTTCACAAACTGTTATCTCAAACGCAACGAGCTGACCAAACAGAGCATCAGTTTCGGCGGAGCATCGGGACAGCGTTTATTGTGGAACCTCATCGTCCACAGACACATTTCCGGGGATATCGGCGAGTCTATACATTTACTTATATCTCACATGCACAAAGGGACTGTCAGTGAGATGCGGTGTCGCTTAACTGCTGGGGTCGGGGTTGAGTTGGTGAGCATGGATGGTTATGTCCCAGAGTACGGACGCTCCAAAGCGCTTGAAGTGCACGCCAACAACCTCTGGGACAAATTCGAACAAAGTTTTAATGCCAGGCTACGTATAAACGTGGATCAAGTTGATTTGAGTGAGGGCCAGGGGGCTGTGCCCCTAGTTGAGTTCGTCACTCGGTGGTGCGAAGACGAGTTTGACGATTACATGAGCACCACAACCAGGGTCAGTGTCAGACTAGTCACACGATCCAAGGACATTCCGGTGCCATTGTAGAGATACTTGGTATCTTCAGGACAGTTTTAGGACAATCTAATGACAATTTTTAGTGAAACTTGAGAAGTTCGGTAGTGCGTGTTCATATGCATGAGTAGTCATGCAAGTCATGCGGCGCGTATTTAGCTGGTACACTAAACTAAGGTGAATTTTCGTGAGTTGATACTCTGAGAGGAGCCTATGAACGTGGAAATAAATGGTTGATCGTTGTGCCTAAGTCAAGGAGATCTTGGGGATGATTTTCGTAGATGTCATTCACGATTGGAAAAAAGGAGTGTCAGATACGAGGGAGCCTGTAGCTTCATTACTTGTATCTCGCCATCACCAACTACAGAAATATATAACAACGTGAGGATTCACAGTCACGATTTTGCAAGAAAAAAAAATTTTAGTGTGAAGTTTCCGTTAATCTGATATCGTAATTTCCAATAAAATGCCACGCGGCTTTCATACTAAACACCTGTTATTTTCAACTTATTACCCACACACATTCCACCTTAGGCAGGTAGTCGAGCCATTCAGCGATCAGGTTAAACACAGATTTTTTGCAGAGGGACCATAGATCATTCAAAAAATCGCCATTTGCTCATTACCAGAAACCATTTTATGACCCACTGGTCTGCTTATTCTCCTCGCTCGCCTCACCTCCATCCTACGCATTTGGTCCGAGTTCCAAGACCAGCGATGACAAACACACCCCATGTCAGCCACTCGCCAGAAAGAACTCCAGGAGAACACTCCACCATCAAGAATGAGAATTTCGGACACTGCAGAGGTTCAATGGGGTATCCTCCCAGTAAATTTATCAGAAGTTTGACCGGGTGTTTGTCCAGCGTGCGGTCTCGTATCGACCGATGCGCCATAAACGCCAAGGGGGGTCTAGCCTTTCACGCCAAACTTTATCTCCCCACAGAATCGGAGCAGGGTCTACGTTCTAAGTATGACTACAACGATGTAAATTTCCATACAATAAGATGTTTATATATCCAGTAAACTTTATTCTTTCATCAAATGACTTATGTCGTGTTTTCCCGCCAAACTCCAAAAATTTCCCGCCAGTCTGGGCCTACCCCGACTTTGTAATCTGCCAGGAGCCCGGCTTACGAATTTGACTAATCGGATTGGTCGAGAAGAGGCTATTCCAGAGGACTATAAATACCTCCTTATTCCCCCGTTTTTGGTGCGGGGATATTTTTAAAACATCTGATACTGGAATTTGACTCTGACGATATTTATTCTGCATTTCAATGTCTGTATTTCTTCCAAGTTTGAAGTTTAGGGCTAACCCCAGACTCGTGGGCTCACTGGTAGGTGGCGCCATTACACTGGCCTTTATCAACGACCAGAGTAACCGCCAGAGCGGTAATAATGGTGGGAATAACAGCAGACTCTCTAAGGCTGGTCTGTTTGGATTTGGTGCTGCCAATGCCAGGATAGCTGGCAAACCAGAGAAGTCTCAGGAGGACTACCAGAAGGTGTACAACCAGATTGCAGGCCTTCTGCAGGAAAAGGACGAATACGACGATGGATCTTACGGGCCTGTGCTGGTGAGATTGGCATGGCATGCCTCTGGAACGTATGACAAGAGCGACAAGTCTGAGACCAAGGGAGGATCGTACGGTGGAACCATGAGATTCGCCAAGGAGGCTGGTGATGAAGCCAATAACGGGTTGATAAATGCCCGTGAATTTTTGAAAGATGTCCAGGCCAAGAACCCATGGATATCGCACGGTGATCTGTGGACGTTGGGAGGAGTTGTGGCCATCCAGGAGATGAACGGGCCCAAAATCAAGTGGAGACCAGGAAGACAGGATCTGGCTGCCGCCACGACTCCACCAGCAGGCCGTCTTCCAGACGCTTCTCGTGATGCTCCTTATGTCCGTGGACTGTTCAACAGAATGGGATTCGAGGATGAGGAAATTGTGGCGCTGATTGGAGCGCATTGTCTTGGAAGGTGCCACACGCAAAACTCGGGCTACGAAGGACCATGGACGTTCTCGCCTACCCAATTCACCAACGAGTTTTTCAGATTACTGGTCGAGGAAAAATGGCATATTCGCAAGTGGGACGGACCAACTCAGTACGAAGACGATGCCACCAACTCGTTGATGATGTTGCCTGCTGATATGGCTCTGATTGAGGACGCAAGATTCAAGAAGTATGTGGTTCGTTTTGCCAAAGACCAAGACGACTTTTTCAAGGTGTTTTCATCCACATTTCAGCGTTTACTTGAGCTGGGTGTAGACTTTCCAGCCGGGTCTCCTGAGTACACCTTCAAGACTCTTGACGAGCAAGAGTAAGGGCAGATCATGATACATTGGAGTAGCTTAGGTTTAAAAGAACTCAGACAGAAATTTTTATGATTTTTCATCTCTAGATGTACGTAAACGGGTTTTACCAGTTGTAAAGTTGAACAGTTCTGCAGCACCTTATTTACATACCAAAGAGTCATGCCGACTCTTTTCCGTCATCCCACCGTTCACTTCTTATATACAAATCACCTTTTGGATCACAAAAACTCCCGGGCCTTCCTCCTGTAAGTGTTGCAATCCCGCAGCCATTGCCTATAATCCGCAAGCGACCCAATCTTCTCGCCATAGTAATCCGGCACAGGGTTGCTCATGGACTGTCTTGCAGCGTCCACACGGTTCTTGATAATCCTCTTCAAGAACTGACGCTGTCTAGTTGCATAATCTGGCAGGACTTTGCGGTTGGCGAACTTGAATATGGCGTCTCCAAACAGAGGACCCACGGCATACCCTATTCCACCAGCGACCATAACTCCTCCAATATACACCGTGAAGGGATCCATTCCAAATATCATCTCAGTGGGGTCAATCGACAACGTCGAAACGTATCCCCATGCAAAAGTGGAACCCAGGAATCCGGTCACGATCGACGTGGTGAAGTTGATCCTACGCTGTGACTTGCGCAGCTGTAGGAATTCGCTCCACGTAAGTCCGGATGTCGCAGTGGACTGCAGTCTAAGTCCACGTGCACCTCTCAGAGATTGTCTAATTCCCACAGAAAGCATTTTGATGGTCGTTGTAAATGGTCTGATTCAACGGTTAGAGGTCCGAAAGAGTTGAATTCAACTTGGCCCGCAAAGAGAGAAGAAACGAGTAAGGCCATCGTCGAGCCGGGTAACCCTCAGCTCTCATGGGAAAAAATCCTCCGACGAGCCCAAAAGCTGTCTTGTCTTTTTTTTCCTCTTTTCTTCCTCTTTTTTGCCTCGTGTTTCGGTGTTTCTTCAGGTTTTTTTGTCTGATTCGACGTGACTCATGGTAAGTTTATGTGTTCTGAGTGCGATTGTCCTGGTTTCTGCTTTTCGTCCTTCCAATATGTGCCCTAAGTGATGATAACTTCATCTTATTCTCTTGAATCTCCTGTGAGTTGAATTATGACTACAACGGTATCTGATCGCATAAGATTGAGAGGGAAAAAGCACCAGTGATTTTGTTTTCGGTTTTTGACTTTTTCATCTGCCAAGTACTAACCTCTCTATAGAATGTTACCGGTTGATACGGTTGATCTTTCATGTTTCGTGCCTCACAACCCCGTTTCATGGGCGGTGTGCCTTTATAAGGTTTACGCCGGTGCGGTGCCGGTACTACCGACGGTGCGATTCGAAAGCGGCAACTTTTTTGCTGCTGACTGGGCTTCTATCAACAAGCTTTGGCGCCGTGGGTTCTACGGAAAGGGAACCCTCTCGCGGTCGGAGCCTTCATGGTTCAATCGGACTAAGAGACGCCTTCGTCTGGACGAAGGTACGGAACTCAGTTCAGAGGAGATCATTGCTCAGAGAAGACACCAGAGGGAGGAGTTCAAACGCCAGAGACAGGAACTGGATGCTCTAGAGAGACGGTACAAGCTGGAGGAGGATTCTGCGAATCTGGCACGCGTCGAGAAATTGAGACATGCGCTTACGGAGACGAAGGGTCGACACGCGCGTAGTTCGACTCCCGTTGAAGAGGTAGAAATAAGACCCGAAGACGACGTTCTGATCCAGGAGGGAAAGCTGCAGAATATCGAGGTGCTCCAGTTGTCTCACACAGAGACGCTATTTCTCAAGCTGATTGGATGTATCGACATCCAGTCGGAGGATGGACCTGTTGGTCTGAAAACAGCCTGGATGCAGATTTTAGGTTTGGAGTTCACTTCGGAAGACAGCCGATTGTTGCGATTTATTGCATATGCGCACTACCGTTCTCTAGGATGGTGTGTACGTTCTGGACTGAAATTTGCATCTGACTTTTTGCTTTACCAGAGGGGCCCGCCTTTCCAACACGCGAAGTACACCTTGAGGGTGTGCGGTGTTAAGGAGGGATCCATGTCGTGGATCCGCTATAGTGGCATTAACAGAGTGGTTTCGGGTGTGAAAAAGACGATGGTTCTATCGTATGTGACATCCGAATGGAATGAGAATGAATTCGAATCGATACGTGAGCAGATGGAGTGTTGTAGTGACGACCACGAGTTTGCGCTTCTCGTTGCAGATCTTGTGTCTCACTACCGTGTGGACGAAGTGGTGTACCATAGATGGGTTGCAAACCGTAATAGGGAATAATTGTAATAATGATAATGAAATGTTATGAGGAATTGGTGAGAGCGATCAAGTAGATAGAGAGAAAGCTCAGAAAAATGCCGGTAGTGCCTTCGCCGGTTTACCGGCGACCTCATCCCGGGGCTCTCCCCGACTGCTCCGAGCCCCTTGACTCATCTCAACTTTTCAGCGGCCGACGGTCTCTTCCATCGAATCCAACACATCTCCACATCCAAGATGACTACGTTGCTCAAAGAAACGTTCGCAAGGTGCAAGAAAGAAGGTGAGTAATGCCCTCTTAATAATTCCCCAGTTTCTGCAGCTAACCAATCCAGGCCGCAATGCCTTGGTCACGTTCATGACCGCCGGTTTTCCTAGTGTAGAGGACACAATCCCCATCCTTAAGGGGTTGCAAGAGGGAGGTACCGACGTTATCGAGCTTGGGCTTCCATTCTCAGACCCTATTGGAGACGGACCTACCATCCAGGAAGCCAACACGCAGGCGTTGGAGAACGGAGTCACCATTCCACAGTGTCTGGAGATAGTCAAAGAAGCCAGAGACAAGGGAGTTGTGGTTCCAATAGTGTTAATGGGCTACTATAATCCCATTCTCAATTACGGCGAAGAAAAAATGGTCCAGGATGCCAGGGACGCCGGTGCAAATGGTTTCATCGTGGTGGACTTGCCTCCTGAAGAGGCCGTCAAGTTCAGAGGTGTGTGCACAAGAATTGGATTGTCATATATTCCATTGGTTACCCCCTCGACTAGCGATGACAGACTAAAGTTACTTGGTCAGGTGGCTGACTCGTTTTTGTATGTGGTTTCGCGTATGGGAACCACTGGAGCCACCGGCACTTTGGAGAATTCCATCCCTGAGCTCTGCGCCCATGTCAGAAAGCTTACTGGTGGTGAAACGCCATTGGCTGTTGGATTTGGAATCAGCACACGTGAGCACTACTTGCAGGTTGGTTCTGCAGCCGATGGTGTCGTTATTGGGTCGAAGCTGATCCAGGTGGTCAGAGAAGCTGCTGCTGGAACCAGAGGTGAGGCTGCTAAGAAATACGTTCAAAGCATACTCAACAACGAGACTCACACATTGCCTGTTTATGCTAAGCAAGAGCTCCCTGCTGAATCCTCTGGGGACCAACTGACCTTCGAGGAAGCCCACAAGTTCAACCCTCGTTTCGGCGAGTTTGGTGGTCAGTACGTTCCAGAGGCCCTCCACACTTGTCTTGCGGAGCTTGAGAAGGGTTTTGAGAGTGCTGTTGCTGACCCATCTTTCTGGGAGGAATTCCGCTCTTTGTACCAGTACATGGGTCGTCCTTCGTCCTTTCACAGAGCCGAAAGGCTCACCGAGCACGCTGGAGGTGCTCAGATTTGGCTCAAACGTGAGGATCTCAACCACACGGGTTCCCACAAGATCAACAACGCCATTGCACAAGTGTTACTTGCCAAGAGACTTGGTAAGAAAAAGGTGATCGCCGAGACCGGTGCCGGCCAGCACGGTGTTGCAACTGCCACTGCTGCTGCCAAGTTTGGTCTCCAGTGTACCGTCTTTATGGGCAAGGAGGACGTCAGACGCCAGGCTCTTAATGTGTTCAGAATGAAAATCTTGGGTGCCACTGTGATTCCAGTGACCAACGGAACCATGACTTTGAGAGATGCCACCTCCGAGGCGTTCCGTTTCTGGGTCTCCAACCTCAAGACCACTCATTACGTTGTCGGCTCCGCTATTGGACCACATCCTTACCCTACGCTGGTTCGTACATTCCAGTCTGTCATTGGTAATGAGACGAAGGAGCAATTCAAGAAGCTTAATGATGGAAAGCTTCCCGATGCCGTGGTGGCTTGTGTTGGTGGAGGGTCCAACTCCACCGGTATGTTTTCTCCATTCGAGAAGGACCTTTCAGTTAAATTGCTTGGTGTTGAGGCTGGTGGTGATGGTATTGACACAGACCGTCATTCTGCTACTTTGACTGCTGGTAAACTGGGAGTTTTCCATGGAGTCAAGACATACGTTCTACAGGACTCAGACGGCCAGATCCACGATACCCACTCGGTTTCGGCTGGTCTTGACTATCCAGGAGTCGGCCCAGAGCTTGCATCCTGGAAGGCCAGTGGAAGAGCCGAATTTGTTGCGGCTACCGATGCTCAGGCCCTCGAGGGTTTCAAGCTGCTTTCCCAGTTGGAAGGTATCATTCCCGCTCTTGAGTCCTCCCACGCCATCTACGGAGCCGTTCAGCTGGCCAAGACAATGTCCCCTGATCAGAATCTGATCATCTGTGTCTCTGGAAGAGGTGACAAAGATGTGCAGAGTGTTGCTGAGGTGCTGCCTAAGTTGGGTCCCCAGATCAACTGGGACCTCAGATTTGAGCAGGAGAAGTAAGAGCAAATGTTCTAGTGCTTTTAAGTGTTGTTTTGGACATTTTGGACATTTTGTTTAGGATTTTGTTGCACAGTCTATAAAGTGTTGAGCTGCTGGTGGTGAAGTCAGTTAGTGCGGTGTGGTTATATTGAGAAGGGCGTTGAAAAATGCATGCATAATGCATGCATAATGCATTCCAAATGCATCCCAAAGGCTCAACCCTCTTCCACTGCCAAACCCCACAATCTATACCCATGTCTTGGTCTAACTCTGGTTTCTTCCTCGCCATTTCAATGCTCCTTATCATTAGGATCAATCTTGAAAATCTTGTCCGGATTCAACAATCTCAGAGGATCCAAACCCATCTTGACCTTCCTCATAGTAGAAATCGTAGTGTCTCCGAGTTCCTTCTCCAAAAAGGTTCTCTTTCCATATCCAACAGCATGCTCACCAGTGCAGGTACCACCAACCTCAAGTCCACGGTAAACCTGTCTCTGCACGAGGTCCATTGCAATCTGAGCTTGCTCTGGAGTATACACAAGAAGCGTGTGGAAATTTCCATCACCAACATGGCCAATGATGGTTCCAAGAATGCCCGATTTCTCGATGTCTTCTTCGCATTCCTTGACCAGAGTAGCCAGCTGCGAGATGGGTACAGCCACATCGGTGGTCCAAACGTTCACGTCTGGCGATACAGTCTCACGACCAAATTTAAGTGTAGACCAGTAAAATATTTTTCTAGCAGCCCATAGTTCAGTCTTCTCGGTCTCGGACGTAGCGAATCTGAAATTTTGCACGTTGTGGTCCTTGGAGATGCGCTTCACGATCTTGACGGTTTCATCCACGAACACCTGCGAAGGTCCACCAACTTTGATAAAAAGAGTGGGTTTTTCGTCAAGCTTCTGAGATAATTGTTTGCTCTCGTTGACGCAGTAGACGGTCTTTGCATTGAGCAGCTCAACTGCATTGAGGGAGACTCCGCTGCGGATGAAGTCCTGGACTGCTCCAGTGGCCTCCTCAACCTTGTCAAATGCAATAACAGCAATTGACTCAGCAGCAGGTCTGGGATTCAGCTTCAAAGTGGCCTTGGTAACAATTCCAAGAGAGCCCTCGCTACCAATGAAAAGACTGGTGAGGTTGTAACCTGCAGCAGTCTTTCTTGGTCTTCTTCTGGTTTTGATGATGGAGCCGTCTGCCAGCACCACTTCAAGACTCAGCACGTTTTCTTTCATCGTTCCGTATCTGAAGGCGTTGGTTCCAGAGCAACTGGTGGCCACCATACCTCCGATCTGCGCACCTGGACCAGGGTCTGGTCCGAACAAAAGACCGTGTGGCTTCAGGAACTCGTCCAAATCTTGCCAGCCAACACCAGGCTGCAACGTGATGTCGAGATCACCTTTGTTGAACTCAAGAATGGCGTCCATGCGCGAGAAATCCAGCGTAAGTCCTTTGCGTGTGGAGATGTATTGGCCCTCTAACGACGTACCCCCACTGTATGGGATCACAGGAACGCGATATTTGTGGCAAACCTTCATCACTGTAGAGACTTCTTCGGTGGTTCCTGGGAATACGATTACCCGGGGTACTTCGTCTGGTTTGGCGTGGTGACAGTTGTATTCGGAGTCAGCATGCGATTGGAGATCGGGCTGGTCGCGCGACACATGTTCCGCACCCAGCAAACCCGCGATTTCTTCAATCGCTCTGTCAAATTCGGCATCAGAAGCATATTTTGGTGGCTCCAGATCTTCGAGAGGAGTGGTTGATGTTTCTGGATACAGGAAAGTTGGTGGACTGGCATATGCCCTCGAGTAACCAAGATAACCTCCAACACCGAAAAGCGCCAGCGATACCGCAATACCTGCCGGGGTGATCGAAAACGGAGTTGAAGACTTGCCTGAACTTTCAGACTTGTCAGACTCGGGCTGGGGAGCAGCTGAAGCCAGGGTCCTTGTTTGGCTTAAAGTGAGCGACTTTTGCACCGATTTGACGAGGGGCAGTCTCGTGGCCAAACGGCGGGAGCTGCGCATAAGCATTGGTTTTGATGATTACTGGTGGCTTGCAAGGATTCAACAGACACTCTAAACACAAAAAAACACTGAGTGGAAGGGCAGAAAGAGGGATTTGTCATTCGACCCCGGCAACGGCTCGAAAATGCTCCACAGCCAGACTCGACGAATTGCACGTGACCTGCTGGATCGGGTAAATGAACCGTGAGATCGGCCGCGATTGGGGAAATAGTGAAATATTATACGGATGGAGAAGCTGAGGGTTTAATGTCAGTTCAGATATATAACATTGCTTTAACAGGCTTGAATTGTCAGATAGGTTTGGACTCTGAATTACTGGAAATCTAGGATTTTTCATTATTTTGCCCAAATCCAGTAGTAGACGATGCTTAGATAGAGCATCACACGCAATTGTGGAAAATGCGTAAAAAGCCATCCTGTTTAACCAGAAATATCATTACTAGCCGAAATCCTTTTCTTCATATCTATCTAACCATCAAATATATAGAACAATCCAAGTTATCTCCCACAGATCAAGTATCGCTTTGTCCACACACTACTCGCAGTTCCCAACCCCAGATGCCATCCACGGCTCCACAAAAGAGACAAAAACCCAACATCAACATGCAGTCATAATCAGAGACCCCTAATAATCATGCCAAGCCAGTAAAATCCACACTGATCACCCCAAACCGCCCACCCACTTCAACTCCTCCCCTCCGCAGATTAGGAGCCCCGACCCGGGTAATGTTGCCTTTTCCAGATATTAAGCCCCACACTAAAGGCATCGCGAGCTTGAGACATAGAGCAACTTAGCCGATAGCCGCTTTTCTTGTTTGTAAAACAATCACAGCACCATACTTATGACGGAAAATGCAGCCGAAGAGGCCTCCGGCTTTGATGTTGTGTCAGAACAGCCGTCTACAATGGACATGAGATCGTTGCAGTACGTAGACCCATTGGACCACCTAACGTGCCCCATCTGTCAACTGCCCTTCATCACACCTTTCCAAACCAAGTGCGGCCATATATTCTGCAAATCGTGTATTCTGGAGACTTTCCGTTCCCCCATTGGCCAGAAGTGTCCGCTAGACCGGTCTCCGTTGCATTATAAGGAGGAAACTGATGGTGAAGCCAATATCGAAGAGGACGAATCTGCGGAAACGTCCACGGAGACGCCCAAGACCAGGGAAAATGACATATTTCCGGCGCCAATCATCATATCCAATATCACGGATGATATGCGAGTGCGCTGTTTGAATCTGGACCGGGGTTGTGAGTGGATTGGTCCACGCTGGTCGATCAAGACACATCTGTTACTAGACTGCGGCTTCACGCGGTTTGAGTGTAACAACGAGTTGGATGAAGAACCCATAAGTATTTGCAAGAAGCTGACCCAAAGAAGGTATCTAGATGGCTTGAATTCGTGCCCGCATAAGGAATATGGATGCCAGTTCTGCGGAGAGATGATAACCAAGCCTGATGAAGAGAAACATTTCACCAAAGAGTGCGATAAAAACCTGAAAAAGTGCAAAGGATGCCTCCTCGAGTTTCCTCTAAAGAGTGTGGAGCATCATGAGCGGTTTTGTGACAAGTTCGTGGAGAAATGTCCCGCTGCAAGCATAGGATGTGACTGGAAGGGAGCACGCGAGCTTCTGACACTCCACCAGGAAACGTGCATATTCACCCGGTTGAAGCCCATACTAGACGAGAAGGATAAAACTATTGGTCAGCTGAGGGAGTCAACCAGCTTTTTATCGTCAAAGCTCGAAATAATCCTTGATTCGATAGTTCAGGGCAAGGTGACAAATGTGGGGTTTCCTCTCCAATTGGACGAAGTATCTTCCTATTCCGGCCAGAGATCCAAGAGGGATTCAGAGGAAGACTATGTGCATCTTCTGATGGAGCTTGAAGGACTGCGGAGCGATTTTATGAGAATTCAGCCGTCTATATCTGCTCTGGAGGCTCAACAGCAGATGATCAGTGGACTTGTGGCTCAAAACACCCATCTTATGGAAGACATGAATAACCAGCGTATGGGGCTTAACAGTGTTCGTCAGCAGATTCAGTTCTTGCTGATGGACAGGAGACCGAGAGGCGGAATGATGGAGTCCCTGATGCCGCGGAATAGTGTCCCCAGTGTCGCGGCTACTGTGTCGAAGGAGAGTTTGAGCGATGACGAGGGATCTTCTGCAGGACGGTCGAATAAGCTGTAGATATGAAGTTGAGTGTTCGGACTTGGTTTTTGGGACTGGAATAGGACTAGTTGGGGTTCAGTTACTTTCTTTTATGGTAGTATCTGATTGGTTTTGGATGGTTTCACGCCGAATGATTCTCCAATAATGTTTTATTATGTAATAAATTTTCAATATTGTTTAATTGCTTTCAAAGAAAGTAGTAAGTGAACATTTTTCAGTTGCGGGTGATCACTTAACATCACCTCCCATTTAATTTCCACAACTCGAAACATCGCTTCTTGAGCTTTGCAGTATCAATAGTCTTGAATTTATAACCTTCCCAATGGACTCTTTTGAAGACCTGGTGATAATACAGGTGGAATTGCTCATCCACCAGAGCCTCATACTCGCTGCCGTGCTTCACATGCTCATATCGATCTCTTGAAAATTTGTGCATAACCAGATTGCTGTGATTTACACATCCCAAGGAATGACAACATGGTATGCCATTGAGTTCAAAATAGCCGCAACTACACACTGCACGAATTGCCTTGCCTTGGAAAATTTTAAGCACCACCGTTTGGTTCCGAAGCATGGAGTCCATTAGTGAAACCCTCGAGTTCACATAGCTCTGTTTATTGCCTGTTTTTGCAGAAAAGTCGCAGAAATGAGATTTCATTTCGTGTTTGATAGTTTTATCTGCTGGAGCCACCACCTCAAAAGTCTGTGTTGAGATAGAAGATGTCAAACCCGTCACTTCCAGAACACGATATTCGAAGAGCCTTGACCAAACCTCGTAAAGTGTCAGATTTGAGTCCGCTGTTCTGGTGAAAGTTCCCGCATAATTTGTATCCATAGCCAATTGAATCTTTTCAAGCGAAACATTTGCAAGATCAAGAACCAGACTTACCGCATCCAGGCGCCGTTGCTGCTTGATCTGGTAGTTGATGCTCTCTGCGGCGTTGGAAGTCACAATCTCGTATCTCTTGATTTTTGCGGCGACTTGTGCAGCAGCACAGTATGGGGTTAATGAAGATAATGCTCGGGTTAATTGGTCTGCCCCAGTGGTTTTCAGAAAACTATAAGCACGTTTAATATCGTACTCGTGAACTATATTCCAAAATGCGTCTTTCACCGTGCGGCTTTTATCGTTGGCACATGACTTCATCAGCAAGCGCTCAGCATGTTTAGAGCACAGAAGCACGTTATTTTGCTGAAATACAACTGCTAGTGCTTCTGATATTCCCTTATCACCATCAGTCATGAACACGAACCGATCATGGTTTACACTCACACATGGATGTCTTGCTCTGAAGCGTTCCAGGAAGAAAGTCCATGCTTCTCGCGTCTCAGCGGGAGAAATTCCATAGGCCAATAGCTGAGTTTTTCTGTTTGCTGTCATAATTACAGCGGTTAAAAGTACCCATCTATTTTTAATGTTGGAGTTTCGACTCATAGTGTGGGTTCCGTCCAAGGCTATCACGGGTAGAACCATATTCGACTGGAGGATGTGGTCGGAAACTGGGACCTCGCAGTAGGCTTCAGCAACTGGAAACTGACTAACAGAAAATTGGGGCTTTCTGATGTTATCTTTGACCATGATTCCAGTCTGAGTCTCAAATCCCACCGAGATGAAAAGCCCCGAGTCCTTGGGTGGAATAGCCAAAAGTGATGCTAGCATTCCAAAAGAGAGTTTCCGGTTGATCAAAGAACTTCCGTAGTGCTTGGAAAAATCCACCGCAAGGCTTGTCGCTGCTTTTTGGATTTTAGAGTCCGACCATTTGAGAAGTCGCTGAAGAGAACCTGCTTTGCCAGAACTGAAACCAACCAGATACAGGAGTACCTTCTTGATATTGGAGCTCAAATGTTGATTTTCACTGGGATATGCCACCATACTTTTTGAAAGAAGAGCATATTCGAAAAGCGCTTCGATTGTTGAGTTCGAAAACAGTCTGGTCACTCCTTCCACTCGCATGAATATGAGAAGTGCTTGAGGGTCACCGCCAAATGTGGCAAGAACCTGCCTCAGTTTGTTAACGACAGATCCAGAAATAGGTGAAAATGGTTCAGAAGCAGAACCAGCTCGCTTAAGTTTCTGTTTCTGTCTTTTAATCATTTTTTTGGAGGTGGTGGTAACAACTCGTTCAGGATCGCACTTCCAATGGTGCTGGACTTTGGCCAAACAACACTTGCTGCCACAGCACAGCAATCTCACCACATCTTTTGAACACAGACTACAACACAAATAAATAGAGTATTCATCTGCGTCTGGTTTCACATTCTTTCTCGAGGTCACTAACACCACATGGAATCTGTGGAGGAAGAACGCAGAAACCGCTGATTTAGCGTGTTGCATGGAGTCGTATATGTCTCCCTCTTCAACAATAAGAGTATCCAAATAGTCCAGAATTTCAGTTTCTGGAAGCTTGATTGTTCTGAAAGTGTTTTCCACCAACTGGGTGCTGATAAACTGCGAGGAGTCTGAAAGAGAGTTGAAGCTGTCATCTGAGTCCTCTCCAAAATTGATGTCGTGACTGTTCATCGTGCGAATTTCCTGAAAAGCTTTGAGTTAAAATATATGAAAATTAAGATCAAAAATTCTGCAATTGAATTCATCTTGTAATGATCTTCTTCGACGTCAAATTACGTCCACCGTCCCCTTTGAATGTTAACGTGGTGGGAGACCTCCAACAGAAATCTAAAAAAATCCGAGACCCGACCGAACCGCACGCTACAAAAACAAACTATATAAGATGAATAATGAAAAGGCTCATTTGTTCTTTCATTCTGTTAGTGTTAAGAATGAAAAAAAATCAGCCGTGCGGGCCAATGCGACTGAGAAACTAATATGCACTGTAGACGGTTGCATTCACAAATGGTTAAACCATCCGTTTTCAGTGTTTGAATGGACACCGTAGGATTCCAAAGCACAAGAATAATGATATCTAGAGTATAATACATTAAAAAGTCAAAAATGGGCCGAAAGAAAGACCGTATTGCGTATCTTGATTTATCGCCAGTCAGTGCGGCGCTACTTCGTAAATTCTGGTTTTCGTTCTTTTTCAAACAGATCATTCATTATTCATTTATTTGTCTGCCTTTCCATCCGGCTTAGGATCAGCTGGCTTCTTTCGCTTCTCATCAACCTGCTCGACGCTTACTTCGTCAAGTCCCTTCTCCTTCAACAACTTCAGCAGATGCTGTTCGATCTCATCGGCCACATCACCCTGGACTACGATCTCGTCCTTAACCACACTGGCACCGGTTGCAAACTTACTGGCAAACTGCTTGGCCATCTTCTTGATATCAATATCGGCACCGAAGACCTCCAGACCCTGGATGGCCACACCACGCTTGCGCTTCGTTCTCTCAAAGATCTTGAGCGTGATCTTGGAGGTCTTTTTAATCTCCAGCTCACGCTCGTGCTTTTTGGCCTCCTTCAATTGCAATTTGGCCAAATCCTTGGAGATTTTGGCTTCGTTGGCACTCACTATCTTGGTCTCCGAGTTATAAATTTCGTTGTAGAGGTCCTCGTCATGCTCCTTGAGCCAGTCTTTGCATCTCGGCAGAGAAGCTCCAAATTCGCAGTACTCGAGTGGAAAAGTACACACTTCGCAATATTTAACCTCAACGGCTTGTAATTCTGACATTGTTGAGAAGATATAGACGTTTGTGATGGAACAGGTTGTTGAACAGATGCAGAGAAATAGAGACTTGGCCGAGGCCGTTAATAGCGGACCAGAGCTACATAACCCAGGATATTAGGACGGGAATTGGCTTGGTGATCTATTTATCAGACAGAAAACGGTTTCGTTTAAAGGGTGGCAATTTGATCAGCAAGATGAAGCCAATCGCTAGTTGCTGATATGAATATCGGCTATTGCACCGTTTTGCAATACAGCACGTTGAACGCAACGCTCAGTCTGGAATAACCCATCATGGTATAGAGATCGATGCTCCGGCATTGCCCTCAGACAAACATGCAGCAGACTCCAAGACACACTGATACCAGTCCCACAAATATATCCTTTGAGTAAATTTGAAATAATCCCTGCCCGGACCGATATAGCACTAGAATTGTCACCCAGACTGCACGCAGAATGGTAGTGCACCAACAAAATCTTTTGAGAGAACGCGTCTTTTGGCTCATAAGCCTTGCCAGTTGGCCTTTAATCAGTTGTAAATGCCAAAAATGATTATTTCGTGGGCATAAGAAGCCCTGTTTCCTCATTTGGTCACGAAATCCTCTCCCGAACTTCCTGTTTTGGCGTAGTGCTCATTTCCCCCACACACACACTTCGAGGCCTCAGGGGTTACCCGGTGCATCACGACCAGCCATCGGTCTCGAGAAGTACGTTTGAACAAACCAGATCCGCCTGTGTATCCTCCATCCAGCCAAACAATTTGAAAGTTGACCGTTTGAAATAACCTCGAAAAGAAATGTCGTATGCAGGATTGACGGTTGTGCAATTGAAGGAGAAGTTGAAGGAGAAGGGACTTTCTACCAGCGGTGTCAAATCGGACCTCGTAGCTAGACTCACCGAATCCGACGGTGCAACAACGGCAGAAGCACCAGTGGAAGCCGCAAAACCCGAGGAGACTGTTCCAGTTGTGGCTGCTCCAGTGGAAACTCCCAAGGCTGCGCCAGTGGCTGCTGCAAAGAAGACAGAGTCAGCTGCGGACGCGTCACCCGCCGTGGACCCCAAGACACAGGCCGTGGAATTGCTTGAGGTGAAGGCCAAGCGGGCCGAGAAGTTTGGCGACCAATCTGAGGCCGATTCTTTGAGAAGAACGATAAAGAGAATCGAGAAGTTTGGCCTTTCGAAGGAAAATCCAATTTACAAGGAGCTGTTTGGTGCCAGCAAGGCGTTCAACAAGGCTCTCCCCAACAAGACGATCAAGGCGAAGAAATGAAACCAAAAGCTGAGAGAACAATCAAAACCAAGATATTTTTTTCCCTAGACCCCAGGCCCTATCAAAGCCCAGAGCCTTTTCTCTCACTCCTTCCCCAATTCTGAACCCGTTCACTCCAATTCATGATTTCCAGTACCCAGAAGATCTCTTACCGCAAAAGTCCGATACAAGTCTCGCCATTGTTCCATTTAGCCTTATAGTCGATGTAAAATAGAACAGTGTTTCCAGATCTCAGCCGCACATAAATGTAGCATGTTAGCACCGCCATGACACCGCCACAGATGCTCCATAGAACAAACCCCCAGACTAACGACATTTCACCAAAATATGCCGAAAAAAGTGAGGAAAAAGGACAGATCGGATATAATCCTACATATTGCAAATGTAGCCTTTTTTTCCTTCCAAAAAACGGCCATTCTCACGGCAATTCCGATGCGTTATCTCGCTTATCGCCCAAAATGCCCCGCCTCAATGCAAGAATTATGATATCACACGCCTTATCATCCCCCTTTCCGGAGAAAGCCCCTGATTCAACAGCCTGATCTGGGCTTTTACTGTATTTCGAATTGCAAAACAACCGGAGGAATTTGCTGATTCGAGCAAATTGAGCGCCCGTGCTTCCGTTTAATCGGGAATCTTGTGTACTTTCGTGTTTCTCGCTGAAAGACACAGATTCTGGCAGAGAGCCTAAGATAAGGATCGTAGCTCGCTTGGAACACATCACAATCGCAGCTAGAACGCCCGCAACAGGCTGTAATTTTTGGCTATGGATGACGGAATGGCCGTTGAAACCGGTGGGAATTTGGTGGATTTCCAGATCTACAATTTCGAGGTCTTTAACCTGCCGCAGAAATGCAACTGGAAACAGCTGCGCGACTTGATGACCACATTTCTCCACCCCTCGCAGCGGGGGTTGGTCCTTTCGGTTCGCGTTTACAAGGACCAGGAGTTCAAGTGGGCCGTGTGTGCTGTGCGGTCCTACGAGATTGCTGTGACCAGCGTGGGGAACCTGAATGGACTCACGTGGTTTGGATCTACGCTGGCTGTGTCCAATATTGTACCGCAATATCCCAGCTACGACTACTATTATCCCATGTACATGCCGATGTATGGCCCGGGAACCACCACGCCGACTGAGTCGCTGGTGGAGGTCCAGACACCGCCAAACAACTACCGTTACCGTCACTCCGACCCCGAGGTGATCCCCTCGACCGGGTTTTCCAGCCACGAAAACGTTGATCCCAAGAAGCTCTTCATTGGAAACATTCCGTTCTCCTCCAGCGAGCAATCCCTCGCGGCATTTCTGAACGAGGAGGCCGAGGGAGTGAACATCGAGGTCCAGCTTCAACTCAACGGAACATCCAAGGGCTACGCCATTGCATCCTGTGCTTCTCGTGAAGATGCGGAAAGACTGATAAAACGATTTGACGGAGCTGAATTCGAAGGTCGTTGTCTCACTGTCCGCTACGACAAGTTGCCGCAGTTCATCCAGCGACTTAACCCATACCGAATGGGCTACCCTGGAGTCTATCCTCCCGCTCCACCCACCTTCCCAGCACCTAACTACGTCCCTGTTCAACAGCCCTTTGCAGTTGAAGAGGTACCTCGGTCTGAAAAAGATCGCAATGATATTGAGAAGGAGGAAGCGCAGGTTGCGCGCGAGCTCGTGAACGCGTTGCGGACGACGAGATAGCGAAACTGACGAGGAGTTTTGATCTTTTTTCACGTTGATATTTTCGGTGGTCTGTTTTTGGGTTTTTTTTATTGATACGTTTGGTATGAACTGGGCTCGAGCGTGATCTATTGTGGAATTATCTGGAGAGTTTGTCTTCAGTATGGACGACTGGACTTTGGCCTGGATTTGGTCAAGTCCCATTAATTCTGAGCCTGAACATAGATGCAATCTTGAATATGCTTTTGGCGTGGTTTGGCTTTCATTTTGACCAAGGATTGACTGAGTTTGGGCCCAGTTCCGTCCCGTTTTGGCCATGTTTGGCGCATTTTTGGAGCATTTCCCACACTCCCAGCCCATTTCTGCTCGTTTTCCTCACATTTATTCGTTTCCCTGCTTCCTCTTGCTTCTGCCTGATTTCTGCCTTTATTGCTCTGTTCATCTGTTTTCCACCGAGTTCTTCATTTTCCGTTTTTTCATTTCCGCTCTGCCGTTTTTTACTCTGTTTTCGTTCAATTAAACCTCGTGGTTTTCTATGATTCAACATCTCTCTATACTATTTACCGTCGCATTTCAACCCTTTCACGTAGACCATGGGCCTTCTATTCAAGCTGATGGTGCTGCTTCGTGTGGGTCTGGGGCTAGCCATATCCATTGAGATGTACGACTTCCTCGACCACCAGGCCTCTCTAGCACAAATTGCATATTGCATCAATGGGAAAGGCGGACTGAGAAGAGGACCCGATTCAGAGCTCATTTTCCCCTCGCAATTGGACACATCTGTTGATGCTAACGAGACCCTTGGGGAACAGCGAAGATACACCCTGGAGACAATCATTGACCCAGGCTCCGGGTACGTCCTGGTGGACCATCTTTGCTGCACAATCCACCTTGTTTTCAGAGGCTCCAAGACCCAAGATGATTGGCTATCGGACGCAAGTTTCTTGCCATCGAAATTCGAACCCATTGTTCTGAAAGAATCCGCTTGGAAAGAGGTCTGGGGCTATCCGTTGGCCTCAGCAGCAGTAGGGCTAATGAGTCCCTCACAAGCCCTCGCGAAATGGTCCGAGGTGTTTGAAGAAGGGTTTTGGGTTCATACTGGATTTTTTGCGACTGTTGAGCGGATACTACCGGTTGTTTTGGGAGCTGTGGTTAAAGCACAAGTAAACAACCACGGCTACACGGTCGAAGTGACGGGTCATTCGATGGGTGGCGCAGTCGCCCTTCTCTGTGCAATTGAGTTTGATCTGGTGGGCATGCAAGTGGGCGTCACCACGTTTTCGGCGCCGAGAACGTTTTCACCCAAACTCGCGCGGTTTGTGGACTCGAGGTTTGTCCACAGAAGAGTAGTTCATGGGGGCGATATTGTGCCATACGTTCCACCGCGACCAATATATGGACATAGTGGAACTGAGATGTATGTTGCGAAGAAAGGGTTGCCGCATGCCGCAAGCGATGTGGCGGTGAGAGGTGGAGGTGGGGAAGCGCAGAACGCGGAAGCGCAGGATGCAGACAATGAGGACGAACTAGTGGAATCCACCGGAATAGGCGAACAATTGCTCCATAGAATCAAAAAAGCTCTTGGATCTGCGGAACATTCCAATTTGCTGCGACAGTTGAGCCAATGTGCAAGGTTGTAGAGACTAGAATTGAAAAATCTCAATCTCAACGGCCCCTTCGTCTGCAAATAACCTCTCCACCTCGAAATCGGTATCAATAAATTTCCCAGAACGCTTGTTGCGTAATCGCAGATACTTTGGCGAAACGATGGAAAATAGCGACCTGGCGTTTTCCAATAGTTCCAAAAGTGTAGGCGGCGAGTTTGACTTTGCCAAATAAGAAAATTGCAAAGTTTTGTTAGCGAAGCGCAACTCCACCGTCTTGGAGGTGGGTTGCGAAGTTTGGTTTGCAGCGACAGCATCTGTAGCATCAGTAGCATTTTCCTTTTCATCTGAGACTGATGGAGCATTTGGACGAATTGCCAGAGGGTAATCGCGAATGATGGTGCATCTGAAAATCTCACCTAACGGCGTCAGAACGTAATCATACCCGAAATCCTTGATACATCCACCAATAAGTTTTTTGAATAGCTCGGCTGCAAGGTAGTCGTTCAATTGAGTCACCTCAAACGAGCCGTCGCCAAGGCTTTTTAATATTTGTGCCAGCATGGAGTCGCTGGACAGTTTCAGGCGGATATAACTGGCTGAACTGGGCGATACATTGTCGAAATGCTGTTCTATTGTGAGAATAACCGAAGACGCGATAGCGGAGTTACCAAGATTTTCAAGCACGTCGCCCCTGGTAGCCTCGTCAGACGTAGTCGTGAGCTGGAAGCACGTTTTCGACCGTTTGAAGCAGGATTGTAACTTTGCAAGAGCCTTGGTCTCGCGAGTGCTGGTGTTGCTGGGCGAGGTTATGTTGGAGAGGAAGTGGTCACTGTTGGTTCGCACCATGCTCAGCACAGGTGTGATCAACGAGCTTATTGCTAGTCGTGACGCAGTCTCCGTGATATCCGCTCGCGTATCTTCAGTCCCAAAGTCCACAAATTCGTCCGGCTCAGCTGTTGGAGCTGTGGTCTTTGCTGGCGATGGAACCCTCGTATCAGTCCCAGAATCTGCCGTCGTCTCAGCAGAGCTGGCAGTCACCTCAGGAGTTTCCAGATGAACAAATCGGTCAGTCCGAGCCTTCTTGGATCTCTTCCGATTTCTCCGAGCACTTTGCACAGCGCATCGTACCAACCGATCAAACTCTGGTAGCCTATCAACGGGGTATTCAAACTCCCTCAGTAACTGGAGAGCACAACCACTAATCTCAGCATCCTGTTCACTTGCCTTTTTGGAACTGAGTTCCAGCCGGTCGATCAATTCGAGTCTCCTGGCAGAGAAGCGCTTCCACTGTATCTCGTCTACGAAGTTGAGTCTTTGACGGATCAACTTGGTCACGCCTGCCCTATCACCCTGTAGCGACCACGCGTTCATGTGAGTGAGCAATAAAAAAAATGAAAATATGAAAACAAAAAGTGACACAACCCCCTGATATCGACCCAAAAATAAAAGCAGGAACAACGCAAGCTACCCAATTTCAAGCGATGGCGACCTGCGCGCTCATGCCGAGGCTCACTAGCGCGATGAAAATTCAAGGCATCCCTCACGGTGGCTTTGAATCCAGAACGGCACGGCGCTGCGCCGAAGCCGCGACTTTGCTGCGGGCACCTGAACCATCTCTGCAATATGCACCGATTTATTGAGGACTGGGGTTACCCGACTGCGGCGGGATGCCGGCAATACGAGGGTTTAGTACGAGATGGCCAGGGGTGGTGATAAATAAGTGGGATGAAGGACCCTCGGATGGGTTGCAATACTGAAGAGTCAAATAAGGTTTGGGGAATGAAACCGGAAGGTGACTTCGCAGGCGCAGGTCACTTACGACGGTGACTACCTTTAGATTATAGGCTGATTTTGCAGGACTTTAATATGGACCATGTTCTTAATATATATCTATTGTCTGGAGATCCCCTCTTCCTTATCCTTTATGTCCACAGCTTGCAACAATAGCCCTACACACATCACATTGGTCTCTTCGCCCAGGGTCTTCTCCCTAGCCATCGGGCTTTGACACGACATGCCGCATAGCCGATAGCCGATAGCCAGTTGGTTAACACACGCAAACATGAGTCTTCTAGAGTCTTGGAGTCTTGGCCGCGCAAGGTGTGTAGTGCACTACCACCACTTGACATCACATGACAGAGTTCGGCACGACCTCCGGGTGTGGGGCAGCTGCTGGGGATCCGGGGAAAAGGGCAGACGGAAGTGTTGACAGCACATTGCACGAGAGCCGTTAGTCCTTTACTCGGGGTGACTGTCCCGGGGAAATCTGAAGGCCGTGTCGATTCCGAGCACATGCTTGGTGGTATAAATATGGGCTGGATTCTGGGGTAGTTATGGAGCTGGATTGAGAGAGCAGAAAGAGTGGAAGAAAGCGAAGTCTTATTGTTGACACAACAGAGCTAGTTCAAGACAACAAGTCCTTAACTGCAAATTCATTGCTAAGACTCGTTTACTACTGATTAAAAGATCCCACCACATCCGCAATGCCTTACTCAAAGATAGACATCGACAAGGAAGAAGCTGATTTCCAAGCAGAAATCCGCGAAATTGAAGAATGGTGGTCTCAGCCTCGCTGGAAACAGACCAAAAGAATTTACACAGCAGCTGAAATTGCCAAGCGTCGTTCTTCTATTCGTGCTCCATACCTGTCTAACCAGCTAGCCCAGAAAGCATTTGCCCAGTTCGAGAAGAGAGATGCAGATAAGTCGGTCTCATTCACATTCGGAGCACTTGATCCTGTCCAAGTTGCGCAGATGGCCAAATATTTGGATACAGTTTATGTGAGTGGATGGCAATGTTCTTCCACAGCCTCCACATCCAACGAACCATCACCGGATCTTGCTGACTACCCCATGGACACCGTCCCCAATAAGGTAGAACATCTGTTTTTTGCGCAGTTGTTTCATGATCGCAAACAGCGCGAAGAAAGACTTTCACTTCCTGTTGCCGAGCGCGCAAAACTGAACTATATTGACTTCCTCAGACCCATCATTGCTGACGCAGACACTGGCCATGGTGGTATCACAGCTATCATCAAACTCACCAAGATGTTCATTGAAAGGGGAGCTGCGGGAATCCATATCGAGGACCAGGCTCCTGGAACCAAGAAATGTGGTCACATGGCTGGAAAAGTGCTGGTGCCAGTTCAGGAACACATTAACCGTTTGATAGCGATTCGTACCAGTGCAGACATCTTCGGGTCGGACTTGCTCTGTGTTGCCCGGACTGATTCTGAGGCTGCGACTCTGCTGACATCTACCATCGATCCTAGAGATCATTACTTCATTATTGGTGCTACAAAGGATGTTACTCCTTTGGCAGAAACCATGGCTCTAGCCGAGTTGCACGGTGCTTCTGGTGCGGCCTTAGCTAAGGTTGAAACTGACTGGATCGAATCTGCAGGACTAAAGCTTTTCCACGAGGCAGTGGCAGATGCCATCGAGGCTAGTGATTTTACGGCCAGTGAAAAAGCTGCTGGACTCGAGAAGTTCAACTCCAAGGTTGGTCCTCTGACGTTGACTCCTAACCGTGAAGCTCGCGAATTAGCCCGTGAAATTTTGGGCAAGGACATCTTCTTTGACTGGGACTCTCCCCGTGTTAGGGAGGGCTTCTATCGTTACAAGGGTGGAACCCAATGCGCTGTGATGAGAGCCCGTTCATACGCGCCATACGCTGATTTGATCTGGATGGAGTCCAAATTGCCTATCTACGAACAAGCCCGTGAGTTCGCAGAAGGCGTCAAAGCGCAATTTCCAGACAAATGGTTGGCGTACAACTTGTCGCCTTCTTTCAACTGGAATGCTGCCATGTCGCCCAAGGAACAGGAGACATACATCTCTAGATTAGGCCAATTAGGATACGTTTGGCAATTCATCACCCTTGCAGGACTTCACACGAACGCCCTTGCCATTGACGAATTTGCCAAGAACTATGTTGAGATCGGAATGCGTGCTTATGGCCAGACGGTCCAGGCTCCTGAGATTGAAAAGGGGGTTGAGGTTGTGAAGCACCAAAAGTGGTCCGGAGCTGAGTACATTGATGGTATTTTGAAGTTAGTCACTGGCGGTGTTTCTTCTACAGCAGCTATGGGTGCAGGTGTTACAGAGGACCAATTCAAGGGGAAATAGTTCGGAGAAATTAGTTTTATACAAAATTTTGACTCAAAGCATCGTAGAATGACTCAAACTTCAATATTAATTTTAGATAAGTCACATTTGATAGGGTTCCTGTGTGGTTTGGTGCATATCTGCAGGTAAATGTGGATCTCAGACATTACAGCATCTTAACTCTTGGAGCATGCAGGAAAAGATCACTCGCTTGAATGCACCTTTTGTTCTAGAAGCTTTTAACCTGCACAAGCCTCAAAACTTTTATGCCTAACCAAAGCAGTCCTTCGTTCCTCACTTTAGTTTCACGGGTATGTTATCACTATCGAGTATTTTTACTTTTCAGTTGTTTGAATGGTTTATTTGAACGGCAATTCTCATGTAAATTTGCATGTTCTTACTATCACACACAAAGTTGCGATATATTTCTTTATTCGTCACTCGTATTAGGCTTGAACCTGTAGATCATCCATGCTGTTAACATTGTTCATCGTATGCTCTTATAAGGCTGTGATTTTTCACCTCATTCATTTTATAATCATTTTTGCAACTTTTGCATTTTGAATACGATCTATCGGACCGGCCCCTCTCATGCAATCGTCCCAAGACTCCATAATAACACCTGGATCAAAAATTGGAGACTCCAGAAACCGACCTTACGGGCACGCTCAACCTTCGCAGTATCATCTGCAACATATTCCACGAATGCATCGTAAACCTCGGCCTGCAGATCGTCCATCAACAGACTGTCGTAAATGGTCCAGGAACCATCGAAATCGTCCACCTTTTTGACTATGCGACATCTGATAGGGATGTACGTGCGTCGTGAGTTGATGTACCCAACAATCGGGCGAATCAATGCATTGTTGATATACGACAGTTCTCCATTGAACAATGGCACAGCAGCTCGAGGATTGTTGATGCGTAATTGGAAGTCTAACACCAAATAGTCAGAAACGCTTCCACGCGGGTTTTGCCTCTGTTGCTGCTGTTCTGGACTCAAACGATAACGTCTCGCTTCTTTGGCAATGCTATCAGCAACTGTCTTAAGCAGTTCGGCCACATTGGGTTCGTCTTCTTCGGGAACCATCACATCGCCGATCATGTCAACTGTTCCCTGTGTGATCCAGCCAAAAGGACCCTCTACACCGGCATTGAGGTGGTCTAGGTTCAAGTTATCAACCCTCAAACGGGTAACTCGTCTCCAATTCGGAACCCGAGAAGTACCGGTGCCATCGACAATATCATCAGACCCAAAATCGTCAATGCGCTGTTTTTTGTGAATCGTGAACAGCGAATCGTCGTAGGATCCACTCACGTTATTGGAGTTCAGGATATCAAAGAAGAGCCAGTTTTTGCGGAAATGGGGAAGATCACCACTGAAAATGCTCACATTGAATGGCCGGAAGCCATCCGGTTGTTTAAGGGTAAAAAGAACATCCTCCATCTTGAAGTTTTCAATCTCCCAGTCACCAGGCCGATGTATATTCTTGTAATTTGTGGCTAAATCGCCTGGGACCCAGTAAACATGAGTACGATCAACAACTCCACGCAGCCCCTTCATCTCCACTTCCTTCAAAATGCCCTTTCCGTTGAACCATTTGCTAAACGAAAGCGATACGTTTACCTCCTCGATGGTAAGATCGAACTGCGTGTAGTTACCATCGTCCGCTTCCTCCTCGACACCTTTTTCAGTAGGTGGTAAAGCTGCAGCCGCAGCAGCACTAGCCTGGGACCCTTTCTTGAACTGCTGCGTTCCCTTTGGGCGTTTACTAACGAAGCACTTCCTGAAGCTGATCTTCCCTTCTCGCCATCCCGGAACGATAGCGTTCTCAAAAACAACAGTTAATCCGATATTCCGCGTGAGAAAGTTTCCCACTGCCTGTGCAACCAATTCCTGGGCAAATACTGTGTTTATGGTGAATAGCACCAGCGAGAAGAAGGTGGTCGTACCAATGGCCAACAGCACCATATTACCCGCCACAAGCCAAGAGAAAAATGCGCTGAAGTCATCTGTGTTGAAAGGACGCTTCGATCTTTTCAAATACCACTTGGACCGCGCATAGAAACGGCTAAAGGGATTAGTGGCTGACCTTAGCATTTCCTCCTTCGTGGTCCATCCTCGCACCTGTTCGGTGGCATCCGGAGCTTTCTTGGAAATATGCTTATTCTCTTCACCTGATCCCGCCTGGTGTGAATTCCATCTCAATTGGGCAATTATCGGCGAGCGAAATTGGCTTGTAGATATGCAAGTTATCCTCGTAGACCTCATGCCAGCGTTTCCTGTCAAACCCCCAGTAACTCCAACCCAGGGCCTCGATCGAAGCCCAAACCCGACTTCTGCGAGAGCCCCTCGTGCCAGACGTCTTATGGGTGACCTTAAAATCATCATCTCATTATAATGCCTTTGTTACTTAGTAGGACAGGAGTTAAATTGAAACAAGACAGCTTTTGCAGGCGAAAATTTGGGCGATGGGGTATTGGGGAGGCCACTTCCTTTTTGGGGTTTTTTATGGGGAATGGAAAATCGCCGGTTGCGGCTTTTGAGACCGGTAACGGCATATGTTTTGGTGAAAAACGGAAAATTGGGGGAAACTGAGTTAATACAAGGCATGCCCAACTATGGAGAAGCCATTTATGAAATCTAAGATATCTGAATACCACAATCCCAGAGTGTTGTGGAGACTACTATACATTACCTACCAAAGCCCTTGCTCGACATGGACTTCTCCAAAGAGTCCATAACAAACTCTGACGTCTGCCTGTCCTTAAAACGTTTGTTTCTGTCAATCTCCACAACCTGGACGTTCCATTGCTTCACCGTAGCCGGCACCGTGTCACCAGCGTAGTGCACGTAGAAGCCCTTCACTTTCTGGAACAAAACGTTAGGATCGGGGTACTTGAAGCTCTTGAACTGCCATTTCTGGCCGGTTGTGAACACTGCCACAACACGGTCCCAGTACTCTGGCTTCGTGAAAAACTTCTCCACATTGTCCACCACCAGGAACTTCACTTCTTTACCAAACCGCTGGCTCTTGCGCTGCAGAATCAGCATGTTGTTGGACGATACTTGAACCTGAGTGGGGTCCACAAATTTTCCCAGTTCTAGGAAGTCCTTGATGTTAGCCATGGTCATCAAGGCAGACGCAGCAGGTGACAGAATGATGATAGGGTCCTTGCGTTTGTGTCTGTCCGCGGAGGAAGGAGTTTTGACAACAGCTGTTTGCTTCCGCTGTTGCTGCTTGAGTGGCCTAATGATTTTGTTCTCGCAATCTTTGGCCACAGAGGAGAAATCAATGGGCTTTCCGCCTCTCAAAGCACGGTTGTGGTCAATCAAGTTACGCTCATTGGCAAGAATCTCGGCCAAGAACGGGTCCTCAACTTTGCGCTTCTTTGGCTCAGGTTCGGAGCTCTTTGCAGACGTCTTTCCCGTGACGTATTGACACGTAGAGGACGATCCTGTTAACCACGAGATCAGCTCCGTTCTCTCCAAAAAGCTGATAATCGGTATTTTCTTCGATTCACATTGCGACACATAGTCTGTTGTACTGAGAGCCTGGCACACCAAACAATGGTACACAGTCCTCAGCAAATGATCCGTAGATTCGCCCGAGGCCTTATCCTCAGTGACGAACTGGGTGGGTTCGTCCAAGCCAAACACCTCGTCTCCAACACGAAGTTCGGTTGCATCCGCTATATCATCCACGGGTTCCAGCTTTACCTGGTCCCGTTTCTTCTTGCTAATGAACTCTCGTAGCTTTAAAATAGACGACGACATGGGTGGATGTTGCAGTAGAGTGTTTTAGTTGGAAGAGGAGCTGGTCAAAGGTATCAGATGTCCAGTAGTAGTGAGGGATGTGCACGACCTTTTAAATTGGTGAAAACACTACAAAATCCAAGATGCCGGTGAAACATTTCGAACCACAAGCCGGCATGAATGTACTCCACAGCAACTTGCTCACTTTTTCACTAGCAATGTTTAAGCTCAGAAGGAGCACACAGCTTCTTATACGGTGTCACTCGACGACTTCCACGAAAAATGCCTCCATTGGACAGCGGCAGCAGCTGTTCATGGTAGACGAGGCTTCTCCCGGATCAGTGTTCTTCCTGCCGCATGGAACACGGATATTTAACAAGCTTGTTCAGTTCATGAAGGTTCAACAGGCGAGATATGGCTTTCAAGAAGTGATATCGCCACTCATATACAAAAAAGCGCTATGGGAGACTAGCGGACATTGGGACAAGTACAAAGAGGACATGTTCAAGGTAGAAGGTTTCGAGAACAACGATTGTGATGGTAATCACACATACGGGCTCAAACCCATGAACTGTCCGGGGCATTGCGTGATATTTAACAGTACTTTGCGGAGTTACCAGGACTTGCCTGTTCGGATGTCTGATTGGTCTTCACTGCATCGCAACGAAGCCAGTGGAGGGCTCACTGGACTTACGCGTGTGCGGAGATTCCACCAGGACGACGGTCATATATTTTGTACTCGTCAACAAGTTGGCGAGGAGATTGCAAAGAGTTTGAGACTTGTTAAACTGGTTTACGGTGTTTTTGGCATGGACAACTACCGCATGACATTTAGCTCTAGACCTGATGAACACATTGGATCTGAACAGGAATGGGACGAAGCCGAGCATCAATTAACTTCGGTGCTCGATGAAGTCGTTGGAAAAGAGAATTGGAACACTCGTGACAAGGATGGGGCATTTTACGGACCCAAAATCGACATCCTGCTGAAGGATAACTTCGGCAAAGAACATCAGATAGGAACCATCCAACTTGATTTCCAATTGCCCGCTAGATTTGGACTCAAGTACAAGGGCGAAGATGGGGAACTGCACCAGCCAGTCATGATCCACAGAGCTGTTTTTGGATCTGTTGAACGGTTTTTGGCGCTTCTGATCGACCACTTTGATGGAAAATGGCCGTTCTGGCTGAGCCCTCGTCATGCAGTGGTCATCCCAGTCAACGAAACCCATAAGGAATATGCGCAAAAAGTTGCTGCCTCAATTTCAGGCGAATTGCTCGAAGCATTGGATGCTCCTGCTATTCTCGAGTCGCACAGATTCAACGTTGATGTCGACAATCGTAGCGATACCGTGGGGCTGAAAACGAGAGAGGCTATAGTCAAGGGATACAATTACATCATTATAGTTGGTGATAAGGAAGCTGAGGCTGGAAAAGTGGCCATGAGGAGTCGTGATAACAGAAAAATCGAGTTACTTTCACCAGATGAGGTGAGAAATATGTATATAAAGCTGGAGGAGTCGTTTGAATGAAAGAAGAAATACAGAGAAAGCTGGGAATTGAATAAATAATTATTACCGTGAATAATTGTCAAATCAATAAGCTTAGCAACAGCAGTTTGCAAGAGTTAACTTGCTATTCATTTTGCGCTAACGAACCTGTCTCTCATTTCCATTAGTGAATTATCATTAGGGAATACCAACACCAGACTTCCGACTCAATTTTTCGCTTTGTCCCCACTCATGAAATCATCATATCCATCATATCCACCATTAACCCCACCACTCAATACCCAAGAGGAACCTTCAGAGTGTACGAAGTCAGAAACGGCAACGACACAACCAGTATCGTGTAACTGAAGATATAAGTAAGAGCTAGAGAGTCAATCTGTATTCTCTCTTTCGAAGTGGCTGGCATGTACAATGCTGTGATATAAATCATTGAAGTAGCTGGAGGCAATCCCCAGGTGATTGAGCAGACAAACTCGAGAATCTTATCGTCGTAAAATAGCCCAATCTTCTTGAATCTGTGATTGAGAAGACTGCCAATAACTGGGAAAAGTATCAGTCTCATGAAAACCAACGCCAGAGGAATACGGAATGCTCTTTTGTCGATTCCTTTGATTTGAAGTCGCGATATGGTTCCGCCCAGAAGCAGCAGTCCCAAAGGCACCTGAGCCGCACCAACGTAGCTGGTGAAGTCCATGATAAAACTGAGAGGTGGCTCCGAGTCTGGGGCATCTGGGACTGAGGCCTGGGTATTATGAACAAACAGAGCACGAACCCAAGGGATCATGGAGAAGCAAACACTGACCACCATGACTATGGAGATGGGCTTGAGACAACTGAGACCAATCATCTTGAGTGTTTGCTTCACCACATGCCATACCCGCGACGATATGGGTATATTATTCTTGACAGGCTCTTTCTGGTGTGATTGTGACTGTCTAAGACCAAGTTCGGTTAATCCCTGGGTATCTGGGTCCTGGCCTTCAACTATTGAGCCAACTCTAGAATACAGTCTCACGACATCCTCCATGGTCTGGGCTGTTTCGTCTCTGGACTCTTCATTAGTGGCCACCGAACGAGCCACACTAGCGCGTCTTCTTCTGGTTGTGGTGGCCGAGACTGGATTTTCGCTGTACGGCCTCGCATCAATAAACTCTCTGCGCTGGTCCTGGTTCTGCCCACTTGCTACAGACGACAACGACGACACCTCCGACACAGGATTGTCACTAGAATTCTCCGGTTGCAACACAGTATTCCTTTCGTCTTCTTCAGAAGAAGAACTAGCTCCAAAGGCGATTTTCTCGTCGTTCTCTGCTAACTCCTTGGCCTTGCGTATCTCTTCACGGAGGTCCCAGCCAATGAGTCTGAAACCACCCAAATTGAACTGAAAAAGTAACTGTAGACACGTGAAGATACATGCATAGGCCACACCTTTCTCAGACTCGGCCGACGTGATCACCCCGCCCGTTCCTAGCGTTTGGAGATATGCAATTGGCAGATCTGAAATGTTCGGTAACAGTCCTACCGAAATGGCTCCTCCAATCCAGTACTTGGGGCATTTCAGCAGAACAGCAAGCCCAAGAGCCAGACTTGCGCCACCAAGTTGGAGACATGCTCCATCTAGTAAAATCGTACCAATCTGCTTCAGTTCGGCATTGCTGATGTTGGTGACAATCTTGTTGAACATCAGACATGGCAGCAAAATGGTTATAGCAAGGTCACTGATGTTTCTGGTGGTTTCAACGGAAAGGACATTCTTTCGCGTCATATAAAAGCCTATTCCCATGATCAAGTAGATCTTGATGATAGGCTTGACGGCTGTGTAAATGATGTCTCCCAAAGGTACTGACATTGTGCCTGGGAATCTATATACAAGCCAATAAAACAGCAATCATAAACCGGGCAAAATGCAACGGCAGCAAGAACCAACAAACAAAAAGAAGGTCTATAAAGAACAAGACAAAAAAAACAATGGCAAAGGACAAGCTGTCTAACGTGATAATAATACTCCAGTCCGTCATCCAGAGACCGCTGCGAGATTCTCGTCATCTGCCCGAAACCCGAAGAGTGTACCAACCAACTGCACGCCACACCTTTCTCTATCGCACCATAGTGGGGTGTGGAAGAGGGCGACAGTTGGCGATGATTGGCGGCGGTTTCAGGCATTTTTATTATCGGAAAAGACCCTGCTCAAACAGTACAGAATAGGGAAGTTGGTGGCCTTTTGTTTGGGAGACAAAATCGTCCTGAAAGGCTATTTGGTCTCCTCTCATCCCCGCCACAAACCCCGTTATAGGCAATGGCCAGGCGTGTACCAACGGGTACGTATGAAAAATTATGATGGCTTCCCGATGGAGATGAGAAAGATAGAGGACCGCTAGTGCGGATAGACATAGACATACAGCACACAGAAAAGGTTGATTTTTCGTCGCATTTCGATGTTCCCGGTGCCGCACAAGTTTGATCAGGCTTGTCCACAAACGGGGTGCTCTCTGTTGCATTGTCCGTTCGACCATTCAGGTGTTGTGCCTTCTAGACGCAAGCGCAACCGCGTAAATGAGACGAACCACGACATTTTGAGGCAAGACCGTACAGTGAAGGCTGTCAAGGTAGTCAAGGAACCGAAAGGATCCAAGTTGATCCCTCGCCAGGTTTATCCGAATGCGCCCGAGACGATTCCCCAGAGACTGAATTACCTAAGACAGCTAGAGAACCATTACAGGTCTAAGGGCCATGGCACTGAATCTAGTGTGGAGAAGGCGATAGAAACCGAGTTTGAGATCGCCACTTCTTGTTCAACCAAAATTGCGTACAACAACAAAATCAAAACCTTGTTGTACAATCTGGTGAAATTTGGCAACGAGCATGGCAAGCCGTCTCAAGCACGGAATACACATGATATGGCCAGTCTTGACGACTGGCTGGATCGCCTGTTTTCAGTGTGCATTCCTCGAAAACGACTAGAAAGACACGGTTATCCAATGCAAATCCCTGAGGCCGAAAAAGAAGACTCTTCGTTTCTTCCTTCAGAACCAAAGGCACCTGGTCTCAAGTCGTGTTTGAGATGCAACGAAGAGTTCATGAGATCTACCCAGATGAAAGAAACGACATGCTGTTACCACCCGGGAAAACAAGAGGTTCTAAAACAGGCTGAGAACTCGGCTGCAAGCAACGATTACAACTCGCGGGTGTTTTCTTGTTGTAATCAGACCGTAGGAGAAGCTCGTGGGTGCAAGGTGTTGAAACATCATGTCTTCAAGCACTCCACTATGAAGGATATGCACGAGGAGTTACCTTTTGTTGAGTTGCCAGAGCACACATCAAACTCAAAAGCTCTGAAGGCTGTTGGTCTCGATTGCGAGATGGGATTCACATCCTGTGGGTTTGAATGCATCAAGATCAGTATTGTGGACTACGTGACCGAGAAGACGATCCTGGATAAGTTGGTCAAACCCAAGGGAGAGATTATTGATCTTAATACCCATGTATCGGATGTGGCTGAGATTCCAGAAGACTCTCTCGACCTTCAACAAATACAATCGTTACTTCGGGAAATTTTTGACTCAGAGACTGTTGTGGTGGGACACGGACTTGAGAACGACTTTAATTGTCTAAGATTACTGCCTACTCAGCGAATTGTCGATACCGCGATTTTGTATTCCGAGTCTTCTTTGGTGAGGAGAAAGGATTCTCTCAAGAAGCTAGCGTGGAAGTATCTGAGTTTGAATATTCAGTCTGGAACACACGATTCTGTGGAGGATTGTGTCATTCCGATTCAAATCGTGAAGAATCGATTAGGTAAGAGGAACTCGAACTAGAAAAAAGAGGCATAGAAAAAGCAGTTTAAACGAATAATATGGTGGGTGAGTAAGATCACAATAACCGGAGATATAACTTCAAGACACATACAGCGTGCATGCATGAGACCGCATGACTGCATGACTGCTTAAATCTTACCATACAAAGGCGGCACAAAGAAATGGAAATAGTTCAACGTGTCATGTCATGTTAATAATGAATACAAAAGCCATATCAGCTGGGAGCAGTATCTAAATATAATCATATGTTGATATCGTATCCGAAATCACACTCAAACAACATTATACGATCAGCAATAAATCACCAATTCATTATCCAACTACAGCCCCTCAATCAAAATAGAATTTAAATAATGAACTCAAAAACAAACCGGTAATTCAACTAAGCAAAATCATTCCTCAAATCTTCAGTATTATTCTTCCTCGGGCCTTTGGTCAAAGAAGTCCACAATGGAACAGTTAGGATGCAAAATATATACCAATTTTTGGCCTCTGGCCGCTTCTTGGTTTCTCTGCCATTCTTGTAGTTCCAGCCTCTGGGAATCAGTCAGACTCTGTGGATCCTGAGAAGCAAACGCTGGTTCTGGCTCAAGCAGTTCCTCGTCTTCACTAACAGATACTGGCAACACGATCTTCTCTTTAGCAATCTTCTTGAGAACCTTGAAGGCCAGCTTCCTCTCGTTCCAGTAGTCTGCCTCAGTGTCAAGCTCATCCTCAACTTGAGAAAGATACCACTCAACAAGTTGCTCGGCAGTCATTCTCGAAGCAGGATCCGACTCCGTAGCAGAGACTTTCTTGACCATGTAGTTCATCATCTTGATGTACTTGTCATATGGCAGCACGCTACGCTTGGAACGGTGGTGCTGTGGCTGATCTTCGTTCCCCACCATGTCAGTGTCTCTGTCAGCATCCTGTGCGTCCTGCTGGGTACCTTCCTGTTCTTCCTCGGCCTCGTGAATGACACCAGCTTCGTCTTCGTCTATCTCAACGTCATCTTTCTCGACTCTGATGATCGACTGTCTCAACAGATCATAGGCCTCTGCTACAAAAGCAGGCTTTATCACCTCGGTACAGTTGGCCTTGGCGATTCCCTCAGACAAACGGATCATCGATTCCAACTGTCTCACCGTAATTCGGTAAGAGGATCTTCCCAATCCTTGAGCGTCATCTTCACGGAGCTCCTTGTATCTGGCAATAAGATAGTCTCTAGCTTCTTTGGGCATTTTTGGTTTGAAGGTTTTGGCATAACGAATGTAGCGCAAAAGCTGTTCTGCAGAGTATGGAGGATGAATAGCATCATCACGGAACATGTGTAGATTCACGATATGGTCAGCCAATTGCGTGTCAATACGTTCGTTACACTCATCCAAAATCACAAAGAACAAATCGAAACGCGACATAATTGGCGCAGACATGTTAAGGTTGGCCCTGAGCCCAAACTTGGGGTTGTAGCGGCCTCCGACAGGATTAGCAGCTGCTAGAATGGAAGTACGGGCATTCAATGTGGCATGAATACCGGCCTTGGCAATAGAAATGGTTTGCTGCTCCATGGCTTCGTGAATTGCCACTTGGTCGGAGATATCCATCTTATCGAACTCGTCAATGGCACAGATTCCGTTGTCAGCAAGCATCAAAGCTCCCGCCTCAATGGTGAACTCACCACTCTCCTCATCTCTGACTACAGCAGCAGTCAGACCAGCTGCCGAAGAAGCCTTACCAGAGGTGTAGATAGCACGGGGAGAAACCGAGCATACATACTTCAAGAACTGCGATTTGGAGGTGGAAGGATCCCCTACCAGACACACGTTGATGTCTCCTCTGAGGTTAATTCCATCAATAGTCTTCTTGTGGACTCCTCCTAGCAATTGCAGTAAGACACCCTTCTTGACAGCCTCATGACCAAACACGGCTGGAGCGATCGATTGTACCAGCTTGGAGTAGACGTTTTCGTCTCTCACCATTTCCTTTAGCTCCGCAACTTCAGCATCAGATAGCGTACTCAAAAACTTCTCCTGCTCCTTGTCGTTGTCCAGCGACGAAGTGATCTGGTCTTCCTCTGTTTCGAGAGTCTCACCGGTCTTTGAGACCTGAGAGTTGACATGGCATGCCAAGAACGCGAGCTTATAGGTCAAGTCTCTCACACCAAGACCTTTCAATCCGGTAACTCCAGAGTTTAGCGATTCCGTTGTGGAGGCCATACCTCTCATACCTCTGACTGCAGCGGGTTTGATACCGGGCAGGCCCAGCTGGGTCACGTCTGGCACCACGATCTCGGTTCCCGTGAAACGGCAGCGATCACCTGGCTTGGCACGCTCGACCATGTCACATCTGAGAATAACATCCATGGTACGTGGCATAGATCCAGTAGGTATTTCGGACGAATTTTCCTGGATTCTCACCTTCTGCCAATCGGTAAAGGTGGATTTGGAGACGTTCAGTGTGTAGAAAGCCTGGTTTTCACAACCGGGATTTGGACACGAGGTTGGCTCGGTGAACTTGAACATTTGCTCGATTCCATCAATCGAAGTCTTACAGTAATCACAAGTAAACGAGGCCTTGAACAGCTCAGGCCTCACTTCACTTGTACGGGTAACAGTTCCACTGATAGAGATCAAAGACCCGATGTGATGAGCACGCAACTCACGAACACGTTTGATAGTTGGCAAATTGTAAAATGCAATCTGGAAAATTCTTTCGTGGTGCTCGACTTCCTCGTCGTCGTAAATCTCCGAGCGTCTGAGAAGCTTTGGAACGTGTCTCTTGACAACGGCCCTAAGACCTTTGAGCAAATATGGCAAAAACCTATAATATTGCTCGGTGATAGCACTGGCCAGAACTCCGTTTTCAACAGTCAACAGATGGTCGTAATCCACAAACAACGTTGACATATCGTAAGATTGCATGGCCTGAACCTGAGCAAGGTAAGTCTTACCTCCAAAGCGCGCGTCTTCAACAGACGGATCGACAAACTCCTGCAAAAATTGCTCAAAGGCCTCACGCACCTTCTCGGCAGTAAGATCAGTCACTTTGGCAATGGCCGAGTAATCTCTGCGCTTGATGACAGAGTGGGTAATTTCATTCTCATCTTCTTCGTCACGTAACTGTTGGCTCTCGGTATTGCGCAGGTCAGAGAACAGATTGGACGATTGCGCCCGAGCTTGAGACTCTAGACCCGACAGGGACGGAGGCGGCGACGACAGCGGAAAGCTGGGAGAAGAAGCGACCTGGGAAGCCATTGGTTGTGTATATTGGTGGCGATACTGGAGAGAAGAATGGGTGGTTAGAAGATTAGACGCGCGAAAAAGTGGGAAGCACGCGCCCAAACGATATTTCCTGATTGGGATAATTGAATTGGGTGCACGGGCATGAGTGGCAGAATCAGAAACGTCTGGCGAGCATAAACTTTACTTCTCCCCCACACGACTCTTCTGCTTCAAAAAAAAAAAATTCAAAAATATATTACACAGTAAATACAGACGAGGCAGCGTTCTAGCACCACATCAACATGCCCAGAAAAGTCAAACAGGATAGATACCCTGTCAGTAACGAGGTGGAAGAGTCCGAGTCATCCACCTCTGAGGAAGAAGACGAATTCGGAGATCTCGTGACAGATGAAGTTGAAGCAGGAATCTCCAACGTACTTCAGGCCATTAAAACCGGGGACAAGAAGCTTTTTGATTCGAACGTTCGTTTTTTTGAAGAGCCCGAGAAAGCAGTCGCAAATTTGCAAGTGAAAGCTGCTCAGAAGCCTGTTTATCTCAAGGATGTTCAGCGTGAAAACATTCTGTCTGGAAAGGTGTTTCAAAACGAGGTAGA